CTTTTCCATCATAATTTAATTGGCTCACCATCCGAGTTGAACCATTTCATTTCCTTGATTTTTCAGCTCTAGGCTGTGCTCGGTTTGTCCACTTGGTGGGGTGGAGTAGAGTAGAACAGGTTTCGGAGGAGAAGACAGTAGATGGAAGTACACAAACGCAGGTCTACCCATTTTGGTAGCTCATCGATGCGTAGTCCGTAAACCACCCATATTTGCAAACATTTACACTACGATGCACAATACTTTGCAGAAAACGACTCCCCGTCCATGGATACATGGAAATCGCATATCTTGAGTCCACCAACTTCCACCAGCTCTACCAGCCTCAAACCTGGAAGAGCTGCTTGAAGAAAGTAGAACCTATTGTCTGGGGCAGGAAAAAGGAACGCATCTACCAAACGCAGTAGTTTCTACTGAAATCTGTAGAACAAAAACGGCCCACCCTCTCTCCCCACTTTAACCCTTTCAGGGTCACAATGCATTAACTGTGTCGGAGCACTGTGATTCAGTGCATCAGTGCAATTGTGGAGATAGCAACAAACAAATTGTGACAACATTATTGTTTCTCAACAGATTTTCACGATTTATGGCTTACTGGAAAGCTCCTTTTCCTGCTCGTCATCTTCCACATCCTTTCAGAGCATACAGAACCCCAAGGACGCCCCTAGCCTCGCCGACAGTGTCCATATCGTGCTCCAGTTTGGCATCAAGACCACGCACAACTATTTCCTTCGGTTTGGGGCTCATACTCAACGTAGAACTACGATTCAAACTGCATGGAACTCGTGAGATTCAAGCGATTCAAACGATGTACTCATACGTCATGTTGCCTTTCACACGTCTTTGGGAAATCCCTTGAATGACTTGAAAGTCGCAAAAATCGCCGGACAGAAAGTAAGAAAAATGCTCAGATCAAATTCGCGCATTCAATTTATCACCGCTCGACCTATTATTGAGCTATTGCCACACCGAAAACACCTCTGGAAAGCCCTTTGGTGGCATATCGTGAGTCCCGCGAACAGATAACTTGGCAAGAGGTAAAGTTTGTTTGAACAACAAACGCTGACTTCTGAGAACTGGCAGCAGCAGCAGAGTTCTGTGGCATACCGGCAATACACATGGCTTCTCCGGGCCGCATAAAGATTGGCCTCGGCCTGTTTATTGTCCCAAGCAGATTTGCATTCTTGTTCACTCCATTCGCGTCGGTAGACCTCCAAACCATACTCTCACACATAACTGGTTCTCAAATTGCTCTTACACACCAAACTCTGCTAATTTGCCACTTCCAAAAAACATTTTTTTCCACTCCAGGTCACCGTTTGGCTGACGTATACCGAATGGCATTTTTTTTTACCTCAAACCTGCATCTTCTGATCCCCTCCCTCACCCCCAATCACAACCTAATTGTGCTTCCATCATTCCTTTGTTTCACTTTCTCCTTTGGCCCCGGAGTGTGAAATGTTAGAAATGTTCACTTTTTTCTTCCTTTTCTTGCTTGCTAGAATTGTGCTGCAGATCACAGCTTTACGTGGCATGATATTCAGACTTCTCCAAGCTTCCTTTCTTGTCTACATATTTTGCTTTTATTTTCCAGATTGGATCTAGCCGTGTTACCTCGCCATTCAGTTGACTATGGTTGAGGAGGGCTGCCGACTGTTTAAATTCATTTCTACAGGCTGGCACTACAATCAGTCATGTGCCTTGTCAATGAGAACCTCTACAACGGGTGTTGCGTCACCCACCAGCCAATGACCTGTTCTGCACTTACTTGCCATGCACACAGCGGATGTCGCTGTCAGAGAGCGCGTCAACAGCCTCGTCGCTGGTCTCTTCGTCGAGCCACGTCTGCAGCCAAGACGTCTTGATGAAGCGAAAGTCCTTGTCCGCTGAAAAGACACATGCACACACACACGCATGCATGCACACACACACACACACACACACACACACACACACACACGCATGCATGCACACACACACACGCCCACACACACACACACACACACACACACACACACACACACACACACACACACAACTTAGACGGCCCTCACAGATGAGGTGATGAGAGCAATGCCCCAGCAAAAGTCAAAGCAAACAGCAACTCATGCTGGGATTGTACCATTCAACAGCCTGCAAAGCTGGAGAATTGACTGCCAGGCTTATCAAATATCAAGTGTAATAAAGCGAAAACAAAAAATAAATGTCAGCAGGGTTCTAGCAACGCCTAACCGTAACCGGACCATACCTGACAAAATCCCATGGTTCGCCAGAGAAACACACACTTACCAGGTGTCACGTTGAGCAGGGAGTACAAAGTCTGCTTCTCTAATCGCTTCTGGCGACCGGATTCAACATTCTCCATCTACAGTCACAGACGGAAAGAAGAAAAAGAAAAAGAAAAAAAGGAGATCACTTCTTGTGAATACGAAAAAATCAAACTGAAGAAAAAATAATGTACCCCCGGTGGGATTCGAACCCACAACCTTTGAATGCCGTCAAGCAGCTAGCCCGATTAGAAGTCCAATGCGCTAATCCATTGCGCCACGGGGGTGACTGATTTTTCCTCAAGTCATCAGCTGAGATAAAGCAAAGCACTGCATCCTCCTCCAGGGTCAGCAGCAAAGTTTTGAAGTTTTGAAAAAGTTTGGATTTTAGAATTTAATAAATTTTCCAGGTCTGGAAAAAGTTTTGAAAAGGCGCTAGCTACTTTTGAAAATGTTTGGAAAAAGTTTTGAATTTCGTTTTTTTGGCCGCGGAAGTGCAAGTGGCCGTTTCGACGATGAGTCGTACCAAGAGTACATGAAAACCAGAGTGTGCAGCTTGGGGCTTTTTCTACTATGGGTGTCACGGCGGAATACCGTGATTACATCATATTCGGCACAGATCTGAGGCGGGAAGTGGCGTTGTGCGTACAACTGAGCTGCAGTTGTGCAGAAAGGGACCTGCTTGAATCCTGCTTGTACGCACTACATCACTAAAGTGATGTAGTCACGGAACTCTGCCGTGACAGCAACCCATCCGAGCTGCACACTCTGGTTTTCATGTACTCTTGGTCGTACCGGTAGTGAAGGCTTTACGGGCGATAGGCGGTGTTCACTGCATGGACACAGTCAGTGCAGCTCAAGCGCGCGACCGGTGCAGACTTTGCCCGTTTTTTCGTTGGTCGAAGAAGTTTGTTTTGAGGCTTGCGCTCGACCTTGATTCTTGAAGTCGGGAGAGCAGGGAATATGCCGTGATGACAGTTGTCGGTAAGTCACAGTTGTTCTGTTGTGCAGTGAGTCGAGTTGTCACTTGTGTCTTGTAGTGAAAGTAGTAGTTGTGCGTTTAGTAATGTATTTCGTGTAGTCCTCATGCCTGGTTGTGCCTTCTCGGATACATGGCTAAGCAAAGAGAAGTATCGCTCTTGGATTGCCCCCATGCCGTCTTATCGGCACAAGGCGCGCTGCAAACTCTGCAGCAAGGATATTGAGCTGGGCTCCATGGGAGAAGCTGCATTGGTCAGCCATATGACCAGCAAAAAGCACGCCGAGCGAGCGAAGCTTCGATCTGGACTATCTATTGCAAACTTCTTCCCATCGTCTTGTACCCCTGCATCCTCGACGGCTACGTCTTCTGCTGCTGCTACGCCGGACCTCCGCAACTGCGACGGTGTGACAACCACGCAAACGCTCTCTGCGGAGATATGCTGGGCCCTGAACGTCGTCACGAAACACCAGTTGTTCCGGTCCAGCGACAAGTCAGCAGCTCTTCTTCAGAAGATGTTTCCCGACAGCGGCATAGCTGCTAAGTTTTCGTGTGGCAAACGGAAGTGCAATTATTTGTCGACGTTCGGGCTCGCTCCGTATTTCGAGTTGCTGCTGCTGTCGAATGTGAAGAACAATGACTATGTTGTCCTGTTTGACGAAAGCCTTAATTACGTTACCCAGTCTAAACAGCTGGACGTCCTTGTTCGTATTTGGGACGTGGATCGTGTCTCGACTCGATACTTTACTTCCAAGTTTCTCGGTCTCGCGCGGGCAGAGACGTTGGAGGATGAGCTGCTTGACAGCTGTCATTCCCTCCACCTTTCTTCAAACGTAACGTACGCTATCCTCGTACAGAAATGGAAACATTGTAAAGAGCAGTTCCACTTTTGACAAGAAGACTTTGTGTGAAGTTGTAGCTTCACTCTTCGTGGGCGTCCCAATCCGAGAACCAGAAATTTCTGGTTCCCACCTAAAACGCATTTTCCCGCTAGATCTGCTGGCTCGCACTATAAAATTGTATATAATCTGTATGCATTCACTGAACCACAGTGCCTGCCTCATGAACCACAGCGCCCACTTCATCAACCATGGTAATTATAGTACACGCTGCAGCAGCACTTGTCTTGCCACACCATTATGGAGTTTAAGTTCTTCTTTTTTTTTCCCCAAGATACTGCACTTTCTAGCCTATATAAGCACACAATCTCTTTAGAAACTCATCCTTCTCTGACGAGGCCTAACGAGGCCGAAACTAGTAAGATAAATGGAAATGTTTTACTCTTGGGATTGTGCCCCTTGGCTGGTGTGTCTGCGTATGCATGTCTGCGTATGCACGACTGTTCCGTTCTGTCACAGAACAGTGTCGGAGTTCCATCTCCTCTCAATCCGCAGCTCTGTGCGGCGAGAAGAAGTTGTCTTTCAGTGTACGCAAAGTCAGTGGTGTGTGCTAGAGTTATTTCTAGCCTGTGTGCAGAACTGATTGCTGCTTCATCATGCGGAGCGTACCAGAATTAATCCGTCCGGGCCGTTTGATTCGTGGGGCCACTTCGAGATGGCACTGTCCCAAATAGGGATACAACATAGGAAAAGAAGAAGTACGATGATCTAGTACACACACAGATGTACCAGTATTTCTGTTGCTGTTACAGTTTCCGTTGTGACACCATGGTACTCTAATTTCAGAAATTTTCGGTGCTCAATATTTTCGGTATGAAGGCAAAATGCCAGGTTAGGTGAACAGAAATTTTAGGTACAGAGAAGCAGTTCCCTATTGGATTATTTGTATTTTTTTTTTTTTTTTTTTATGGAGGTTCCCTATTGGATAGTATGTGTGCTGGTGGTTGTTCGGTGTATTGAAATTTTAGGTGTGAAACAGATGCACCAAAAGTACCGAAAATAAAAGTTCATCGAAAATTCGTGAAATTACAGTAATCAAAACGCTCGTTGTTCACGAGTCACTGAACCTTACGCATAAAGCCTAGGTCACATTCGACGCAACGCTGACGGTACGGGACGTAAGGGCCTGCCGGGAAGGCCGGGGTGAGCTGTAAGATCGTGTACGATTCGTACGACACATGCTGCAGTCGCGGCGTTGTTCAACAGCGAACGGCGCGAGTCATAAGGCACAGTCCGTGATGTGACTTTGCACCTAATTTCTTGTTTTTCAGGACTTCTTTTTAATTATTTCCCCTTGAATGAAGCGGAATCAAGTTCACAATACCAGTTTTTCACAAAGACCAAAAAAGTAGCTTTGAAAGGTGTGCCATTCGAATAATAGCTCCAGGAAATGATAAAACAGATCGTCTGTCACGCTCCTGAACTATCCCTAAATACTATAAGTGACATCAGATTGTATCTTGCTAAAACTCAACTCAAGTCGCGTTAGCCATTCTGCGAGTTATCATGGGAAGCGCAGTGTTCGAAATGCTAATAATTTCCAACTACAAATCGAGAGCAGTCGGCGCACGACGCCGTCAGACTGTCCCGTCGCTTCCCGACGATCCTTACGTCGCGTCCCGTCGCGCCCCGTCGAATGTTAACTAGGTTTTACACAATTCGAACACGAAACGAAATCAATTTTGTTTCGTGTACAAGCTACTGAACCCTAAAGCTAGCAGCCGTGGCTTGAAAAGGAATGGGTTTCAATTTTCAAGATAATATGCCAGATTTCCAAAGTCTTTGTTTCATACATTTTCCACAGTAGCACACTCAAACTGGTCGGATCAGCAGGTGTGCTGGCCGTCACACTTGCAAGATTGAACCAGTAGCAGTAACAGCGTGTTTGCAAGGATACCAACCTGACAGCACTTGGTGTTCTCGATCCAATCTTCTAACTCCTCATTGTCCTTGTCAACAAGTGACTTCACCTCTTCCGGTGGCGACGAGAGCAGAGTGGCCGCTGGAAAATCACGTGGTGCATACACACACACACACACACACACACACACACACACACACACACACACACACACACACACATACACCCGCGCACACACATACAGGCACACACATAAACATACGAAATAAAGCGCCGTGGAACCTGGCTACGTCAGACGCTACTACATGGCGTTTTTGCATAGCTTCTGGTATTCGGAATACAGATGAATGAAGACACACTCCAGTGTTTCGACTACTAGTTTGTAGTACCTACATGTACACGACGGCCATTTGCTGGTGTGGTGATCGGACTACGCTGACTACTGTAAAAGCCATACCGGTATACTGTAAAAGCAGAAATTTTCGGTGGTGTAATATTTTCGGTATTCTCCAAAATCGGCGGTTCGGTAGAGGGAAATTTTCGGTAAAACCCGTTTTCCAGGTAGGTGTACTAGTACTACATGTATACAGAATTGGTTGTACCGAAATTTTCGGTGGGTTTTATTTTCGGTGAAAATTGTCGGCACCGAAGTTACCAAAAATAAAACACCACCAAAAATTTCTGCTTTTACAGTATATTATAACAAAGTGCTAACTCTAACGAGTTACCGAGGAGAAATCTGTCGTTAAAATAGAAATCGTTATACAGAAATCGATACATATACTGTCCTATTGAGCGTTGAGAATAAGTAAGAATCGTTACCTTTGGTACGCGTAAACAAGTCAATTTTGGGAAATCGTTATATATGCGCCTCGTTAGAATAATGGCTTTTACAGTAGATACGAGCTACGCGCCTGCCAGCATACACCAAGAACTACAGACAGTTCCAGCAATACCGGGTTGTGACGCAGTGCGGCGAGTGTAGACCAGCATGTACGCATCATTGGAGGTGTGCCAGCCCTTCTGCGTCTTCCTGCCTTTCAGCTTGCCCACGTCTAGGAGAATGCAGACAAGCAGAGGCAGACCCACGACGCACGACACACACAGTCACAGACACACACAGAGTATGTACCCACACGCCCATTACCATCAACACACTCACAAGTGCAAGGTACCTGTAGAAAGAGAGCGATAAATCATGAAAATGTGCGCAGTCTTTTGAAACGGACGGTTGTCACTTTTACAATGTTCTGCTAAATCAGAGGGACCGACAGGACGTTGGAGAAGAAAGCAGGATACACAATAATGATACATTGTGTGTACACTACGCCTGTACTTACCCATCTTATTAAGGCCTAGGTGCAACTTGCTACCGCTCATCACTTCAGTGCTCTCGTCATTGAATTGCCACCACTGTTTGGTCTGCAGAGTGGAACAAGAGAGGAGAATACATATTCATCCACCGGGAATATCGTCGGTAGAACCCAAAGACGAATCCCCCTGTGACTAACATACAAGATGGACAACGGGGAGGGGGAGAGAGAGACACACAGAGAGAGAGACACAGAGAGAGAGAGACAGAGAGAGACAGAACTTAACCATTGGCTACGATAACACCGCAGCATTGAGAAGGAAATTGAGGAAAAAACATGGGCAGGACGTATAGCAACTCACCTCGGTGTTCTGGATGTGTGCCACATAGTGACCAGAGTAAGCGCTAGGTCCACAATGAATTAGCACACCTGTTAGGTCATACATGCTCTCAGTGGTCCCACCACCTGACGGCAACAGCAGCAGAAAAATAAACAACGAAACAGCGACACCTTAGGAAGAGAACACAAACACAATGTAGCAGGAACTTGAGTGCAATTTACTGCGCATTCAACATTCACCATCCATCTATTGTAGGTATCAGAGAATACAGTTTAGGGCAACAGCAAACAAGTGAGCATTGAAGTGGGAACACAGCAAGTTCGGTGTCTCTTACGGTGGACAAACTCTGACATATCCAGCTCCTCTGGAAACTGGCACCATGACTTTGCCTTCTTCTTCTGAAACGTCTTCCTGCAAGCAAAGATAATACACTTTTCACATCAAACACAACAAGGAACACACGTCTATCTCCTTCTCGATCATAGTCTTCTCTCTCATTCTCATTTATATTCTAAAATTGTGTGTGCGTGCGTGCGTGTGTGTGCGTGCGTGCGTGTGCACGGGAGTCTGTGAAGCCAGAGTGCTACAGAAAAAAGCCATACGCACCACAACAAACCATGTAGTTACAGAATTTCGTGAAGCTGGCATTGTCCTAGATCCTAACCCGTGCCCCCCTCCCCCAACACCAAACACACATACACACAACGAAAACACACTCGTACCTATCAAAAATAAATCGCATCAGCTGAAAGTTGAGGACCGGCGGCAATGTTAAGAGCTCCATATGTCGAGTGCCATCACGTTTCTTTGCACAACGACCACAGGAATACTGGTTGTCACCATCCAGAATTTCCTCCTAAGGATCAGATAGGAGTGACAGAAAAAGGAAGAGAGAAATTATGCACTTCAGGTTGTCGTCGGGTTTGGGCCTAGGCACCGCATGCCAACCGGTGTCAATGCTAAGATGGTACTATTTAAATGAACTCGCGATAGCAGGAAGCAGAATGCTGTGAAGCGCAGTCAGCGCTACTACGGCCACACGGCACCAGCCAATGCTAACCCCAACCCCATGTCACCAATAAGCCTTTTGCGCGTTGTACAGATGCACGAAATCCCGTAGAATCCCGTAGAACCTAATGGGTGCTGAATGTGCAGGACCCTATTGTGTTTTCTGCTATTTCCACTAAGAAATGGGCCCTGAAGGATTTCAAACGAAACCCTTTTCTGACAAAGATCTAGCTAGTTATTAGTTCTAACGAAAGTGAAGAAGCTGGAAAAGGGATTGTTTGCCATTAATTACGAAGCTAAAATAGGTCAAATGCGCATGCATAGCACACAATGAACGCCCAATCGGGGCTGTACACACCTACGCCCTAGTACTGAACTTCGTACATCTGTACAACGCGCAAAGGCTTATACAGTCAACTTTGCGAATAACGACATTCGGCGGGGCATCGGAAAAATGTCCTTATTCGCGAAGTGTCCTTATACCCGAAGTCCCATTTGAATGTATGTGAACTCATATTTTTGTATCGTGTGACAGGCATATCAAAATGAAGCTCTTTTCATGCTCTATGCCAACGTGTACCCCATTTTCATATTACAATTGAAAGGAACTATAAAGTCGATATGGAAGGGAAATAGATTGTTTCAAATTAGCCTTTCGCAAGTTTTGGAGCCATCTACAGGGACATGTACATGACATGTTTGATGATTACTGTACAATCATGTATAGTAGACCTACAACTACAGGACATTGTAGTTGCGCTGATCACTCCAACATGTATTAGAAGCAAAAAATAAAAAGCACCCCCCCCCCCCCCCCCCCCTGGCTGCATCTGCTTGCATTGTGCCTTTATCCATCGCCATGCATGGCATGGGTTCTGGTACTTCTGCATGACAGGTACTTGAAATAGCTGTCAAAAGCCCAGAAAGTCGTTATTCAAGCAGTGAATATGACCTTGGGGCACTAAAAGCATGTCGTTATTCGCGAATTGTCGTTATTCAGATAGTCGTTGTATCCGAAGTTAAATGTACACAGTTAGATGGGACTTTGCTCTGGGCATAGAAATTCTATCGTTATTCGCGAATTGTCGTTATATCCGCAGTCGTTATTAGCGAAGTTGACTGTACAGGGTAGGTACACCACAAGTAGAAGTAGATACAGCATTGAAGCAAGTACCTTCAAGTAGTCCCGTAGACAATCCGTCAGACTGTCATGCTGCTGGATGGAGAGGTCCAGCTGATAGAACGTCGATGGGTTCACGTTTTTAGCCGAGCATGATGCACACCTGGCAAACAACACACAGCACGTGCACACACGTGCATGTACAGTACACACACACATGTGCATGCACACACACGCACACACACACACGCACACACACATGCTCGCGCATAAGTACACAAAAGCTACAAACGTACAATGTCCAAGATACGTGTCGGACAACTAGTTACTTCAGACAGGCCATCAACTTAGTCTTTGTTTACATTCGCGAATGGTAGACCTTTTCGGAGCTCCGCCTTCAAAACCCCTTTGTTGGTCATTTTTCTTGTTGGATAGTAACTCCTCATGCCAATTTTGTAAGAGTAAGAGAAGTGTATATGTAGTAGGTCTGCAAAAGGTAGTTCTAACCTAAGCCGCGGTCCAGGCACCCCTACCGCTGCTCTGCGCACAGCTACTGGAGGTTCGTCCAGTGCCGCGTTATCTTCACGAAACGAGGCCCCCGTGGACATGATGAAAGAATTTAGGATGTGTACGATGGAGTTGTTAGAACGGCTGGCAAAACTTGGTGACTCAGGTTGCAGACTTAACCACGCAGGTGACAGCTCTGAAGGCAAGACTTGGTGAGCTGGAGCAGGAAACACACAGACCTTGCCGCTACCTTGAAAGAGGACGCCAGCAGTAGGAGTACAGTGCACGGTGGACCAGTTGGTGTATCATTGACCTCGGATGCGGCAAATGCAGGATCAGTAGTGCAACTGGAACCATACAACCTCTCCGACATCATTGCTGAGGAGGTGGAGAGGTCAAACCGTACGACCAGCGTCCTAGTACGAGGACTGCCTGCATCGTGGAACGAAAACTTGTCCTTGCATTGTAGTACTCTTTTCAAATGCTCGACCACTCGACCTGCTGGAAGTTGAACGTTTGCGCTCTCGCGCTGCAGAGCATGCGACTCCAGCTCCAGCTCCTGTCAGGGTACGCGTCGGAAACAAGCGCCTCAAGGTGGTGGCGTACAAGGATCGCCTCAGCTTGAAAGTGGACGGACGCGATGTGTACGTAAACAACAACCTGACCCGACAACAGCAAACGCAACAGAAGGTAGTACTACCTAAGCATAAACAACTTCGAGCCAAAAAGGTCAAGTGTTCTCTCTGCCTTACAACGCCATATTGGATGACAAAGGGACATCTCTCTGTCGTCCTATCGTCAAAGCTTCAAGAAGTTCGTCCGTCCTTCTCGTCCTTCATCATTCGTCTCTCCCGTCTCTTGTCAGTTGTTGTCACTGGTGGTACCGGACACGACGTAAAACTGTGCCCAGAAGAAGAAAACTGAACTGAAAAAAGAAGGAACGAAAGAGAGGACGTCAATCGATGTGGCAATTGAATGCGAAGAAGATCATGCCGTCGATGTTGAACAGCGCTCATAATTGACGGACGACATGGCGGCGTGAGGAGTTTCGTTGGTGCGAGGGTACGCGTGTTGTTGTGAACGTGAGGAGTATGTGAATTTTGTATTTTCTGTTCTCCCAACATTTTCTTCTTTTTTATTTGCTCTCCCCGAGGGTGAAGAGGCACCCGCACAGCGCGTGTTCTGTTCGTTTTTTGATTTGCTCTTCGATGAGGATAACTTGAGCCCCCCTCCCCGTTATCCACCTTGTATGTCAGTCTGTCTCTGTCTATCCCTGTCCCCCTCCCCCTCCCTCTCCCTTTCTCTCTCTCTCTCTCGCTTTGTGTGGAAAACTAGCTGCAAAACTTCATCCACGCACCAACTAGAGCGACGTCAAACACCTGCCTTGACCTGGCTCTGTTGAACATCAGCTTCCCATTGCCTAATCCAACGATCATTCCCATGTCAGATCTTACTGATCACCACCTAGTCCGCATTGGTATTGTAATACCGGAATGGCAGCCCCCAGCAACCCAGAGAACTAAGGTTGTGAGAAAACCAGGAATAGATACTATCAACTACTCTCAGTTTAACTTAATGCTGACCTGAATGTTAAGCTCGAGGACGCATCATCATTTTCAACATTGGGACGACCGAACTCACCATCTCCTAACATATATTGCTGCTGTTACTGATACGCATGCTCCATCTAAACAAGTTGGACTACCCCTCTGTCCGAAACCGAAGCCTAAACCGTGGACAACACCAGAGTTACGGAAACTGCTGCAGATCGACGCCTGCTGGGAATTCCCTAGTAAAAGAAGAATATTCACTACATGTACTTTGAGGGAAAGATGCAAACGGGAAAAGTCTGAAGAAAAAATCGATTGTCACCACCAGGATTCGAACCAGAGACTCTCGTTAGAGGCCAGCGATGCTCTAACCACTGAGCTATGGTGTAGCCGTCATCCCAGCAGAGACCGTTCAACATTCTCTTCAGACTTCGTAACTAAAACAAGAATAAATATTTAATAATCACCTCCACAATACGACCATGAAAGGGAGGTGGTGACAGGGCGCTCTCGCGTACTTACGGTATACACACGCACACGCATACGCACACAGACAGACAGACACACATGCACGCACCCCTACTTACTTAGTGACATAAGCAAATCGACCGCCAAACTGATTCTGAATGAGGTTCTTGACACTGGCATTGGACTGCGAAGATAGCTGCGTCTGAAGCAACGAAATGAACAGCTGGCAAAACTCTTGAGCATCCTACAAGTAAACACCAGACCAGAAGAGTAGACGTGAATCGTCAGAAGTATGACTTCCACTCCATTCGAGATGACTTTCCTCAAATGGCAATCCATCTAGATTGCAATGAGTGCTATACCTTTGGGCATGCCTTTAGCGACGCACTGGATTAACGAACAATCATCAGATAAACAGAGAATAGACTGGTGCTAGGATCACCACATCTATACTTATAAAGAAGAGGCACCTGTGACGTGTGTTTGTCTGTGTGTTATGCAGAAGCGCTGCGGAGCAGCGCTGCCCTGAGCACGCGAAGCGTGCGAACAGTGTAGCTAGCGGCCGCAGAAGCACTGAGCACGCGAAGCGTGCGAATCGTGTAGCTAGCGGAAGCAGCCACAGAAGCACTGAGCACGCGAAGCGTGCGAATCGTGTAGCCACCACCACGTGCTGAGCACGCGAAGCGTGCGAACAGTGTAGCTAGCAGACACGATCAGTACGAGTAGCAGTAGCAGCCGCGCGCAGAAGCACTGAGCACGCGAAGCGTGCGAATCGTGTAGCCACCTACCCTAGGCCATAGGTAGCACTAGCAGCCGCACAAGCGCTGCGGACCACGTGAACCGTTCTCTGCAAATAGAAACATCTGCAAAAAAAGGATACAAAAGATCTGCACTGACTGCACTCTGCATCTGATCTGCAGTGAAGAGCGCATCGTGCAGCTACCTTTTCCACGGACCACGTGAACCGTTCTCTGCAAATAGAAAGATCTCCAAAAAAATGATACAAAAGATCTACAGCTTCCTTTTCCGCGTGAACCGTTCTCTGCAAATACAAAAAAACTTGAAGACTTGACCTAGGCGACGCTTTGCACTTTTTCATGTTTTGAGCCGCTTCATCCGCCACCAGGTGATGGACAACCCTGACCAGCCTCCCGAAGGCGTAACAGAAGTCCCTCCTTCTCCTTCCAACGATGAAGAAACTCCCTCACCAGGACTTCAGCGGTCTGGGAAAAGACGCCGCCGGTCCTCATCAATAACGTCGTCCGACGATGAAGAGGCCATTGCCCGCAGACGCGAACAAGCCAGGGTTCGAATGCAGAGGGCAAGGTCACAGGAAACTGAAGAACAGGCTGATCGCCGCAGACTTCTAAATCGTCGACAAACTGCTGCGACACGCTCTCAGGAGACGCATGAACGAACTCTGGAACGTAGAGACCGTGACTGCCGCCGAACTGCTGAGGCACGTTCGCATGAGACACCTGAGCAGGCAGACCATCGCCGAAGTCAAAGCCGTATGCAAGTTGCCAGAGCGAGGTCACTCGAGACGCAAGGGGACACGGAGGTACGAAGAAGCCAAAATGCTCAGCGGGTGGGAGCACCCCCGGATGAAAATGCATCCGCCACAGGGCCACATCCCCACGAACAGCCTATGGCCACTACGAGAGCAGGTGAGCGTACTGGTAATTTATTTCACCCGTAACATACAGACCATTAAACCAGATATCTGGGGTAAACTGGGCTTCCATTACGACAGCAACTTGGACTATCCCACTCACAGGTCCATCACATTAGGTGGCATGAACGTCCTGTGTAAGCATTGCAAGGCCAGAACGTGGAAAAATGAGCCGCCAGGTATATGTTGCTCAAGTGGAAAAATTGATCTCCCAGACTATGCAGAGCCACCTCAGCCGCTCAAAAACCTGCTTTCTGGCCTTACAACTCAGGAATCCAAGCACTTCCTCCAGAGCATTCGCAAATACAACAGTGCATTCCAAATGACATCATTTGGTGCGAATGAGCAGTACATGGACGGCTTCATGCCAACGTTCAAGGTGAAAGGGCAAATCTTCCACAGACTTGGGTCAATCCTTCCCCCGGCAGGCGAAGAGCACAAGTTCTTGCAAATTTATTTCATGGGCGACAGCGAGCGAGAAACTAGCAGGCGGTGCGAAGTTATTCACAACCTCCACCACGTCACTGTTGCTGACCTGCAGGCGATGCTCCATGCACACAATCCGCACATCGTCAACATCAAGACGGCATTGGATGTTGGCAATGTCCCAGACTTGCGACTGAAGTTGAGCGCAGACCGAGCACCACAAGGTGAACACCCCGGTCGCTTCAATGCACCCACGGTCAATGAAGTTGCCGTTCTGATAGCAGGCGATGCGCATGAAAAGAGGGACATTGTACTGTGTTTGAGAGACGAGTCTGTGAACAGGATAGCGGACACACACAGGTCATACGATTCCTTGCAATACCCTTTGCTGCTGCCGTATGGCGAAGATGGCTATCACTTCCTACATAGGCAGGTCAATGCGCAGACCCGTGTTCCGACTTTTCTTGACTGGGTCGGGTGCAGGAGAACCGGTGTACATACCGAAAATACCCACGACATCCACCAATCTGCCATTCCAACTTCGATGTGTCCAGTTCCCACTCCGTGTCTGCTTTTGCATGACCATAAACAAGTCCCAAGGGCAGTCCCTGAAGGTTGTTGGTTTGGACCTAACAACACCATGCTTTGCTCATGGACAGTTTTATGTGGGTTGCTCACGGGTAGGTAATCCAGACAACCTTCACATTTTGTGAAATGACGGCAAAACGAGAAATGTAGTTTACCCGGCTGCACTACAGTGACTGCACGTCATGCCCACAGGCCTCTAGCAGAAGAAGGTGCCACATACCGCATGGTGTGTGGGGGAGGGGGGAAGGGGGGGGGGGGGGGAGAAGGGGGGATGGGGGGGATGCGGGAGGGGGAGGGGAGGGGGAGTCTCCATAACCATTGCATTTGTCCCTGTAAGATCTCTGTTACCTGCAGCTTCCTCTGATCCAACTGCCTACCGAACCTCCTTCCCTTGCGTCTCCAGTGACCTATGGCTTCCTTGCATTGGGTTTCCACTTTGCCTTTGTTCTGCCTCTTCTGGGGTCTCTTGAGGCCACGCTTTAGCAGTTTCGTGCAGGGCATGGTGTCTCCTGCCTTGAATTTTTTTTGGTGTCTCCTGCGGGTGTGCCGCAGTACTTTGCCGACGATTTGTTGTCATGGCTGACTAATCCCAATAACTGAGAACTCTATACGTGATTCCATTCACTCACCATGCTGCGCATTACTGTTCGCATTATTGTTCGAGGATGAAGCATCCCATCATCCCATATGCTGAACACAAGTACACTCTCTATGTCCAAGCTGCCACATGTACATGTACGTACATGTCTCAACATGCCTAAGGCACAATTTCCCAAAAATTGGACGAGCCTTCACTATTGTAAATCTCAGTTCTATATCTGCTGATAAACAACTACCCGGTCATGCGGTGTTACACAGCAATGTGCTGTTCATGTACTTGCTTCACCTGACTCGCTAGTCGGAGGGTGATGGAAATCAGCGCCAGAACAACCACAGTGAAGGCAAAATCCACAGCGAGATACACTACGCATAAAAGCCACCGCATCCAGTACGAAAGGAGGCAGGTGCACACAAGATGGGTGGTGACGGTCTAAGACTCATGGCAATGGATGGCTGGTTGTCATGGCAATGGATGGCTGGTTGTCATGGCAATAGACGAGTGGTCATGAAAAATTGACTGTGCAATGACACTAGGTCAAAGCTCATCATAATGTACAGACGGGTAGACAGGCTTTCACATGGCTGCCGGCTACTGTAAGACCAGATATTTTAATGTTCGTTAACATTACTGGTCTTACAGTATACTTGGAAAGAAACGCAGAGTACTGCTGGTAGTGTACAGTACAATCCATCATCCACAACATAGTCTACTCTTGCATGCAGTAGAACTGTAACAGATACTTCTCACTGTTGCCGTTGTTCAATTTTACATCAGCGCAGACTACGGCGAGACTATCAGAACGAGAAAGCAGCATACACTTTGTCAATTTGAAGAAATGCAATCAAAGGAGTCCCGAACTTCTCGCTCTTTGAGGAACCCTCCTCCGTACCTGCTGTTGGTTGATATTTAGACCCAGTGTAGTGCTGAAGTCGACAGTGTCGATATACCTGAGCACCAAACGGTTCCATGTGCAGGCAGGCAGGCACAGACAGACACACAGGCACGAACACACGCGCACATTAGGCAAGAGCAATACGGAGTGGAAGAGTGGGGCACCGAGACAAACACACGCACATTAGGCCAAAGCAACGTGGAGTGGAAGAGTGGGGCACAGGAACAAACACACGCACGTTAGGCCAGAGCAATGTGGAGTGGAAGAGTGGGGCACACAGGGACGAACACAAAGCTGCCAAAGTGACTACGTGCTCATGGTAGTTTGCGTAGCAGTCGGACGTGTCCACAGACACGATTATTATTAAGACTGCGAAGCATGGCCTTCCCATCGCACACACATGAATGGGTGAGTGCACATCTTCGACCTTCGACGCTCATCGCGAAGCTACAGCAGAAGCCATAGCACCATTGTGCTGGGATTACAACATCCAACAGCTTGCAAGGCTGAAGAAAAGAACTGTCCCCACCATTCACCATTGTCTACACCACACAGCTTTTAAAAGGGTTTTTTTTCTGGTCAGTGAATCCCAACTTTTTGGTCTACCGTAAAGTCGCGGATAAAAGCCGGGCTTATAAGCATATAAGCCGCTTTCTGCATCAGGCTTTAACCCTCTCAGTGCCACGGGCGACTTTAGTCGCCCAGAATGAGTATGGGTGTACAAATAAATTCGTATCTCCACTTCTACACACAGTGCAGATGCTACGAAAATGCAGAAAACGGACTTCGCTCAGGCGCCCTCGCGAGGAAGACTATTTTCGCTGCATTTTCTCCTCACAGCTGTCTGCCTGGCCATGATATCTTTCCAGAGAGCCATCGTTTGTAAAGATCCGTGGATATACAGCTGAGCTATGAAAAATTTTGAGTTCGGCTCAACTCAGAAAAATTTGAATTTTTCTGACCCCCTTGGCACTGAAAGGGTTCATGCAAACCAAGCTTGTATGCAAACCATGCTTATATGCACCACTGATATTTTTGCCAGGCTTGTATGCACATCGGCTGATCTTCTATTGTACCGCACTTTGGCTATTTTAATGCCTTTTCTGTGACATGCCGTCGCATGATACACAAACGTCCTCATGTACACACACACACCATGTACCATGTACCATGTATACGCCCGTCGCAAGAGAAGCACGCAAATCTGCAAATGCACTGGATGTGCACCCACAGATTTTCTCTTATAGCAACGATAGCGAACAAGATCTGAATGAGACAGGTCAAGACTTGCGCCAGATAGCTGTTCAATCCACACAACTGGCGAAGCCATGTGAATCGACCACCAATGCACACCTGGTCTACACCACACGGAGTACATCGGTATAAAACGGCCAAGACAGTTATCTATGCACACCCTACACTTGCTGGGGTAACCAGTATAGACAGCACGCTGCTTTGATAGAAGCAGACACTAGATGCACACACACACACACACACACACACACACACACACACACACACACACACACACACACACACACACACACACACACACACACACACACACACACACACACACACACACACACACACACACTCATGCAACGTACCAAAACATTGCTTTTTGATATTATTGATTGATGCCACAGCACAGTGAATAGCGGTATGGGATGTCACAGTTTCGTGAACCCCAACACACCTACCCGATCCGCGCTTGCATAGAAGCCAGGCTTCTACGCGCGACAGGCTTATATGCATTTGACCCGTTTGATTTTCAGGCTTCTATCCGCGATGTGCGTGTATGCAAACCCGGCTTTTATCCGCGTTTTTACGGTATGTTCTTTTCTTTCTTGTCTTTTCTCCCCCTTTCCCGCACACACACATCACACCGCATACCGGTACTCTGGCATGCACTGGCTATTGGTAACCACCCAGAAGAATGAAAGAAAAGTCAGAAGGAGACTGAGAAAGAGAAGAAAGACATGTGTGACCATAATGGTCGGAAATTGAACTCGCAACCCCTCAATTGGAAATCGACGGCTCATTCCACTGCACCACATGGGACGAACACGTAACACACACACACATACACACACAAACACGAGCACACACACACGTGCAATGGCGTACCTGCGTTTACTCAGCTGCAGCTTGGCAAACAGAAGGCGCAGCTGACCACAGACTGACTTCATCAATGGCGACACTGGCTCTTCGGGCACTTCTGCAGACGCCACTACTTTCGAAACAGAACAATCGGTATCTCCATCTCCATTGACAGCAGCGGCGGAGTGATCCCCATCTGCTACAGCTACTTCGCCATTGTCTTTCTGCGGACGCTCGCAGTCTTCCATGGATATTGCAATGGCTTGGCGAATGAGCGCAGCCTCTTCCTCGTCCTCAGCACCAATTTCGCTCAAACCTGCTGTGGTTGCTGCAACGGTGGCAACACCTAGCAGTAGAGTGGCGCAGAACAAATGAAACAATGTTGTGGACACAGAGAGCGAGCTAGGCAAGGGTGGTGGGCACAGGGCCTTACAGCAACAGCGTATGTAAAGAGGAGTAAGCTCAACTTCACTTTCTGTCCCGGCGGTTCAATTTAAAAACCTTGTAGATGTGAAACTACGTTACGTTTGGCTCGAAGGCCAATGTTCCTGGTCCTGTGATGACCGGAAGCGCCATGCCAGGGAGGTGAGTTTTCGATATGCTGTTTTACACCGCAATCTGAGGGGGGGGGGGGGGGGGGGGGGGGGGAGGCAGTTCCTACAAAAAAATTGCCACAGCCCATTTAACGAGTTTACATATCTCCCTACCTGGGCTTGGGGACGACTTGACTGTGGGTAATGATGATGATGAGGGTGGAGAGCATTCCCGCTGCTTGTCATCGGCGGCCTGGCGTTTCTCGTCCGCTTGGCGCTGCTCATGCCGTGCCGCGCACACCATTGGGTCCTCGTCCTCGTTCCACTGGTACAGGGCCGAGCGAAACGTTGGGTCGTGAAACCACAACTGCATATGTCACAGCACAAACGGGAGCAGGACAACAAACAGCACACACAAGTTACTAGTGCACACGCCATGGACAGAGACAAAAACCTTGCCAAGAGGTGGAAACCCGGAGCGCCTGGTCACTTGCACGTCACAAGGCGTTGGAAGAAAGAATGTACACTCGTATCTCGCTTTTCCAGGTGGCCCGGGACCGGGCACTGCCCATAACTTTGAATCACATACGTTTCAATGAGAAAGGGCCAGAGATCTAGCATATTACGTCACTATTTCCACAAAAAAGGCAGTACAAAGAAGTAGTAATATTTCCACTAAAACTCACAAAAGAGTGCCCAGTAGACTGAGATGCCTGTGGAGGTCCGGATAAGAGAGATATGAGTGTACTTGCCAGTGATATACATCAGGATAGCTATGCTGTTACTACACACATCCATAACTTTAAGTCACACCCAAAAGTTGAATGATGCACGTCATGAAAATGCTCGCCCTGACACAGCCGATCATGTTATGGCATGTGATGCTGATGTGAAGACAAATAAATACACGCTGTTTGCAAAAACACGAAACCGGACAATACTTGTATACTAAGTGGATGTACATAATATCAGGTGTACACCCACTGAAAACCTTGATGTACGTCCCCACTCACCTGCAGCAAGGTATTATAGTAGCAGGTTGCACCCAGGTTACGAAGGCCGACACACTGCGACTAGACGCAACGGCAGAAAGCAGCAGTTACACACACCACCAGCATCACACACATGTCTTGCACATTTTTGTTTTTTCCTTCACACTTTTCTCACCACTCTCCTACAGCACCTCATTGCACTATCTGCTCAATTTATTGTTTCAGAACTAAATATTGCGACAGAGCTTTCGGCCATATTTTTTTATTGTTTGTTCGCATTTAGTGTTCTGTTTCACTGTGATCAAGGGCCAGGCCCAACACTTTGGTGAACAGTTCAAGTGACGTACTCAGCAAAGAGACCGTGTTGGAATGTTTTGAGTTGAGGGACTCTGATGTGTAAACGGCTGCAATGGAGTCTGCGAGCACCTAGAAACATAAGAACTTCAATTTCCAACTACTGAACGCAATTACCAAACAAAAATGCTAGCCCCGGGTTGCTCACCTCATCTCGACGTTCACTCTCCGGCTCGAGGCTGTCGTTGAAAGAAGCGTCTGAAATACAAAGAAAAGAAACAACTCATCTTCAGTACATCATGGATGAAAGTGATCACGAAATCAGTGATTCCTGGGTTATTTTCGAAGACCAGAAATATGTAGGTCGAAGAGAAAACTCCCACCTGTCCATTGTAACGAATACCGAAGCGCTCCGATGTCCGGTTTAAGAGTTACAAAGCGCGAAAGTCGAGTCACGGAAAGTGTCGCTCCAAAGCCGCGGGCGCAGAATTGAATGAGGGATTTCCCCACCTTTCTGGGCATGGGATGACGTGGACAGTCATTGAAAACGGCACACGGGATCATGGCAGCTTGTAAACAAAATTGAATTTGTTGTGAGGAAGGAGACCGAAATGGCTGAGAGGAGATGCCTTTTTGTGGGTATGCTGGCACTGCAACTAAGAGGCTGGGTTGTGGCGCTGGTGTTTTGCCCCTCGTGGTAGAAAAAGTCGGCCCAGCGTGTTCCTCTTGTGACAAGCTTTCCAGGAAGCGCACGTTTGTTGAAATTGTCCAAAGGAGACCAAAGACTAAGTTATGACCCGGCGAATATTGAAATTTGAGGTAAGCTGAGGTCAAATTAGGTCTCCGGCTCTGCACATTTTTTCCCGGTACATAAGGCCAAGTAAAAAAAAAAGCTAGATGATCGTCCCCGTCCGCCCCAGTTTTTGTCAGCGCCCCAAGAAATATTTTATTTTTTAAATCGTGAGTTTTTGCCGAAATCGTTGGTTTTTTACCGATCGCGGATGCAGGAAACATGTGCACGCGTTTTCCGTGACGAACTTACTTTGTCAAAAGTAAATTGTTGGTAGTTGCTTCGCGATGTCGAAGTTCTTGACTGTGTTCCAGCTTGACGCAGATCTGTAGAGTGAGTTGTTGTCCTCTGTTTCGAATCATCTGGTGCTGTCGTTGCGATGCCCTTCGTTCTCTTGCAAATTCGTGCTGCAACGAAAGTGTTGAAGTCGTGGTATGGCTGCGTCGTTCCTGCCGATGCAACAGTTGCTGATGCGTTCCGAGGATTCAGTGATGGGTCGCTTGACAATGGGAAGGCGTTGGAGGATGAAGCCGTCATGTCGTGCGTTCAAGCAAGTGTGGGAAATTCCAAGGACGGCAGTAAGATCAATGTCAGTCCAGAAGCGCCAGTGGGCGACACCGTCAGTGCGCTGGGTCACTACGTCGACTTCGCTGTAACTGGACATGACAGGAATAGTGACAAGTCGACCACGGACAACGCCAGTGCAGGACGCAATGCCTTTGCCCTCATGATGGCCTCAGTAAACGCCACATCGTCCCTGCCACCAAAATGGACGCCTGTGACAAGCAAGAAAGTCGTACTGAAGAATGACCTCATCGATTTCCTGAGCAAAAACAGCCTTGGCTGGGATCATGCTCATGCTGAGTCATCTGGCATCAACTTTGTGGGCACACTGGCTGATGCACTATGGTATGTAGACGGCAACCACCACACGTTAGCCAGCAGAGGGTGTGCAGTGCCGGCAATGTTCAGCCACTTCACTGGCTACAACAAACCGGAGGACAGGAAGAAGAGGAAGAGAGACCACACCAACATCTTGCGATGTGACCTGGAATCCCTTTCTGCATACTTGTTTTTCCTTGCTGGCTGCTCCTACATGAAGCACCAAAGTTGGAAATCCGTCAGAGAGGCCGTCCTGAAAATGGCAGATAATTTCAGGAAGTATTCTGCCTATCTCAATGACCATGCCACTGCAGTTACGGCAAGTGAGGCCAAGAGATCGTGCGTCAGAACCGATGTTGACGAGCTCAAGGTCGTGCGTGCCACTCTTGTGCTGAAGCCCACCGCAGCTGCTAGGTACCGTAGCTTGCATGCTGCGATCCAAGCTGCAGCAGACTACGACTACGTAATGATTGAAGACCATTGCCCAGCTGACCACCGCAGGAAACATGAGTATCTGGAGGGTTTGGTCATGCCTGTCAAGTGTGTCCTGTATTCTTACACTGGCGGCAAGACGCATGTCCACTTTGTATGGCGGATCCCGGAGGACGTCGACGATTCTGAGCTGCTTCAACGGAATGTTCGCATTCAGCAGGAGGTGAAGGCGCTGATACCAAAATTCCACACTCGGATCATGCGCCGGGAGTTCATTCAGCTGTTTGGCTCCCTTACTAACACCAAGCCCGCCTTCTTGAGGGAAGCCTATCGCCGTCTTACGGGCGACACAAGTGCCAGCATCACCACTGACCAGGCAGCTGTCGACAAGCGTATTGCCGAGCTTTTCGAAACTGAGGACCCAGATCTCATATGGGATCTTCGAGTTGTGAACAGTGGCAGGCCGGAATCCTTCGAAACATTTCTTGAACAGTGTCAGCAGTACATTGAGGGGTCGATTGAGACGGCTGTGGATGATCGCCGACATGATGCTGTCGAGAGCGATGGAACGGTTATTACTCACCTCGCCAAGGCGCTGAGTGTCAGGGATTTGCACGAGCAATAGTCCGCAGTCCAAGTGCTCAAAATGTAGCCCTAAAAAATTTCCGTTCGCCACGACGGGGCACCAAGGTTTGATCTGGGGGCCTGAAAGAGGACCCCTTGAGGTACCCAAAACAGTCGAGAACTGCTTCTAGATCTGGGGCGCTCTCACGATAGAGGCGAATTTCTTCGGGGCAAATCCATGCACAAGTTTCGCGGAGCGTAAGTTTGAGCATGCATCAAACCCACTCAAAAGTTCAAATTTGAAATCTCGCACACTTGGAGTGCCACGTGGTGCGCTTCAGATGTAAACATGTAGATCTATACCTGGACGGACGGTACTCTGTAGTATTATTTTAGGTTCTAGGTCGATCGGGTGCGCCTCGCCTATGCCATGGGTTCATGTATTTTGGCCATACCAACTGTAGTGATGAGCTCCTAGATCCTGCCGAGTGCTGGCCGGCCTGGTGCTATCTCCTCTGTGCCGGAACCCGAAACGAATAGAACTCTGAAGTGTATTCACACAATGCCAAGTGCAAAATTTTCTGGCAGCCTGCACGGCATCCGAGGAGTCCGCAGTTAGACGGACAGGACTCATCAATCGCTACGAGCCCCTGTTGTTGAACCAGAAGAAAAAAATCTGCCTGTTTTGTGGCACGCTGAAACAAATTGGCGAGCTGTACAACCAAGCAGGCGACATCTCAACTCGTGACAGTGGAAGCAGAAAATAAAATAATTGCGGAACGCTGCTGCCACACGACAAGATCAAAGGATTATGGCAGCAATCAGTTCAGCGAATCTGATCGCTAGAGAGGTACACTCCCATAAGTCTTGCTATCGTTCATGCACTTATGCAGAGACTCTCGCTAGGATTGTAGCAAGCAGACAAAAGACGCACATTGCTGACCTCACTGCCTCATCGAATTCCTCTGAGGATGATTTATTCTCTGCTGTAGGCAGTGGACTACTTGATGACTGTGTTCAGAGTTGAAGCCAGGATAGTGATCAAGGTGGTTTCCACGACGTTCCCACACAAAAGTGCATGCCTTCATTTTGGTCCTTTCATGTCGGCCGATATTTATATATTTTGTTATTACACAGACAGAAGAACGTGCAGTTGCTGCTTCGTAACTCTGAGTTTCATGAACTGAATCAATCCGATCAGACGAACATTGATACTGACCTGGGCCTGAGAGTGCTACTAAAATTATACCGTGAATGAGGCAAGCCCAGTGTAACAATTACCATGTGATATGTAGCGCGATATGGAGTGTGTGAGAAAGTGTTAGTTATCTGTGCATTATTACGCGATGTTCCGAGTCGTGGAATCAGGTGACAAAACATACTCCATATCGCGCTACATATCACATGGCAATTAGTCCGCGGGGCTTGCCACATTCATGATATATAGCAGTACTCTCAGGGCAGGGTCAGTATCAATCTTCGTCTGATGATCGATTTAGTTCGTGAAACTGAGAGTTACGAAACCGCAACTGCTCATTCTTCTGTCTGTGTATTCCGCTCTTTGCTTTCGGCAAATTGAGCCGTCTACGGACAGTGGATGAACGTCACATGGGATATTTTGTTATAATGAACACCGCCCTATGGGAGAAACATGTGGAGAACATAACGTGACGGCATAAAACAAGACATTCAAGGCGGATGATGCACATTATAAGGATGATGTGCCGCACTGTGTACCGTACTAACCATTCCAGAATGGCCAATCATCAGAAAAAATAGTCGAGTGCAAGTAAGAACAAGTAAGTCCGAACAGGGATGGCTACAGTGTGCGATGTGTAGAGTTATGGTCCGCGCGTTATGGTCTTTCTTGAACCAGCTGCAAACCAAGATCGAATTCGTTTTTGGGGGGGGGGGGGGGTGTGCTTTGGCACCCCAAACACCCCTTCGTATGCCCCTGGTGTGGTCGTGTCCGCTGCGGAAGTACAGTTAAAAATAGTTCATTCCCTTTGTTTGACCATACCTGGTCTTTGGGTCACAATATACACAGAGGTTAAATATCAGCATTGTCTAATATTTTGCGGAACTATTTCCCTAGTTCGAAACAAAGTTGATGCCGCATTTCTTTATGTTTAGGTGCTGACACACACACTGTACTTTCAGCCACTCAGCCACTGCATTGCTGTAAACCATTACGTTGACTTGCACTTGAAGTAAATGCACTCCTTCTAAGGCCGACTCCGGTGTGCTTGGCACGGTTTTTTTCTCATATCAGTCTTTATACATGTAATTAATTAACTCGTCTCATCAGGTTTCCTTTGTGTATTTTGTTGTCACATGTAATTCTAGAACATAGTATTATAATTATTAGTATTATTGCTTTGAACTCATCTGTTATGCGATAGTGTGGTTGTAGGTGCACACTGCAAGGTAGTACATGACATGACAACTGTGTCGCATGTTGTGTCATACTGTGCAGTACTATTTCTCCTCTCTACATGCCTATACTTCATCCAAATTCAGTACAATTGCGTATGCTGGGTCTCCTCAGCCTCTGTGGCTCAAATACAGTTCACAAACATCGCTATGATGCTTGCAATAGCCTCGAAATTCAAATTCATGATCCAGTTGCCATGGCAACGCGTAGAAAAACAATTGTCGCGATTTGGTCAACAAAGCCCCAACACACCTAATCAAGAGACACATGCCTGGAAAGCCCTGCTCTTGCTCTTTCATTTGGTCATGTCAAACCTTGGTGCCCTTTCATGGCGAACGAAAAGTCACAATTCTGCACCCTGGACTGCGGACTACAAGTCTCCAAGCGCTGTCCTCCAGACACTCCTATTCCATCTGTGCAGTGGCTCAGGTACCAGTTTTGGCCCAGGAATCCGGCCACAGCTGCTGCTCATCGGTACACGGGAAAGCTCAAGGTAAAGTTCATGGTCCAGTCACGACAGTTTCGTACCAGTCATATTGACTGCCACTATGCAAGTGCCCTCTACCGGTATGAACGAGAGTTCGCTATTCGCTTCAGAGACCATGTAACCTTTGTCTGTCAGGATGACAAGCATACTATAAAAGTCGGTGAACCAGGACATCCAGTGGCAGCGGTGGATCGAGGCAAGCCTGTGCTCGTGGGTCTACATGAAAAACTTGTTGTATCGGACCATGACTTCACCAAGTTTAACTTGACGCCAAGTGTAAATCTGTTCATAGACGTACCGGAGAGCATTGACGACAGCTTCTACCAGGGCATAGTTCATGTTGGATTGAAAGACTGTGTCTTCCAGCACTCTTCGCCATCCCGCCATGCCTGTGAACTGTCAACTATACTGAAGTCAAAGGACGCAAAACCAATCCTATGCCTGTACACAGATGGTGGACCAGATCATCGTCCCACGTACATATCAACACAGCTATCTCTCATGTCCTTGTTCGTGGAACTTGACTTGGACTATCTGTGTGCCGTCCGTACTCCCCCTTACAACAGCTGGAAAAACCCTGTTGAGCGGATCATGTCCATCCTCAACATCGCCCTGCAGGGGGTTGGTATAGTTCGCAACGAGACAGAATATGAGAAACAGCTGAAGTCATGCAACAGTATGAAGGATGTCCGCAACCTTGCTGTGAAGCTGCCAGAACTTGAAAGTGCTGTTATTGATTCAATGGAAGACATGAAGGTGCTGCTGTGCTCGCTATTCCATCGCCTCAGGCTGAAGGACGAGTCTTTTCAATCTTTTGACGCTGCTGCAAAAGTGGATGTAGATACGTTCAGAAACGTTGTTCACCGAATCGATCCCACATTGGACGTGACCAACACCTCGAAGCAGCAGGCCAGCAAAAATGAGAAGCTGCAAACCTTCATGGCGGATCACTGTGTTGCTCACCACTATTTCTTCAGTGTTAAGAAATGTGGGAAAGCCTCATGCTCTGTGTGTAAGCCGCCAAGGTTACCAGATGCCGTCTTCGCAGACTTACACCACATTCCAGACCCTATGCCTGATGGTGACAAGTACAAGCCGTTTGAGTCCGTGTATGCAACTCCAACCTCGGAAGCACATCGGCCCTCGCTCACAGCATCTGGACAAACAGGATCTGCTGGTCATGGCATGCCATTTGCACCTAGTGCGCAATATGCAAAGAATGTGAAAGATGTGCTCAAGTGCTCTGAGTGTGCCAAACCTCGTCTGATGTATGCCAAGCAAAGCCTGAAATCAGCCGGACGCGTGGAGTTGCAAGCAGCTTTGGAGACATTTGTGTACACTTGCGGCAGCAACTTCAGTGACATACAGTGTGACGAAGGCAGCATTCTTGCGTCGATCCACATGAAGCGGAATCTTACCTGTGAGAGTCCTGTTGAAGTACCATACTTCTCTGCCGGATATGCATCCGTCTGCTTCCACTGTGGACTGAACAATGATCTGGAAACAGCAGACGATGCGTACCCTCTGTGCATTGTGTGCAAGGAGGCAGGAAAGTGTGGTACTAAGAAGCGCACACGCTCCTGCACTCCAGGTGCTAAGAAATAATTCCGTGACACTCGGTACTTTTGCCTGGGATAGTCTAGCAATGCCCACTACGTAGTAGTACAAGAGACTTACGTTGAACTTGAATAGGTGAATGTTGAGCCAAGTGTGTGCATCATCTACACTGTCTCTACTGCAACTGCTCTTTGTTTAATACTTTCTTTACTATATGGACCACATACTACTAGTATATCACAACGTCAGTATCGATCTGCTGAAGAAAGAAAAAGAAAAAAAGAAAAAAAAAGAAAAAAAGAGAAAAAAAACCTTGATGTTGTTGTGTACACTGTGTGCATGAGAGGGTAAAAAGTAAAAAAATAAAAATAAAATCCTCCCGCCCTCCCCGATTTTTCCAAAAAAAAGGACGATCATCTAGTAATTTTTTTTACTCGGCCTAAAGGGCTAACATTAGGGACCATCCGTAAATACGGATATACTTACCAAAAGAAAAAGAAATTATACCCCCCCCCCCCCCCCCCGTGAATGTACATGTGCTATTGTGTATTGCATCGATCCTGCTCCAGGGCATATCGAAATTTAAAATATTCAAATCACTGATGCAGCAAAACGCAGCGGTTTAGACCCATTGTGCATGGTGATCGCTAAGCGCACTGAAGTCCACGCCTTGTGATGTCAATGATAAAGAATTTGTTATAAAAGAATTTTTTTAACATAATTCAATTGATTGACTGAGGGAGATAGAGAAATAATTATTATAAACACTTTATAATGATAATACTTTCGTCTGACCTGATGCTTCTGAGAACCAATGTCGCTCTCCAAGGCCTTGCAAGCAGCTGGGATTTCCCCGACAATTTCGCCTGCACACAACGATGAAAATATTTGGACAAAAGTCAGTAATAGGAAATTTGTCAAATAGTTACTATAGTACTCAGTGAAAAGTAATTCATTTTCAAATTGCAAAGAAATTTCTTTTCCTATACAAATGAACGGAATCTTACTTGCACGAGCCGCTTTTGCATGGTAGAAGATTGAGCCGATAAGCCAAAACAAGGTGTTCTTGTTGCACGTTCTCAGGAGGAATACGTCCGGTCCATTCCCAGGCCTTCTTCTCCAATACAGCCTTTGGCGCCATTTCCCCAAAAGGATTTCCACACACGCACACAGACTAGACTGTAGACAGACGCTGAGCTAGCTGGCTGGCGGGCAGAGGGCACCCCACTTACTACACAGACACTGCTGCACAGACAGGGTCATGGACTCATGTCGTCATGAGCAGTATGCCCAGCTCTGTACACAAAAACACTCAAGTCCAGACGCAGATGCACCGACAGCGAAGTCATTCAAGGCAGCTCCACAAAACCAACAACACTCAACCAGGCTTGCCTTGCAGCTCTAGTGACTACTGCATGCCGACATGCAGGTATATTGCAGGCCACTCGTAGTCTTGCCACTGCCCAGTCAGTGCCCACACTGGTGCCAACGACGCTACGCAGGTCGCAAATGCGGTCGTGATACATGTATCGACTGATCGTGCTCGCCCAGGCGCTACAGTGCGTTTTTTTATAACAGACCATTGTCGATTTTGATTTTTTAGTTTGTTCTCATTCCAAATTTGAAATTTTTTCTTCACAGCTGCGTTTGTGTGGGTCTTGGATCGAAGAAAATTAACTTTGGGAGTCGGAATAATAATAATTGTCAAAGTTAGATATTCGGCCGGGTTTCGGCTGGAAATCGGGTTTTAAATGGTTTTCAGTGGATTTTGATTTTTTAAACGGAAGTTTTAGCCAGGAAAGCTCATCACTTGCATGGTGCCCGGCATGAGTTCGAATCCAGTACAGTTCATCTTGATTCTTTTTTTTCTTTTCTTTTTCGGTATACTGTAGTACAGCGCATGCATGTACATGCACATGGCTGTGTAGTTGTGCACCAGTCGATGCGCCAAGCCAGCTGAGTGGGTCTTTTTATTTTTTTTCGCGCGAAAGTTTATGTGGTGAACTGTGTTGGTAAAGATGAAGATGTCAGTCAATGAAATTTGCTATATTTCTTGTGTCTAACCAACCCTGTACGGATCGAACTGACGATTCCCGAGTGCGACAAATGTCCTGAAGTCTGCTCCTATTAGCTAGGTATCTAGAAATTTCAACTTGAGTGTCAAGTGAAGACTTTGCCAGTTGCAGACGAGGGAATTCTCGCTTCACGATTTTCCTGGTGTGTGGAGATACGTCGGAATGCCGACCCACCACACCCGACATGATGCTTCGGCCGGAATGCAGGTTGGTGCAGATAATTGCCTAATAATTATGTCTAAGCGTGTATACCTTTCCTTTCGTTGCATGCTTGGTTAATCCGACGGCACGAAATTATAGACATTTCGAAATTAACTTGAATATTATTTGGTCGTTGTATGTCTTAGTATTCCCTGTCAGTTTGTGCCTTTTTGTCGCGCTCGCCGACTGTATATGATCTAGCGACATTGGTACATGGTGGACAGTTAGTCATAACTCGTAACATTTTGTCCTTATTCTTTTTATCCATGATTACATTGGCTCACCATACGAGTTTATTTATATATTTTTGATAGGGCAATATGTAATGTACACACACACACACACACACACACACACACACACACACACACACACACACACACACACACACACACACACACACACACACACACACACACACACACACACACACACACACACACACACACACACACACACACACACACACACACACACACACACACACACACATACACACACACACACACACATACACACACACACACATACACACACACACACATGCACACACACACACACACACACACACACACACACACACACACACACACACATACACACACCACACACATACATACACACACCACCCACACACACCACCACACACACAGTGACACACACACCACACGCACACACCATCACATTACGACAAAATCAAGGCAATGCCGGCGAAGCTCTATAATTTTCTTGTGCCGCGTGCTAGGAGCATAATGGCATTGCCCGATAATAGCACTTGGTGTAAATGGGTTCCCATGTTCACATACACACACACACACCACACACACACACACATACACACACCATCCACACACACCACCACACACACAGTGACACACACACCACACGCACACACCATCACATTACGACAAAATCAAGGCAATGCCGGCGAAGCTCTATAATTTTCTTGTGCCGCGTGCTAGGAGCATAATGGCATTGCCCGATAATAGCACTTGGTGTAAATGGGTTCCCATGTTCACACACACATACACACACACACACACACACACACACGCACACACCATCACATTACGACAAAATCAAGGCAATGCTGGCGAAGCTCTATAATTTTCTTGTGCCGCGTGCTAGGAGCATAATGGCATTGTCCGATAATAGCACTTGGTGTAAATGGGTTCTCATATTTGTGAAGTGTATTATTCGGTTGCTGGCTATCAATTGTGCTGTGAGCATGGCAGAGTGAGGTCTTCCAGCTTTGTTGGTGTTTGCTCTATCTTGTGTTTACGCTCTGCAGAAAGGATCATATGTAGTGCCTTCTCAGCATTACATTACATCCATTGCGTAGCAGCAATGTGCCATCCTTCCGCGACTTAGGTGGAATGACGTGCAAGTGGTGCTCCAGGGTCAACTTCATTTTGCCGAGCACGTATGCCGCTGGCTTGGGGTCAGCAGCTGGGTGCAAAGTCTCTGTATACAAATCGTGCACTGTCGTCAACAATATGGCATCCTTGTCCAGCAATTCCCGTCCTGTAGCGGCAATGACTATAATATTGGGGAAATCACTCTCGGCACCTTCCGTGCTGTACTGAGAGATGATGCTTCGCAATTGGTGGTCTGTGCTTGGTGCATTGTCGGCAGGGAGCATGTCAATTTGCTTTTGGTAGCGTCTACAAAATCGACTCTCGTCTGAAATCCTGACATGGTGCATGCTACGCAACACATGCTCTGCAAGCTGAAAGTTTGGTGACTTCCACCTGTGTTCTGGTGTGAGTCTCGACTTACACCAAGCACATGTTGCATGGCCCACACACTGCTGGTAATGGGTTGGGCACAGAAGCGGTTCGCACTGTTCTTTCGGACTGTGCACGCGCAGTTTGTCTGCAGGACAGTGTACGGATGCCGCTCCGCTGCAATCATGTACACTGCATGTGCTTTGGCTGACTGGTGGCTTATTTTCTTTCGCTGCTGTGCATACTTGGCGTCGTAGTGCTTTGACGCACTTCCAACAAATGCATTGGTCTGACGTGATGGATGTGCATGTGTGTAGCTTTTGCCAATTTTGCCAATCTGACAGCATTGAGTCATGTGTAAATCGCTTGTCAGATGGCACTTTGGAGCAAATGCTTCATTCTGGGCCACATGGTCGTCAAGTATGTATGCTTGTGCCAGTTGTGGCATTGCTGGGTCTTCCTGCCGCTCACATCTGTGCACACATGCATGGAAAATATACGTAAAAACACTAGTTAGAAATCACGTCACCAGAGGCATGCCCTTTTTTCGGCCAGAACATAACTTCCGCTCCAATGTCACAAAGACTTACTCTTTCGATACGTCCAGCATAGAAGCAGCGAAATGCCTGGTTAATTCGGTGGCACGAAATTATAGGTCGGGCGACGAAAAAAGGAAAAGAGACAAACCGACGTGTAGCGACACCAAACTACAGAATTTCGTCGTTCTTGAAGAACTCATAACAGAAAAAGGTGAAAGGCGACTACTGAATCCTCGAGTGTGACGAATAACTCCGAGAAAGCGTGAGACTGGCCAGCACGTACAATCATGAAAACGATCGTATGTTGAGAATGCCTTGAGAAAAGTGCCCAAAAAGGGTGCATCTGAAAAATAGAACTCTGTGTTCCGACGTGATTTTTCAAATCTGGCGCATCGACTGGCACTGCTGCCTGCAGTTCTCCTAACCTTTGTAGGAAATCAGTGAGTCGTGGCTTTTCACGACTTATTGTGGCAAACTGTACTGAATAATTCAAATCCTGTATTGCAATTAGCTCAATAAATCAAAACATTCCAGCATGCATGTAGGAAACTTCCCTCGATCCCTGAAAGAATGCAGTGAAAATTCAAACACCACAACAAATCACAAAGGCAATTCACACAGCTCCCATAAAGAGACTAACAAAAAGGAAGCATGAGCAGTTTTACAAACACACACACACACACACAATGCAAATAGGTCACAGTTGTGTCTGGTTCAACATCTGCGAATAGTAGAAGACCAGCGAGGAACGAAACGGCCCCAATAATTCCGTGTTTTGTGTTGCACTTGTGACGACAGTATTACACAGTGAACAGATGTGCTCGGACAGCCGACGACGTATATCATCGTTGGCGCCGGCCTCCAGTCACGAACACATCGGCGCAGTTTTTCACGAATCTGTCCCGTCCACCAGTATGCAGAACAATAACGCGCTTGCCTTTACCTGATGGTGCTTCATTTGGTTGCTTGCCTATACACTCCTGTCACCATTGTCGTACCACCTCCTAGTACCTGTGTGACGCGCATTGACCCACGTCTCATCCAGGTATGTCTCACAGGTAGCGATGCCGCCATGACACAATCCTGTGCTGTTCCATCATTATTTGTGTGATACCTCTGGTCTTGCCACACTGGAATCCCATGGAACGCAACATTTCCAAGAGCTAGTTTTGCTCATGTCTGGAAAATCGTCGATGGTTTCTCTGCAGCGAGCAGGAACTTTGTCCAGTGTTGGGTCCTCCTTCGCAGCATAGAATCCGTAAATTATTTCTTATACAGTCCAAAGCAAATCCGTCAGGATTGAGTGGTTTCATGGCACGAGTCTCACATCGGGGATTGTCACTCTCGTTGCCTTCATCACTGGAGACAGACAATGCCAACGCAGCACGCTGATTTTCGCCGTCAGCATCCCTGGTACATCTGTTCATGGTGGAAATGCTGACGCCACACGCAACAGCAGCATGGCGAATGGAATACTTGGGACCAATTCGATGCCCAGCCATTGTTCTCCTCGTCTTCGCAACAAATTGTAAAACAGACACCACCATGTACCATGGCCCGTTCGCGTTTTGTTATAATTATGTGGCATGTCGAGAGAACAAGTTGCCACGAACGAAAAGACACTCGAGAAAAAGCAAAATAGGGCCACAGAGCAGTCAGCAACAAAATGATTCCTCCGGCCACGAGGCAAGGAGCTCGAAGGACACTCTGAACAAGATGGCGAAATGCCACGAGTCACACCTGGTTTTTCGAATTTCGCGCGCAGATTTTCGTGACGCAACTCGCATGACATTTTCTCAAAAGTGTCCTTGAGTACGTTCTCAAGGTTTTCAGAGTCTATTAATAGTATTATAAAAAAACGCACTGTAGGCCAGGCCTCACTGTAACGTAAACCTCACTATAACAGTTACATAAATCCCTGCCGAAACTGCATCATGTCAATGCATCATCACCTCGCCTACTAAAAATAATCACATGATTGTATACATGTAGTGCACAGAGAGTGCATAATCCGGAGATGGGTCTGTCTTTGTACGATCTACGTGACGTCTGTTCAGTTTAGTTTTTTGAACTGCTTTGTACGTACATGACTCGTTTGATTGATGTGAGACTCGAGCATGGGTGACGACTGGGCTGTGTCTTCCTCAGCAGATCTACCAGACATGGAGGCCGATAAGCTTACCAAGCAGGACCTCTCAATTGATACAAGACGCCATCGCTATCCTTTCTCCATCGTATGGACCCCAATCCCTTGCCTCACGTAGGTGAATTCACAAATTTTAAAATTATAAAAATTATGCTCTCTGTGCACAGCATTAATTTTCGTCAGCAGTGAACAAGACAAAAAATAATAATAATGATACAGGTAATAACACCAAGGGGGGGGGGGGGGGGGGAGGTTGTCAACCGACAACTGCTCTATTCAGCTGCTGCTCACTGCAAACTCGATTCGCCGAGTTACTTGAAAATGAGTTTCATTGATGTCGAATTGACGTTTCAGGCCAGCCACCCGTCGTCAGAGCGATTTACATGTGGCGAGCCAGGCCTTCATTTTGCAACATGAAATCAAGCTAGAGCGTATGTATTTGCTTTTGCATACAACAACACATTAACACACAATAGCGGTATGCCATGCCGGCGAGTGCGTAGATTTCAGGCCCGGCACCACTTGAGCCTCGTTGAGGGGCAGGCACGGCCATACTGATACCAGTTGTTACCAATTCCAACATTCATGAAATGTCCAGTGTGCAATTACCTATGCGAAACTACTAATGTACAGTAAGCTATCCTTATCCAATAGAGTCTCGCGCCGAGGAACGTTGAGCCCAAGAACGGCCAGCCTGAAGTGCTAAGAACCGCCGCAGCCTAAAGTTAAGAACGGCGGTGTTGTTTTCCCGGCACCTTTTGAGATACGTGTGATCCGGTACGAATTGTTTCTAAGAAAGTGCGATAAGAACACAGCCAGATTGCTGGGAAAAAAAAAAGAACACCCAAGGCTAACTCACCCCTTGGAAACAACATTCTTGGACACGCGGCTCTAACGTACACTCCTCACTAGAGTCTCTCCCTCCTAAACTGCACAGTTCTTCTAGTTCAGCGAAGACTGCTGTGGTTAAAGGAGTTTTATCTACTGTCCGGACTTGCGCATTTTCTGCTGTTTTACATCATTCATATTGTATCCGCCTCAGAAATGATGTTTCCACATACCGGTATTAAAGACAATGTTTTTTTTTGCATATCATTAAACTTGCCGGTATTTGTTTTTGCTTTTTGGCGCGCTGCAGATGGCTGTTTCCATTCATTGGGCACATGGGGATATGCATGTCGAATGGCGTGATCCGAGACTTTGCTGGCCCCTACTTCGTGTCGGTGAGTACTGTACATGTACATGTACTACAATGTACTACAATGTAACTTGGGTGCCCAGACAGATACTGAACGGATTGACAGTTTCATACGATTCTCTCATAAAGCCAGCACACTTGCCCAGGACCGCCAGGGAATTCACGAAATCTCACTGCTTGTCACACGGTTGAGGATACCATTAAATTTGTTCCAACTCCGTTAAGGTCGACCGGGCGTGACACGTTCGTGCCGTGAGTGTAATGGCATGCGTCACGTTGCTACTGGTGATGCTACTGCTGCTGCTGTTGTTGTTCTTCTACATGTACAGGAAGATAACATGGCATTTGGCAACCCAGTCAAGTAAGTCCATGTACAATACTGCCTTCCTTTGTTTATCTTAGAAGACCGGAGAAATTCATATCTCAATAGCACTGGGTTTCTTCTTCTTCTTTTTTCCAAGTGTCCTTCAAAATCACATGCAGCTATGCGCGCATACATACTGTATGTAGGACGCAGCTCTCCACGAACAACAAGTAACTCCAAAGCACAAAAAGCCAAAAACTAAACCGAGAGCATGTGCATTAAACTCATGTTATTTAGAAAGACAGTGGGTTCGAGTCTTCTTCTTCTTCTTTTTTAATTCTCTCATCTGACTTTCTAAGGGTTGGTTCACATATCGCCGGTACGCGCCGGGAGTCACCGGCGGTGGGCTTCTTGCAACCTGTCCCGGCGCATTGCGATTGTGTGAACCAGTGCCGTCGTAACAAAATCATTCCGTAAAATATCGCAAGGGACCGCCGGCAAAGTTGGACAGTGTCCAACTCTTGCGATCTGCCCCGGCGCCGATCCCGTACGATTTTGACCAAAAGTGGTTTGTGAACCGTTCGCGCCGGTGATCGCCGGCTGCCGGGAGCCAGACTTTGTCAAAATATCAAACCAATACTTGTCCTAAATTTTCCTAAATTGAAGCTAGAGAAGAGGTCCGTTCGCCATTCTTGTAGTCGCTTCAAGGCGGCAAATAAGTCAGGTTACCAGCCCGTCCTTCTCGGATGATCTGCTTGACCATTGTGCAACTTATGAGACAAATACAATTGAAACAAATATATAATTATAATGGATACATTGGCAAGTTCTTGTGACTTCATCAACGTTTGCAAGCATAATTTCGACACAATCGCTTACTAGACTGCAATAAAATGTGTAGGCGTAGTTTCATGATCTCCAGTAAAAGGTAGCACCGAGTGGCCATCACCGAAAGACCTTGAACTACAGAAGAAATAGAATTCAAGCTTCAATTGGCAAACCTGTCGTAGCATTTTGGCACATTCTGTACTACTTTGTAGTAGATTTGGTACTCGAACCGTAGGCGCAACGGATCGGGAGCTGGCTCACCACCGATGTCTTGCGGCGCCGATTTTGCTTATGTGAACCAACCCTAAAAGTGTCTCAGTCGGACCCTACCAGCAATCAGGCAATGTACTAACTAGTATTGTATATTGTGTAAAACAATAATGTTTTGTTGTGTTTTATTTTCAATATCTTCGTTTCTTGGTGGCAAACTATCACATTCTACTTTATACAATAATAAGTCATTGTTCCTGTTCCTCTGTTCTTGTCTCTACATCGCCCGAGGAGAGGGCACAAACTTTTACTTGTGAAACTTCAAAATGTTTTTGTTGAAGAACCTGAAGTGTGTGCTCTTTGTAGTGTTCTAGCGTTTTTGTCTCCGAGGACGCTTTGTACAATGTATTTGCTTGTACTAAATGGATGCTTGGGGTACGAGCTGCATGCCATTGTGTAGATTTGCGGCCTACTTTCAGAAATGAAAGTGCAGTTTGTTATCGTGTTAAAACATGAACAAAAAATGAGCTCTCACTTTGAGCTAGCACTGGGCAGTTCATTGTATAATTCACCAGCTGACACACTGATATTGACATTGATAATGTACAATAATGACTGTGTTGATGCCAGGGATGCCAGCCTGGGAGGGAATGCTCATGGCCCCATGCCGAGTTTGCAGACAGTACCATGCATGGTACCAGCAGACATGAAAGTGCATGAAAGACTGGTCTCTGCATCCATAAAAGGGCCCTATTTAACCGGAACACGCTAAAGTTCAGTTACAGTTGCATGCCAAATGTCGCCACCATCATCAAGCAACACAATCATAGTATCCTCCGTAGCGACCAGCAGAATAAGACCAAGGATGTGAGAACCTGCAACTGCCGTGTCAAAAATGATTGCCCCTTGGAAGGAAACTGTCTAGCATCGAGCATTGTGTACAGGGCACATGTAACCGGCAGCGACATGAAGGAGTACACTGGATTAACGGGAGGGACATTCAAGACACGATTCAATGGTCATCAACATACTATTCGCCACAAGAAGCACGAGACCTCAACGAGACTGTCCAGACACATCTGGAGACTGAAGGATGAAAACAAATCTTACAGTATCAGGTGGTCCGTTGTGAGGAGAGCCGCACCATACTCTAACATCTCGAAGCGCTGCAACCTGTGTCTGGCCGAGAAGCTAGAGATTGCCTGGGCCGACAAGATCCGCTCCCTCAACAAGAGGTCAGAGCTTGTGTCCAAGTGTCGTCATGAAAACAAGTTCTACCTCTGTAACTTTGCCCGCAAGGTCAAGTGAATCTAGCTGGTAGTCCCGCTGCCTAGTGTGTGTGTGTGTGTGTGTGTGTGTGTGTGTGTGTGTGTGTGTGTGTGTGTGTGTGTGTGTGTGTGTGTGTGTGTGTGTGTGTGTGTGTGTGTGTGTGTGTGTGTGAGAGAGCGAGAGAGACAGAGAGAGAGAATGTTTGTGTGAGGTTTGGAGAATGCGTGTGTGTGTATGTAAGATTTAGAGAATGTGTGTGTGTGTGTGTGTGTGTGTGTGTGTGTGTGTGTGTGTGTGTGTGTGTGTGTGTGTGTGTGTGTGTGTGTGTGTGTGTGTCCCATATGGTGCAGTGGTATGTGCAGCGATTTCCAATCGATAGATTGCGGGTTCGATTCCCGACGATTTTGGTCACACAAGTCTTTCTTCTCTTTCTCAGACTCTTCCTGACTTTTCTTTCATTCTCCTGGGTGGTTACCAACAGCCAGTGCATGCCGGCAAGAGTCCATAAACAAGAGTATGCAACTGTGATCTCTTTTCTATGGGCCAGATGCGCGGCGCGCTGCCTTCATTACATCATTCAGCTGCAGTCCGCGCAGTGGCGCGCATTGCGGAAAATCAAACACCGCACTTTCCCTCTGGTTTGAAATGAACTTTCGTACGGAACTGGAGTTCACGCGCCAGAATTCAGAGATCGCATAGGTACTGGAACGAATCGAGGAAAAACGGATGGGCTCGTACGAGAAATTGTGAGTTTGAATGTATGCTTTCAGAGCGTGATGAAGGCAAGTTACGTAATGAAGGCAGCGTGCCGCGCACTGGGCCATAACCACAGTTGCATACTCTTGTTTATGCACTCTTGATGCCGGAGTATGTGGTGTGATGTGTGTGCGGGAAAAAAAAAGAAAAGACCAAAAATAGGGATTCACTGGCCAGAAAAAGTCACTCCAGATAGCTGTATGGCGTAGACCAGGCTGAATAGTGACGGTCAATTCTTCAGCCTTGCAAGCTGTTGAATGGTGCAATCCCAGCACAAGTTGCTATGGCTTCTGCCGTAGCATTGCTATCATCGCCTCCGGTGATGGGCGTCAAAGGTGTGTGAGATATAGAGAATGAATGTGTGTGTGTGTGTGTGTGTGTGTGTGTGTGTGTGTGTGTGTGTGTGTGTGTGTGTGTGTGCGCGTGTGTGAAATATAGAGAATAAATGTGGGTGTGCGTGTGTGTGTGTGAGAGAGAGAGAGAGATTTAGAGAATGTGTGTGTGGACGCGCGTGTGAGTGTATGTGTATGTGAGAAAAGGGAGAGAGTGTGGGTGTATGTTTGTGTAGTGGTTTGGGCATGTGTGGATTTGGCATTTGTCCCCAGCTCTATTCTATATCATTCACGCCGGAACTACTGCTGCATAGCCCCAAGTCTGAAGACTTGGCAATTTCACGCCTGCACCGGACTCTTGCGCTATGATACGCGTCGCCTATGACACCCCTCAGAATTTCCCACCTTGCTCCCCCTTATGTTCTGGCTGCCCGTTTTGGATCCATCAGTTGCCTGATGATCGTAGTAATACGTGAAACTCAGAGTTGTAACAAAGCTTCCAAACTCTCTCTTGTGTACAAGGCTCTGCCCTACATGGGCATTGAGCACTCTTCGGACAGTGAAGCACACCACTTGACTACGTAAAAGGGCCCTATGTTTACTTTATGGTCCGGTCTTCACCCATACTCGTGCTTCTACGTGAGCAAAATGACCCCCTGCCCTGCCAAAAACATTGACTTTCCGCATCTACGCACAACCGGTCATGCTCTTTTGTGCGCGGCAGTACGGTACATGCATACCACAGAAATGGTCACGGTCTGGCACAAGCAAACTCACTTCCTCAGCTGGTGATGCTTCTAAACACAATTATATCTGATGGTAACCCGGATGTGCGAACTTCACATTTGTTTAATACCCCAGAAATACAATACGCCGCTAATGTTGTGATTTTCTGCTTTCGTTCTTGCCTGTTGTGAAGTTTAAAACGTTGCTTTGCTGCTCCTCTCTGATTTTGGTGGATGAAGATTATGGTGGCATTTTATCAATTATTTTGTCATAGATAAATATATGCGGCTGTCATCCCATAGCATTGCTACCGGCTATTCAGGGTCTGATTCAAATGTTTTTTGTATGGCAGTTTCCCTCTGACACGCTATAAATGCAATTCTGGCGTATTTGTGCACAGATACTGGCAGCTGAATCCGGGAAGCTCGGACGCAGATCGTCGAGAGTGGGACAATGCGGTCCACCAGGCTTCGGAGACATACAAGGGTAGAATGGTGAGTGATCTTTCAGTCCCTGCTGTTCATATCACATACAGTACTAAATTATACATGTGTATTGGAGATTGCAAGGTACGCATGTTGCAGTTGATTGATGATTTCTATCACTCTGCTATTTTTATTTTTTTATTCTTTTTATTTTCGTTTCGTGTTGATTTCAGGCTCGCCTGAACTAGTGTAGCACAATGTTTTTTTGCTGGCAACTTGTCCTCTTTTGGCTGTATGCTTGTGTGCACACCTGCATGTATAGTGTACCATATACACAAGGGAATGGTCTCAAACTGCGGAGAGTGCTCAATGCAAGCGAGGCAGAGCTTCATCACACACAAGCGGAAAAACCGTCAGAGATCAAATTCCATTACACAGTATTTCGCCGTTCAAGCAACGGATCATCAGATGGATGATCAAACAAAGTATGATACACTGGTTATATACTCAGAAGGTGTGAACTCCGTCACTATGGAGTGTGAAAATTATGTCGGGTCCCGGATGTGACAAGTCCATTTTTCATGATGCATTGTACAGAGTGCCTAGGTGCTAGATGAGGGTGATGATATTGCGGGGTGTGACCAGCCCATTTTTCATGATGCATTGCACAGAGTGCCTAGGGAAAGGTGATAGCGCAGAGTGGTGCCATGCCAGGTAACAGATATAGAGGCGCTACCAAGGCCATAGAATAATCACTGTCCTTATGTGATGGGCACAACATTTGATAGGACATACTTGCTTTCGTGCCTGCATTTTGACACAATCTCATTTCGCTTGTTTAGCCTAGTGCGGGCGTCGGTTTCGAGGATGTGATACTTCTCGGTAGTGCAGAGGCCACATCTCTTGGACGTGTTATCGAACGAGGTGGCCCTGTCGCGGATCTTCCAGTCAATGACGTACTGTCTGTTGTCCCGCTTCATCGACCAAACATGCTTTGACAACTCGGTGGAATTCTCATAGCGGTCATGCCTGAGCGTAGTCAAATGGTTGGAGTAGCGAGCTTTGAAAGGCGGCGCAGACATGCCGGTATAGACCTTGGCGTTACGGGTGTCGTCCGACACCATGGCCTGGTAGATGACGTTGTCCGCCTGGCACTTTCCTTCGAGTGGACACGAGTTCTTGATCCTGCAGTTGCAGTCCTTGTCCGGTGTTGGTGGGTGCAACACTCTCTTGTTGTGGGCCTTAATGAGTCGGGCCATATTCGGCATGCAGCTATATGCGATCTTCACAGTGTTCCTGTTGAATAATTTGTGCATCTTGCTGCCCTTAGGGAAATGCTTTCGGATGAGGCTCAGGAACCGTGCACCGATGCCTGTGGCCACACTCGCACTATATGGCGGGTTGAACCAGATAACCCTGCGGTCACGATTTCTCTTCTTGGGACGACTGCCCGCTGCCGGTGCCGGTTGGTCTTCATCAGGGAACGACAGTTCACTTGCGTGACCGCTTGCGCGTAGGGCATCGGCATAAAGCGGCCGCACTTGCTCGAAGACCTCCTTGGTGCATGAGATTGATACGAGCCGCTTGTTGACGCCAACAGGTATGCTCTTGATCACGCTAGGCGGGTGGTTGGACTTTGTGTTGACATATAGTGGCGTGTCGTTAGGCTTCCTGTAGGGCTTGTAGATGCCGGTTGCGATGTTCATGGTAATGTCGAGGAAGTTCACGGCTTTCATGTTGGTATCTATTGTTATTCTCAGGCCGAGCTTCCTGAATGCCTCAATAACATCCTTACGGACCCGGTCCGCGCGGTGGCCATTAGCGTTTCGGAGTATGGCCAAGTCATCATCCCTGTAGAGACCCACGTTTTCTTTCCCGAAGATTGGCACTAGCTTACTGAGGATGAAAGCGCCAACCAACTCGCAGGCTTCCGCCCCATCATGCGATCCCATGGTAACATCAAAACTCTCGTCTTTGTCCTTTTTCATCCATGCTCGACCACCCGCGAAAAGCAGTGATTTTCTGGCGTGCATCACGATATCGACGTTGCTCTTTCGGGTGAGAGCATTACTACTTGCATGCTCCAGGGCACTTTTCAGCAGTTCCTCGGAGATGGACGGGTAGAATTCGACTATGTCGAACACGACGAACGAACACTCCCTTGGGTTCTGGATGCCATTAAACCAATCAATGACGGCGTGCGTGTTCTTCCATAGATTGACGTGGCTCCGCAGAGGCTCAGTGACGGACTCCAAAATTTCCTTGCTCACAACACCTAGCTGGGGTTTGGCGGGGTTGATGAGGCGGCATGGGAGTTTCTTTTCAAAGTTTTCTTTGTGATCTTTTAATGTGATGAATGCTTCCGACTTCGCCAAGACGTTTACTCGGTCATCAATCTCCAACCGCTCAGCGATAACTTTGGCTTCACTATTGATTTCGTTGTCGGCGCTATCAGTTGCATGTTTATACGTTTTTGTGACATTTTCGGTGAGCAATGCGTTATACTTGTTGGCAGACATGCGGTACAGGTTCCTCGTTTTATCCGCAGGAACAATAATGTCACTCGAAGTCCTTACCGACCGTAGGTCATCCTTCATGCGCTGCTGGAGGTCGTTGTCGGCATTGCGGAAGCTCGCGGTCTCGATCATGGTGTACATATCCTCTTCGAAAGCCTTCAACTCCGCGACCTTCTGGGGGCAGTTCTTCGTTCTGAATCCGTATGTGTTCTTTTCTTGGCTGTCCTGGCCATTCAGGAAGAAGATGGCCTTCCACCTCATGCGGCGGATAACGTCCTCGACTTTCTCGATAAGCTTCTTCCTGTACTCCTTTGGCGATGGCAACGGAATGTTCTTCAATGAGTATCCCAGGTTCATACGTGACGGTTCATCCATGGTTGCAGATTTCGACGAAAGTGCTCAACTCAATAAGAGGAGCTAATTCACACAAGGAAATGGTCTCAAACTGCGGAGAGTGCTCAATGCAAGCGAGGCAGAGCTTCATCACACACAAGCGGAAAAACCGTCAGAGATCAAATTCCATTACACAGTGTTTCACCGTTCAAGCAACGGATCATCAGATGGATGATCAAACAAAGTATGATACACTGGTTATATACTCAGAAGGTGTGAACTCCGTCACTATGGAGTGTGAAAATTATCATTATGTCGGGTCCCGGATGTGACAAGTCCATTTTTCATGATGCATTGTACAGAGTGCCTAGGTGCTAGATGAGGGTGATGATATTGCGGGGTGTGACCAGCCCATTTTTCATGATGCATTGCACAGAGTGCCTAGGGAAAGGTGATAGCGCAGAGTGGTGCCATGCCAGGTAACAGATATAGAGGCGCTACCAAGGCCATAGAATAATCACTGTCCTTATGTGATGGGCACAAAATTTGATAGGACATACTTGCTTTCGTGCCTGCATTTTGACACAATCTCATTTCGCTTGTTTAGCCTAGTGCGGGCGTCGGTTTCGAGGATGTGATACTTCTCGGTAGTGCAGAGGCCACATCTCTTGGACGTGTTATCGAACGAGGTGGCCCTGTCGCGGATCTTCCAGTCAATGACGTACTGTCTGTTGTCCCGCTTCATCGACCAAACATGCTTTGACAACTCGGTGGAATTCTCATAGCGGTCATGCCTGAGCGTAGTCAAATGGTTGGAGTAGCGAGCTTTGAAAGGCGGCGCTCGTTCGATAACACGTCCAAGAGATGTGGCCTCTGCACTACCGAGAAGTATCACATCCTCGAAACCGACGCCCGCACTAGGCTAAACAAGCGAAATGAGATTGTGTCAAAATGCAGGCACGAAAGCAAGTATGTCCTATCAAATTTTGTGCCCATCACATAAGGACAGTGATTATTCTATGGCCTTGGTAGCGCCTCTATATCTGTTACCTGGCATGGCACCACTCTGCGCTATCACCTTTCCCTAGGCACTCTGTGCAATGCATCATGAAAAATGGGCTGGTCACACCCCGCAATATCATCACCCTCATCTAGCACCTAGGCACTCTGTACAATGCATCATGAAAAATGGACTTGTCACATCCGGGATCCGACATAATGATAATTTTCACACTCCATAGTGACGGAGTTCACACCTTCTGAGTATATAACCAGTGTATCATACTTTGTTTGATCATCCATCTGATGATCCGTTGCTTGAACGGTGAAACACTGTGTAATGGAATTTGATCTCTGACGGTTTTTCCGCTTGTGTGTAGTGTACCATATACGTGTACTGATGGTTGTGTTGCGTTGTTCAGCGAATTCTGCGCTGTGTGTTTTAGCCGTGTGCATCTGCGCTGTGCACGCGTCGTTCTGCAGCACAATCTACTCTGTGATAACTGCCACTCGCACGCTGCCATGGCACTCAACCTGCAGTTGTACGACGGCTCGAGTCGCTGGAACATGGTCAAGCTTGCTCTGTACATGATGATATACGGCCGCTATACCAGGTGAGTGTACAGGCCGTGTGTATGCTTCTCTCAGCGAGACTGCTCTGCATAGCACCAGGAGTACATGTACATAACCCCAAGAGTGTGCAACTCCAGCTATGGGGCCTGCGACGGCAGAATTTCACATCACGTGCCGAACCCGTACACGTTATTTGCACCCTGCGCGTGACAGATGCAGGCTAGGCTTGATCGCAACCCTGCTTTTGGGTTCAACTCTCTTGTGGTCACTTTGCACTGTTTGCCAGCGTAACCTTTTGAGCCATGTCCCGTGATGTGATGTTCTGCCGTCGCAGCACTGTATAGAGGTTGTGCAGGCAGTTGCACACTTTTGGGGGTTATGTACTCTGCATACAGTCAAGAGTACATAAACCAGAGTGTGCAACTCGGGATGGTTCCTGTGGGAGCGTAATTCGTGCAGTACGTCATTTCTGACGGCATGGTAAGCCACAGGTACGGTGAAAAGTTGCGTAACCAGTCGCGGTGGTGCAGGTCACTGAGTTTGGCCTGATTTCGGTTTTTTGATACGGATAGCCTGGTGACTTTACTTGTCGGTGGATGTACGCAGCGTACACAGTCACACAAAACACCGAAATCCTGAAACAGGACGTCTAAAATCAAGCAAACTTGGCTGATTTCTGGGCTATGAAACATGAAAATTTGAGCTGTACGCAAGTCGCGGCTTGGCTGACCTCATCAGGGTGACGTAGTGCACGAACTGCGCTGTTTCAGATCTGATATGCACAGTTGCACACTCTGGTTTTTGTACTCTTGATACAGTGCATAGCACCTCAACGTTAGTCGACAGCGCGTGTTGTCCACACACGTTGCTAGGCTGTAACAGTTATCAGGTGTGTCTCTGCGCATCCAATGCGATTGTACCTCTTTTCCATCCTCTTTTTTCTCACAAAAGCTCATTCATTTTCTTGCCTCGGGAGAGTCAGAAATGGATAGAAATCCCGGTTCAAAATTGCATGTACAATAAAACCTGTAAGGGGCCATCCGTAAATAATTTAGGGCTGAAACGGTTACACATTTGTGCTTAACGGTTAGCTGTTAGCATAACGGTCGGTTAACCGGTTGTAACCTATAAGACTGCAACATGGAAACTTCATTGTTTTTGACGCCATTTTCATGCCTTGTCTGAAGAATTTTCATTAGGGGTGAAACGAGTATCTATTTTGACCAATCGATCACTCGTTCATAATATTCGATCGAGTATCCGATTATTTCGAGTATTTTAACAAAATTCAAAAGCACAAGATTTGCGAGTTCTCGACCAATTCGGAAGAAATTATCTGTGAACATAGAACAAAAGTCGCCAATGTCTTGTACAGAGTGTAAAGTAACGATTTTCATCAGTACTTTTATATCTCAGAACGTTACTTGCCGTGGTGATCGCATCGTCCAAGTCTTAAAATACTGACTCAAACCCATGCATAACGCATGCATACCAGTGGACCAGCGGGACAACAAAAGTTTTTGAAAAATACAATGCCAATACTAAAAAAAAAAAAAAAAAAAAAAAAAAAAAAACGATCGAGTGCAAAATTTCGAATACTCGCTCGTTTGAAATTTTCGAACGAATACTCGAATATTCGAACTAATCGTTTCACCCCTAATTTTCATGGTTCTGTACGAAATAGTCGAAAATAGGTAACATCCGCTGGGTAGCTGAAAAGTGGAGTGCACAATTTTCACCTTACACCTGAGGTCATAACTTTGGTGTCCTTCACTTGATTTTCACAATCTTGGGCTCCTTGGAAAGCTCCTGGTGAGAGCAAAGCGATGATACTAGGTTCCATCAAGCAACCTCCACATATCAGGCGCAGGAACACAGCGAAATCGTTTCCAAGCCCGATATGCAAGCAAATCCGTCCCATCAACGCCATTTCACTTTCTTCCATCGCAGAACGCACAAATATTTTGAGACGATTGAACTTCAGGCCGCTATGTCACTAGCAGGGAGTCGTCAAATACAGTAGGTATTTGACGACTCCCTGGTCACTAGTTTGTGCTCAGTCGCTCCAATTGGCCAAAGGCACGCAAAAAAGGATTTGTTTCACAAAAGGTGGTGATGAGTATCGATTGAAAATTTGAATTTGCAGAGATAAAAATTCGGCATGCGATATCTCTGGAGTCAGACATCGCAGATCTTCAGCGATTGTTGCAATGCAGAGCTCAGAGTTTCCGCTACCACGTAGAGCCTTCGATTGTTGAATTTGAACAAGAAATGACGGAGTTATGAAGGTTCCTATTTTTCGAAAAATGTTCGAAAAAATCGCTGCATAACCGTCGATCAAACGGTTATCCGTTTGTTTGGCCCTAACGGTTACATAACCGGTTATTCGTAATGACCGTTTCAGCCCTAGTAAATATAGATATTTATTTAGAAACGAAAACTAGTCGTTTAGGGGGGGGGGGGGGGGGGTTGAGCGCCTGTTTGCTTCTTGAAAAATATCGATACACAGTTTGTATGTGTGGGCACATCCAGAAAAGAAAAGAAAAAATATCGATACTATTCATCGTTTGTATGTGTTCGTTTCTGAGGGAGGGGGGGGGGGGAGGAGGGGGTTGAAGAGAAACGACTAGTTTTCGTTTCTAAATAAATACTGTATCGGTATTTACGGAGGGCCCCTAATCAAGAGGAAGTGAATCTGTGGCCTGGGAAATTCCTAATTTAATTTCAGTTCGCCACCGCCGTCGCCGTTCTCGTGCCAAAAACCTTCTTTGGGAGCTCCTGCACCCCATAAAATAAATGGCCATAATAGTGGACAACGTAACTGCCAACCGACGATTCTGGTCCACCAATGTCGGCTGCCCAGGATTCTTTGAGAAAAGGGTGAAGGGATGGTGGCTGGAAGTCATGCAAGCGTTGCAGGAGGCAGGGAAGCAGGATGACGCAGAGGACTACTTGGATAGGCAGTATGTTAAAACATTCCGTGTGAGCAAACCTCTGTTTGATGCAATTTACACCGACACACATGCTCTCTGGGAGAAGTCGGACACTGCATTACGTTGCGCCGTGAACTCGGAGAAGAGGCTTGCCATGTTATTGTATTGGCTGGCACATGCTACCACGCAGGACGAGCTCGCGAATCTCTTTGGCGTGGGACAGTCGACTGTACACGAGATTCTGCACGACGGCGTAGACATGTTGGCTCTCCATCTTGGCAAGAAGTCAATTTTTTTCCGAAAGGAGAAGAGCTGAAGCGACAGAACAAAAACAAAACAAAAAACAATTTAAAAAACTCGGATGTTGAGCCATATGTCCTCTTCCTTTAAAACAATAAAAGATGAAAATATGAAATATAATACAAAAGTATTTACACAATTGGGTGAACTCACCCATTCCACAATTCTCTGCAAATCTGAACCATTCCATTATAATACAACGTTTCGGCACTTGGCCATCGTCAGGTAATAACAACAATTAGGTAATTAGGTCGGGTAATAACAATTGTTATTACCTGACGATGGCCAAGTGCCGAAACGTTGTATTATAATGGAATGGTTCAGATTTGCAGAGAATTGTGGAATGGGTGAGTTCACCCAATTGTGTAAATACTATGAAACTGCAGGCAGCCTCAAAACTTCTTCTCATAATACAAAAGCACAGTGGAATTAGAGGTCAGGCCGGATCCTTAGAATTAAAAAAAAACTAGTTGTTTTGATCAAATTGTATTGAAATTCCATTTCCTGGCGTCGTAAACGAGATTCTCTCTCCTTTCTCTCGGTCTCCCTCTCGTCCCTTTCTCGCTCCATTCTTAGCTCATGCCGTTCACACCGTCGCTCCCTCTCCTCTTCCCAATCTTGCCTTCGTTGTTCAAGATCATGCTGCCACTGGCGCTGCTCACGAACCCGCCGCTCTTCAAACTCCAGTTCTCGCAGCCTGGTGTTCTGCTCGATTTCCGTCAGTCGAACTTGAACATCTGTTACAGATGACACATAATCCGTCTGAGCACGCCTCCTCCTGGCTCCTCTGCCCACGTCCCCTTCCTTCTGGGCCAGCGCTTCCACCTGTGGAGCCACAACAGGAGTTGGTGCCCGACTGGTATCAGTTATCGGGTTTGGTGTCGGGGGCCGCAACGCCTCAGTTAAGCCTGGTTGAGTCGAGTCAGCTTGGCCAAAGTCGGCTTGCGTCTCAGTAAGTTCTGGATATGCTTCATCCAAAAATGAGGCATATTCATCGTCCACTTCAGTGGTATCGGTTGACCTGCTAGTGGTCGCGGGTGGTGCAGTCAGCAAAGGTGCAGAGTCGTCTAGGTGGTCCGACATGGACCGATCTAGGCGCGCAGACCTTGATGACTGCGCAGTGCCTGGTACTGGTGAGGAAACACCTGCCGACAATGTGGTGCTTGCCACTGATGACCAGGCCACCCTTGATGCACTTGGCGCGGGCAATGTTCGGGGAGGCATAGATGCACTTGGCGCAGGCAATGTTCGGGGAGGCATAGATGCACTTGGCGCGGTCAATGTTTGGGGAGGCATAGATGCACTTGGTGCTTTCAATGTTCGGGAAGGCATAGATGCACTTGGCGCGGGCAATGTTCGGGGAGGCATAGATGCACCTGATGCCGTCGTGTACTGCGTCTGGGTGCCGAGAACAATGTTATCATCATCGGAGGAAACAGTGTCCAAGGACATCCATCCAGCTCCTAGGTTGGGGTTTGTAAGGAATAGCTGGTTCCAAACCGCAAAATTGGCCCACTTTCCCACGGCAGCCTGCATACAAACATGAAAAAGAAGAAGGAGAAAAGATAAATAGATTGCCAAATGCATTATAATACATTAACACAGAATGCGTGCCACAAATGACAGCATTCTATCACCCGTTGCAGAGAATGCATCACCCAAATGGCTACCCATGCCCATTTCAGGTTCCGGTTGTACCACATATGCACTCATTTCAGGTGCACATTTGGCAACATTATGCACTCAGTCCCTCTTTTGGCTTCCTTTGGACTTTCCCGGTCCCGCCTGGGTATTCTAACGGTTGAACCCAGTGCACTCTTCTGGTCCACATTTGGCTACACAGGGACTTTTTCGGCCCTGTGAAGCCTCACACTTCAAGAAATTAGAGTCAAGTAGGGTTCTCTCTTTCTTCCTCTCCTCTAGGAAAACTACAGTGCTTTGTGGTCGAGTGTGCAAACACATCCCAAGCACAGGACACACTCCGAAATAACTGAAACGAGGGATTTTTACACAGTGCATTTCCAATGAAACACCCGCCGTGGCCCGTGGGAACAAGACACAACAACTTATGATGGGCAAACTCTATTACAATATCAACATCATTCCTACTGCTGGTGACAAAGCAATATTGATTGGCGAGAGAAACATAGTGAAATTACCTCAAGATCTCCGGGATCTACTACAGCGTTTCCAGATTGCTGGAGAATCCGGACCTTGGCGTAGGCTTGCTTGGCCTTTTTCTTCACATTGTCCAGCTTGTTCTTGCACTGGTCAACAGTCACTTCCGGCAACCTTCTCTACACAGAAAATGCCGTCATCTTGGCTGCTGCCTGGCGATGTTTGTCCAGTAGAGTCAGCATTTGCCCTTGTGCAGCTCACAACACATCATGCCACACTTGGGTGAAGTGGGCTTCTTGTTCATCAGAGAACCCTCGGAGAGGCATGGCGGAATCGTGGGAGAAATTTGAAAATGCAAACGCACGTACAAGGTTGCTTTGAAAAAGACAGGGAGAGGTACGCCCGTTCATCCGTTTTAGTTCAAAAACCTGGTATACCCCCCCCCCCCCTCCCCTCTCCTACCACGTCTACGTTTCCCGTTTCCTTGCCTCCCGTTTTCAGTCCGTATATGGATCATCATGGCAACCGACTAAAACCTTACGTGGACGTAGACGCAGCACTTTGTACCATGGTGTGATGACAGCCTAAGCCTTACTGTATTTCCGCGCATATAAAGCCATGGCGTTATAGGTGAAACATCGCTGTTTTGGACCAAATTTTTGGAGAAAATAGCCTCGGTTTTAACGCCATGGCGCTAAAAGTGAGAGACGCTTACATGAAAAAATCGGCAGAGTATGAACTCCGAGTACTCGTATGGTGCCGTTGCACGTTCATGTCGAGCATCCATATACTTTCAATTTTCCCTGAAAAATTCAAATTGTGAACCTATTGTGTACAAGGTGGCATACAAACTTGTGTGAAGGTGCGGTGGCGGTATGGCATGTGACAGTGGGGATGGGTACATACATGTAGAGAGAGTCACCGCTACTGTAGGTTCACTGAAAGAATTGAACTCGCCTTTAACGCCCGATGCAACTTCCTCCACATTGAATTTTGTTCACTTATAACGCCATGGCTTTATAAGTGAGGGTGGCCTTATATTAGGATATAACGCCATGGCTTTATATGCGCGGAAATACGGTATGCCAGTTGTACAGATCCCGTAGAATCCCGTGGACCCGGTTGGGTGTTGAATGTGCAGGACCCTATTGTGTTTTCTGCTATTTCCACTAAGAAATAGGCCCTGAAGGCATTTCATATGAAAACCTTTTTTCTGACAAAGATCTAGCTAGTCATTAGTTCTAACGAAAGTGAAGAAGCTGGAAAAACGATTGCTTGCCATTTAATTATGAGGCCAAAATTGGTCAAATGCGCATGCATAGCCACACAAGCCCAACGGGGTCTACGAGATTTCGTGGATCTGTTCAACTGGCATAAGGCCATGGTAAAAATTATCTTTGATTCTCAAGTACGCGCGCACCGATTTTTGGCGGCGCACCGACGATTTTTTTTATTTCTATGCATGCATATGCTCGCATGAAAACGGTCAATGCGAAAGGCATGAATCAGGGAGTAGTAAAATACCGGTATTTTTCTACTCCCCGGCCTGAATATAAAAATATTTATATGAGCCTGTGACGTACATATGTGTGACCCTATCTTTGGAAATAAAAAAATTGTGGGAAATAAAATAAAAAATCGCTCGCTCGCACCGATTTTCACAGGCTCATGACCTGAGAATCAACTTTATTTTTTACCATGGCCTAAGGTCTATGTCTACGCTTGGTCAGGTGGGTTTCTGAACTTTCTGCACTTTTTTTGCTTGTGTGTTCTGTCACCCACTCTTTTTAATATGACTTGTGTTTCAGCTGGTCCGGTGTTGTCAAAACATGGCTCCCTTTCCTGCTGTGTGTGGGAGTCATCCTGCTCGTGGTGTTCTTGGTTCGATAGTGTTAACAGTCCCATCGGTCGGGAAGGGGACTGAGGAACTGATGCTAACCGTTATCCTAAATTAGGTCTGAAGGTAGACATGCGCATGCGTTTACCTGCTGGATCGGCTGTGTGCTTGTGTAAGTTGTCTTGAGAGCCTTATTTGAGCCGTGTATATATGTATATAGCCATATTCGATATTTTGCCATATTCCATATTAACTTTTCAATTTACCCCATGCCAAAGATGTTTGCTGCCTATATTTTATGACTTAGTCCGAGCTGTTTTGCCGATTGATAATAATTCTGACAGATCCTGAGCCTTTTCTTTACGTAGCCTACTTGCTGCCCTATGTTTAGCACACTGTCTGTAGTAGGGCTTTAGTCGGATTATGACATGGCCATGCTTATTGTACTGCCGTTAGCTTTTCAACGGTTTAAAAAAAAAATTTTTTAGTTTCTATAAATCATGCTTCGAAAAGTGAGGCTGACCGTTCGTACCTATACTACTCCTATGCATGATCAGAATCATAATGTGTGTGCCCGCATAAATTTTTGTTTGTGTTTGCTGAAAGCAGCGAGCACTTGTGGCGAGTTCGAACACAATCTCAGTCGCTTCCACCATCACCACGGCGAGTCATCCTGGGAAAAGTCAAGCGACTAGTGTAGCCTGCTAGCTGCCATGCTGGTCTTGGAAGTCATCTAAAAAGAAGTAGAAGTCTGCCCGTGTACTCTTGACATGTATGGAATTGAGTGTATTCTGCCCGTGTACTAGTCATGGCCCAAATTTGCTCTGCCCACATCGATATTTTGCCGCACAATTTTGCCACAAATTTTTCGATATTCTGCTTGGCATTTCCTTTCTCCGTCGGTATTTTGCTTTGGTTTTGCTCGAGAAAAAATGAGTTTCAAGGAAAACTCAACGATAATTGTCGCTGATGACGAGAATTTTTTTGATTGAGCTCCTGCTGCTGCTCAACTTTCTACAAAAATGTGGCCATGAGTCAGTTTTGTCCCACTTTTGTGCCTGTTTTCAACTTTGAAGACTGATTGCGTTGAGAAAGTCCCTGAGAAGCCTTGGATTTTCTGAAAAGCCCACCAAAACTCGATATTTTGCTCAAAACTTGCCGCCAACTAAAGTTACTTGCGCATCCGATATTTTGCTCAAAGAATTGCTAGCAAATTTGGGCTATGACTACCGTGTACTCCTGACGTCTGTCGAATTGAGTGGACATACCCATTCCAAAATACAGTGGTCCCTTTATAATCCGGCACCATCCGTGTTCCGGAAATTCTGCTGGTTTAGGGAGGGTGCTGGATAGAAAATCTGATTTACGGCTGCAATGTGCATGAAAAGGACATTTTGCTTACTGAAAATTATGCTGGTTTCAATAATGTGCTGGACTGATTAGGGAGGGACGACTGTATCCATTGCAAATCAGAACAATACAGTCTTGTTGTTGCAGTAGCAAATGTGCGCTCAGTGCTGCTTCAGAGCGATTCGCAGACGTGACCCAGCTAATTTTCATGATTGTGGAGTGCTACGCGCGCATGTTTGTTTCCCTTTTCTTGGAAAACGGGTCGCTTTCAGCTCCAGTTGCATAGTTTACTTCATGAAGCTGGCGACTGGTACAATTTTAGATGTACAGAAGCTTTTTTGGTGCGAACTTTAAAACTCCGCTCTAGCCTTTTCATTAATAAATTTTTACTAACACCCAACCCGTAACACACACACACACACACACACACACATACGTGCGCACACACACGCACACACACACACACACACACACACACACACACACACACACACACACAAAACAGTCCTTGGCTACACCACTCAAACCGATTCATTCTAGGGGTGCGTTCTTATCGAGCTTCTAGGAGAAGAAGAAAAGAGAAGTCGAAGAAACTGGTATAATTCAAGAACGGGTCTCAAAGAATTCGGAGATATTTTGCAGATGTCAAGCAATATGAAGCGCCAAAGGGGCCTCAATCTTGAGTTATGAATTTAGTATACACATGTGCGTATGCGAAAAGGGAAATGCGTACACTCATGAGCAACACGTGGCTTTAGCCGCAGTTCGAATGCGCTGATCCCAAACCACGGGAATCTCCAAGTTTCAACCACCTCTGAAGCTTGGAGAGCTTTGGAGAGCCTCCTAAAAGTCGGAAGTAGGATTTGACAATGTGTGACCTTTATGCTGTTGTTTTGCCATAATATTATTGGTCATCCTGACCCATATTAAATAACGGCATAATGGTTTTCACAGAAGCTGTAAATATGTCTGAGGGATGAATATTTTTAAAAGTTTTTAGATTCATAGGACATCATGAATACCCATTTTCAGCAAGAATTGGAACTTTGAGCAGCACTGTTCAGCTGCTGCCATGGAAACTGAGGACTGAAGCAGTGAATGTGCAGAAGAACATTGCAGGTGTAGCACGGGGTGGTTTCTTGACGACATATCGCACATGCCGTGGTGAAACTACCAGTTTTAAGGATAAAACAAGGTCCATTAAAATCTCAAATCCTATATTTATAAGATTCGAAAAATAGGGCACAGGCCTTAGTAATATTGCGCAAGGAGATGAGCCTGATATGTTAGCATTTGAAAAAATTAGCTTATTCAACTCTCGATATCTACTAAGACCTAGCAAGGAAGAATTGGTCACATAACATACTTCTTCCTATGCTCGTGCCACACCCATTTCGAGTAGAAAAATATGACCAAAATCCTATAATTATAGAATCTAAACAGTTGCTAAACAGCTGCTAAACAGTTGCTGTCCACAGATTTGAGTAACTATAGAATCTAGCAAATTAAGAGATACCGACTCCCTGGTTTCAAGTGTATGTTACAGGTTGGTGCTAACTCGTAGCTCACTGACTGGCAGTGACTGCGTAGCTACATGTGAATTATGGTACTGTATTACTAGAAGCTAATGTTTGCTAAGTAAAAGTGGGGAGGCTTCTTGCAGTTTCCTGTCATTCTATCAACACAACTATAAAGCACAGAAGTCTGGCTTGGTATCGGATTTATCGTGCGGCACTGTGAGTGTCACCTGGGGTTATGTACTCTTGGTGTCACTGATGACGTTTCACATGCAGCGGTGGATACAGACATGCATGTAATGCGGATTCAATCAAGCAAGCCGGGCTGCACTTTGGCAAGACATGCAGGGGAGGTTCAATCAATACTTGAGGAGGGTGTGTGGTGTGCAGCCCTCCCTTTGTTCCTGCCCCGGTACAGTCCTACATGGTGGCGGCCATGAATCCGGGTTTTGAAGGGTGCAACCAGGGAGTCGTAAAGTAGTATTTTACGACTCCCTGGGTGCAACAGCGTAGGACTAGATCTACTGCCCATAGATCCTGCTCTTGTGAGTCATGTACAAATTTGGTGGTGCCGGTACTGCTACCATAATAACAGTTACATACAAGAAATGCTGGGCAGCCTTGATCTCCCTAAAACTCCTTGGGAGTGCATTCCAGGCCAGGGCTGTGAAAGGCCAGGCGAGATCTGCTGACTTCTGATTGTGCCGAGGGGACAGTGACTCTGAGTGAGGCCCCTGGGCCCTGGAAACCTCTTGCCGGGTGGTGCTACCAGCTGATGGTGAGAATAGATCCTGGATGACACTGCTGGCTTTCCCACTGACGCAGCGCCACACCAGGGCGAGTCGCTTCTGGGCGTAATGCTCGCGCGCGAACTCTGTTCGAGCGGAGGCTGGGCAGAGGTGTGAGGCGGCAAACCGTATACCGCTCTCGCCGCTCGGTTCAGCAGGACCTGAAGGCGATCAAGCTACGAAGCAGGGAGTCGTATATACGACTCCCTGCTACGTAGCCTTAGGGAGGAGGAGAAGGCGTTAGATCCGTATAGGAGGCCAGGCATGATGACTGACCTCACATACTGGATGAGACTATCAGAGGCAGAGGCATCTGCGGGACCGCCATAGTGCTCCAATCTTCTGCACAACTTTCTTCGCAATCGTGTCAACACGGGGGTCCCACTTCACAGCGGCATCAAGGGTCGCGCCGAGGTACCTTGCCGTTGGGCTGGGGGGGGGGGGGGGGGGAAGCTCTGTCTGCTGGAACGAGCTGAGCCGTATTCATACCCTTACTGCCTTAGCCTCTTACTAATACTAGGCAGGAGAAGCGAATTGATCCACCAGATCGCCTCTTAGTTGCTGCCGTCAAGCGATGGAATGACTTGTCCACGAGTTTTAGTCTACCGCAAATAATGGACATTCAAATAGGGCTTTCAACTGCAATTAATGCACAGTTAATTGGGAACTCGTGGCCTGGCACGAGGAAAACATGGATGCAGTGAATGGGATTTTCGGTCTTTGACCACTTGCTGGTGAGCTGATCTACTCACCTCCCACGGCTTTAGGAGCTGCATCTGCGCCTTGATCCTTGAAGGGTGGTGGCGTTCCTACGGATGCGGAAAGCCCGGCTTCCAGCCGAGTCTCACGCGAACCGTGAAATTAAATTAATTTTCAACTGCAAGATCATAACGTGAAGCAACTATTACTTGGAAGAATGTGTAGGTATGCGAAGTGTATCGGGGTAATGCATGCAGGGCGATAGTGCGGGTTCGAATCCCATGTTATGTCTTGAAGGAAATAGGCGAAATGAAAAAGAAGCGTCATTTCACGAAGGTTGATTGAGATGTGACGAATAAATTCTAGTAGTGTCAGTTTTTTTCTTGGCGCTAGTAGTTTTCAGTCCGTGTTTTCGCTCAGCGTCGAGATGTCTTCCGGTTCTCCTTCCGGTTCTGAGGGAACTGATCCTGTGCTGGTGATGGACAACTAGGTGAGTATAGCCGATTTCCTATTAACACTTGACGTGGATCCGATATCCGACGCCGCTATACTCACCTCGCTGCCCGTCACCAGCACAGGATCTCACAACCGGAAGGAGAACCTGAAGACATCTCGACGCTTCAGTAGGCCAGATGTTTGCTTCCATCGAGAGTTTTATGTCCCAATTCGATCAGGCGTCCGAGAGTTTGTCGAGCAGACCGATCCGTGGATATCGATAGTGATTGGGACTTCATGTTCGAGGGCGAAGATGAGTCAAGCCCGGACGAGGCGCCGTCTCTGGCAGATTATGTGACTCGTTGTACTACAAAAGAAGAGAATACAGCGAAGTTTGCCGCATTGAAGGGTTCGCTAAAGCAGCCCTCGTATTGCCCCACCCTGGTTACGGCTACGACGACAACAATAAACGACGGAAGCAAAGGTCTCGTCGTTTGGAGACTCGCGGACTTCGTGACAGGATGCGTCGACAGCAAAAAACCGTTGAACAGGCATCGAGCTATAAACTAACTTGTTGCGCGTTCGGTCGGTAGGTCCGTCATCTCGTGATGCACCGTGTCCCGCGTACCGTGGCACAGATATGATTACAAGCAAGGGCTTATATGAACAAAAAACAATGAAAATCAATGATCAATCACAAACAAGAAGCTGTCTCATCTCATGAGCTCAAGATCTAGACAGAGCATGGAGCGCCGTAGACTTCTACCATCAAAGACAGCTGGCCACCTGGTCACCACCACCCACAACGCGGGTTCGCAACCATAGATGTAAACATGCACGGGTGGCGAGACCGTGCCATCTCCCGGTACTGGGCCGGTAGCATGTCGATACGCTTACCGGTCCAATTATTTCAGAGTTGCTTCGACCAGCTTATCCCTGGTGGCGAAATCCTGCAGGATCAGAACATAAGACTGGAGCCGGCCGTGCAGGTCGATCTGGGTGGAGGACATCTCCAAGCGAGAGACTGCAGGCTTGAAGTGCCTTTGGTATAAATGTTTCACAGACTTTGGACACTGGAAATGGACAGTTGGCCTGCCTATGTCAGAGAGCTCAATTTGCCTACCACTCGTACTAAAGGCATTGAAGAGGCTTATTACGAACACACCAAACCTGCGGAAGCAGTAGTTTTTGACTTCACTTCGTTGGGAACAATAACTTAAGAGCATCTGGAGTGCCGTTCGAGTTAGGATATAGTGCGGGAAATATGGGCACACGCGTCAGTTTCGTTTAGAAGATTTTGTGGAGTAAGAAAAGGCCCCAGCTTTGGCTGCTGGATGCTAGCCCGTTGGGTGCCAATCTCCTACCTTCTGCCGAGTGCTGTTGGAGCGGAGTAGAAGAAAAAAGAAGAAGAATATTGCGTTCAAGAATACAATTTCGGTTAAGGATAGACCGTAAGTGGCTAGCTAACTAACGGAATGGTTTAGATCGCAGTATTGTAATGGTCGCGGTTTGATTTATAAAGACCTTAGACGGTGTCGCATTACCGTTCGAATGTTTAGGGGTGTGCTGCTAATGGGCCGGGAATGTAAGGATCGGGTAGATTGCAGTGTTTTAATGGGCGCGGATGTTGTATAAATAGAATGCTGAGTCACTACTGCATGTAGCCTTTAAAATTAAAATACATAAATTTCACGGTTCGCGTGAGACTCGGCTGGAAGCCGGCGAGTTTTCGCATCCGTAGGAACGCCACCATTCTCTAGGATCAAGGCGGAGATGCAGAGCCTAAACGGTGGGAGAATTCCTTCCGCGCTTCCTAACAGGACTTGAACCTGGTATTATTATATGTACCCTCTGTTTCTCAATCATGGTCTTAGACCATCCCACTATGCCTGCCTTTGTGGGCTAGTCAAATACATGTAATGAACAAACAATAAACAAGAGAGCTTGAAAGCTCAGGGCCCTACACTATGCTGTTTTTGCCTAGCGCATCATGGCATGTTATTCGAACTGATGGAAACGTTTTGCAATACAATGATGTGGCCGATCAGTTCTGATGACATGCATGATGAGCTAGGCAAAAGAGCATAACATAGGGCCCTGAGCTTTCAAGCTCTATCGTTGAATAATAACTATTATACATTGTAAATGAGGCATTGGTGCTTTACTTCAATAATACAATCATGTAGTTACATGTATGTGCAGGGCCTGGGTCCACATGGTATCAGTTGTATTTTACCATGATCACTGAGCCACATCATGGCACATGGTTCAAGCTGCTGTTTTAGGCGTTTGCCCGGTTTGGTTTTGTGTCTTACGATAGTCATGATGATGTACATGATTTTTGTACAATGACTGTAGATCTGCGCAGCTGCATGATGTACATTATTCAACACACGGGGTGTAGCCTGTAGCCTTGTAGGGTAGATCTAGATCTGCACACAGGCAGTGCTACATCAGTACAATGACATCATTGCAATTTAATTTTAAATGCACACTATACTAAGGACTAGCCGACCTCCTACATGTACATGTACATCATGTACATGTGAAAGATAAACAACCAATAGTACAGTAATCGATATCGACGAGTCTTTCCTAGCACCGACAACCGTTAACCATGGACAACGGATTCCATGCCGATGGCCGTGATGACCAGATGACATTATTTAAATCATCACTATCACTACTAGTACTACTAACTGTTACTACTAGTACCAGGCCTTAGGCAGAGCTTGTGCGACGAAACTCGTAACTACAAAAAATGACTATGTCACAGTATGTGCCAGTACTGGTGGAGCCAGCTGGCCAGACCCTTTGCCCTTGGCCTTGCTATCTGCCGCGCCCAAAATCGCGGTTGTAGTCGACCGCAACTGGACCCGCAGGGCTGCAGCCGCGCGCTCCATGGATCCACCACATGTCTGCACAGCGCTGAGGCTGGCATGAAGTATTTTTTAGTTGATAAACACCACAGCGGCACAGGCAGCAAGTACGAGCAGTCCTCCGCTACTGCCAGTACTGGCGCTAATAGCTGGGACATCGCTCCGCGCCACACCAGTCACAACACGTCCACTACGCACTAGCAGTAGCACAGTCGACAGACACAGTGCTTCATCTGACGTCTGCTGACATTGACAGTTCACTATTCTGTGGTCGGTTTGGACCGAGCTTGTGGGGGCTAACTTTCGACATGAACAAAATATGTCATAGCCTAAGCGCATCTCGTCGGAGCTGATCGACTTGAAACCTTGAATCCCGCCAGGATAGAGGATTTTATTGACGCTGTTAGCAGTAGCACCGTGTACCATTGAATACGGCACCAATGAATACTGCAGGTTGCAGGATCAACAGGGTTGCTGTTACTTCAGTAGAGTCTGCCTTGTCTGGATCATTACAACGACACGTTACGTGTCGTTCACCGGTGCAGTGGCAGTGCATTGAGTGCAACAAGCAGCAAGAATAGTGGAACTGCAGTTGCAGCCCGAGCTGCGAGTTTGAAGGGTGTCCCTGTGCCTGGTGGGAATGGTATGGTGCTGATGTAAACTTACTTGGCAGTGGTCGAATCTCACCAGGCTGTAACACTAACAGCTGTACAATACATGTGTTTGTATTGTGTTACCATTATAAGTAATAATAATTGTCGCGCGTGTGACCAGGTGACCCGAGTCTAGAATACCGACGCCGTCGAGCGCTACGAGTCCGACTGCATATCGAGCATGTCGGTCGGCTACGCGACGTGAAACTGTCACCTAGCCCTTGGACCTTGGCTTTCTAAAACATTGAGAAAAGTAACACACCACTCGACGTGATGTTTAGCCCATTACGACCAGTGAAGTATGAAGGGCTGCAGCAGTTGCCAGTCGCACACAGTTCCCACTGCCAGTCCCACTCCCAGCCAGAGACTTGCCTCACACGTCACTGCAACCACAACTCGGCCTCCAGCTGCACTGCCACTAGAAAGTCTTGTTGCACCAACGGTGCCATAGCTGCAGCGGCGCAAAGTCACAGCGCCCATAGCCGTAGCCTACATAGATCTAACGGCTATCAAATTCACACGCCAGTCGCAGGGCCAGGCCGCTGCTGGTGCCTGCGCTCTTCTTTTCCTACGCGCGCCGTGTGTGCAGAAGCAAATTCAAGTGTAACGAGAGCGAAATTGCTGGACGTCGTCTGGGCAATGGCGGAGTCAGGCTCCACGGGACCGTTCCATGCGGTAAGTCATTCCTGACTGTGTCGTTCCTCCATGAAATGAAGTACTACAGCTACAGAGATGGTACAATGATAATGATTGTTCCACTTTTTTCAAAAATACTTATCCACTAGCGCGCGATAGCATAGCTAGCGCACTATTTTTTAAATAATGGTAGATTAATTGTTAAAATACGTCGTCAAGGATATTGCGAAATGGAAATAATGAATTTTGTAAATCGATTGGTGACGATGCGATGCTTGCACGTCCCATTACTATGAAGCTCCACAGCCTCTCCCAGATAAACTGGATCACAGGATGTTCGGTAGTCTACTCAGCTGAGTTGGTCTACTGCAGACTGAAAATGAATTTTCCTTTTTTTTGTTGCATAAATTTACTACGCCCCGGACCCGGATTCGCCAAATTCGTACATATTCGATTGTACGAATCCGGATCCCGGTCCCACGGATTCGAATCCATTCAACCCACCTCACAGAGCCGGATTCGACGGATTTGTTTGCATCGTATCTACTAAAAACTCCGAATATGCGTACACTAGGTCAATAGTTCACCATAATGCGTACAGATACCATGGAATAGTGCGGGATAAGCTGTAGCAACGCGGTTGCTACGGTCTTGAAACGGATTATCAGTTGTGCATATTCGATTGTATCCGTCCGATCGAAGTGATTTGGTCGGCGGGGATCGGGACCCCGTTTCCGCAATCGAATACAGCCTAGTCTCCTGATGAAATGTGTACGAGTTGTACGTGTATGGTACAAATGGTAAGGAAAAAAGCTATCGAAATAGCAAGAGCACGGGGCTGTTTCCATGAGAAGAATAAGCCTGGGCTTAGTATCTAAATTGGAGTCGGCATTGTTGCCTGTTTGGTGAACTTACCATGTAGTCGGCCGGAGAGCGTATACAGTGGTGGTGGTGGTGGGAGTGTATCGTCTTATTACAGCAAAAGGTCGAAAGCCGCTGCTTACCCGTCTTTGTGTTCTGTGCAGGTTGAGAATATTCTTGACACGCGTGTCAGCGGCGGCCAGCGTATGTACTTGATCAGATGGGAGGGGTACGGCGAAGCTGACGACTCCTGGGAGCCAGAAGAACACCTTCTGCCAGGTAGGGACGAGTAGTTGTTGCCGTAGAATCTGATGGTCCTCAGTAGCCTTATATGTGCGCCGCGCGTGCTGCGGCCCGCTGCATTTATACACGCCAAAGCACCGATGTAGTCACACCATGTGTTCATACACGACACCGCACGGAACCACGGTTGAGAACTGAACGGCATCGCAATGCGCTAGGAGACCCCCCTCCTCCCCCCCCCCCCCCCCCCCAGTGCTGCAAAGCTCTCTTTCTCCCATGTACAGTCACAGCCGAAGAAATCCTACCCACGAGTCTAAGGCAGCGCCGCGTTTCCATGTCAATCACATCATACACGTTCCGAAAACCCATGTTAGGGGCATGGCGCCGATGATGGCAGCCGCATGTGCCTTGATGCTGCTATCGGCACGTGGGTTAGATTTCTTTGGCCCCGACTGTACGTGAGGCAAAACATGTGTGGGTAGTGCTTCATGTATCATACCGGGGCCGGAGTCGCTGGAACCGGTCCGGTTGGTCAGGTTGTCGCCGGACCAGCATTCTAGCCACCCACACATGTATTCACTACTATGGAGGGCATGTGTACCCCCCCCCCCCCCCCCCATTTCATACGCAAAAGTATGAAAGGCACTGAAACTACCGGACCAATCAAAAACTGCTTCCGGCGGTCCTGATAGCATACTGCAGAAGCATGTGATAATGCAGCTGTGTCATCGTGATGTGCACGCTGATCTTTGGCGGTTTATATGCAGTTGTTGGTAAAGAAATCTGAACTGGCGAGAGATTTCAGCAACACCAAAAGCACAGGGTCTATGCACTGAAGTCTAAAGCTTGTGCAGCTGCCTGGAAATATATGAGTCAAATCTGGATTTCTTTGGCGGCAACTACACCAAAGCCCTTCTGCACTTATTTTGTTTGTCTTTGGTCCTGTTGACACTTGGTGGAGTGATCACTGTGGAGTCCGTGCACCCTGTGCATGGACAATGTGTACCAAGATGATATATTGCGATCCTGATTGATCACAGACTGTGCGTGGCGATAGCCACAGTGCCATTTTCTCAAGCCAGCAGTTGCAAACAAGCAACGGACAGATTTCAGTATACTGGGAGAACCCTGAGTGAAGAAATCTTAATCTGGGTGTACTCGCGGCTCCACTCTGTATTGCTTTTGCTGCTCCTGGTTGTGCCACTCCACAGGTGCCAAGCTTCTAGTTGATCAATTCCACAAGAGAAGACAAAGCCAGGACAAAGCCGGCAGACCGGGTACTTCTCCAACTGGACAAAGAGGACACAGCGGCAGCAGCCCAAGACGATCACCTGGCCGTCCCAGAAAGTCTCCTGTGAGTACTTACATGTGTAGTTCAAGGATGTGTGACATGCAAGCACATGTCAGTCTATGCTGTCCAGGATTGTGTGACCTGAATTAGCATGCTGGAGCGCTCAGTGATCAATGAATGTCGACGTTTATCATACCAAGAGTACATTATACTTGAACCCGCATCAAGAGTGTGCAACTCCAGCTATGGGTCTGCGACGGCAGAAATTCACATCATGTGGCTAGCTCCCGTACACATTTGTTTTTCACCTAACCCTGCGCATGATATGGACAGGGTTGTACGCAACCCTTCTTTGAATTCAACTCTCTTGTGCTCACTTTGCACTGTTTTCTGTTTTCTTTCTTTCATTTCACAAGACGCAAAGACTCCACTGTACTAGCTACCCAGTACATTCATGCATTGTGTCCATATAATTATCTTCATCACGCTCACACTTCTTTTACAATGAACTAAACCATGCATGTCACTTGGGACTGGTTTTTCTGTTTCAGGCTCGCCAGCTCTCTTCACCTGGCAGGGTAAAGTCGCGGGTCAAGGTAACAGCTTTCAGTGATTCGGAAGATATCGAGGATGATACGACGGACGGTGTTGATATGGCTGCCAGCATTCTTCACGCTAGAAAGCTCGCTCAGGAGCAGCTGCCTCCGGTAGTGTCTGCACTGAGTGGCAGTATAGCAGAGCGTCCGCAGAAGTCTGTTGCTCCTGCTCTTAGCCGCCCGATGCTTGCATCAGCAAGTCTTCAAGCCTCCGTACCACCAGAGGCAGATGTGACCTCGTCGTATGCGTATCAATTGGCCCGTGCTGGATCCGACTTTGTGGATTCACCTATGGACGATGCCGAAGGAAACAGTGTACGCAATAGGGTGGCTGAGTCCAAACCAAGTGCCAGTGAGGAACCTGAGTGCTTAGCTGACTTGCACCCACTGGTTGAGAGGGACAGAACCGATATTCGGCTGCTGTTTCTGTCGCTCCTTGTGGTTTGCCTGCTCGTATTTAGTGTATTACCGCAAATTGTTGAGCCTTCAAGGCCATAGGTTTGTCTTGTGGAGGTGACATCACTTCTTCTGACTGGAAACATCCACTCAGCTTGAACTGCGCTCAGAAGCGGAAGAATTTGAGTGAAGGCGAATATTTCATTTTCAGACGATGCAAAGTTCAAAACCCAACCGACAGCCCGGCCGGTAGATCAGCAACTTCACTGGGTCTTTACTCTGGGTAAGCTGTAGCCCCAGGTGGCATTTATGGCGTGTGCTCATAGCGTGGTATGTCATCGGCCGTATCTGTATAACCAACATTCATATGTCGCACTATTTTATCCAGTCCCGTCAGGGTCATTTGTTTACTCCTCATTTTCATGGTTTGGGCGAGGTCGTGGCTTCGTGTCGTTGGTATAGGTCGTGTCGACATGGTACTGTATCTGCCTTTCCTAGTGTGGTGTTAAGTTGGGAGCAATGTTCGTCTTGCGTATCCGGCTCAGTGAAGATGCAAAGGGAACGTCAACTTGGAATATGCCGTAATATTAAAGCATAGAAATTTCAAAGCAACATGTCATTTTTATAGTTTTACTTTCTTGCTCTGCGACTGACAGCGGTGCAAATCCTAGGATCCGTTTTCAGATGAAGTCTAGTGCATGTAACTGAGTCTGGTTGCGGCTTCAGAATGTATATCGTTTATTGTATGCCGTGAGTGCTCACAAACGTTTGCTGCTCATGCTGCTGCTGTACATAGCTGTTAGTCGTCCCAGACGGGTGTATTTTATACTCTTAGTAGTCACGCTCTCTTGAATTATGCAGCGTCTACAGAAGTTCTCCCATTACACTGGGAGTATGAGTGTGCATGGTATGTGTGCCTATTACGTTCATGTTCGTCGGTGCAGGTGGCCACATTGTGTATCCTGCTGCTCTCTATACTGTCCAATGCCAGAAACTTTGTTTTGTCTGTCTGTCTGTCTGTTTGTTTGTTTGTGTTGTGTTGTTCATCGTGATAATTAATTATCAAGTCCAACACTGACAAAGAGTCATCAAAACGTTGTGAGAGTGTGTTAGCCTGTTGGGTTGCCGGTACTGCAATTCCCTTGCCTGTCGTGCATATGCAAAGGGGCCCCGGCCCCGGGCATCAGTGGCAACTAACAGTAGTTTTGCCCGTCTTTCCTATCCATATCAGTGGTTGCTTTGGTGTAGTCGCTGTACGCTATATGACATTTCAGTGCGGCGCATTCGACAACCACGACTGCTATTTGTAGTTACTGTAAAGCCAATGGGAGGTATCTGCTGTAACCTTACAAATATCGTAAAGTGCCGCCAGAGCGCCCCACCATCTCGTCCTTTCGTGGTCGTGTTGTGGAGGTGGTCTCCTGCCTGTAGGTCATACGACACGAACTTTGTACACATATTGCATGTTGTGCAGACAATCCGTACCTTCGAGCGGACCCGAGCTCCACACAAAAACCTGCTTAGTGTGACCTCAGTACACTACGACTTTCGCCGTCCGAATGATTTATCCCGACACAAGAACTACTGCCTCGCCTAATAGCTATCATCGCCTTCGGCGATGGGCTTTCCAAAGGTCCAAAGGTGTGTGTGTGTGTGTGTGTGTGTGTGTGTGTGTGTGTGTGTGTGTGTGTGTGTGTGTGTGTGTGTGTGTGTGTGGTGTGTGTTTGCGTGTCGGTGTGTGTGTGTGTGTACGTGTGTGTGTGTATGTGTGTGTGTGTGTGTGTGTGTGTGTGTGTGTGTGTGTGTGTGTGTGTGTGTGTGTGTGTATGTGCCGGTGTGTGTGTATGTGCCGGTGTGTGTGTTTTTGTTTTGTGTTGTTGTTTTTTTGTTTTGTTTTTTTCTAAGGCCACAGCTTCCAATCATGACATGCAAAGCAGCGGTGCAGCATCGCAGGCATGAATCGTGGACGTGGTGACGGGGTCTGATGTGCTCCACCGACCTAGGGTCTGGGCTTCACTGCACAGCAAACGCGTCGAATGTATGTGCATGTGCATGTGTAGTGTATGTGTGCGCGCGCGTGCGCACGCGTGTGTGCGTGTGCGAGTGAGGGGGGGGGGGGGGAGGGCATTGTACACTGACTGCAATCATGACACAGCACGGTGACAAGCAGCAGCAGCCCAGGCCGGGGAACCAATACTGGCAATAGGCAATAGGCAATAGAGAATACTACTTACTAGCAAGAGTCCATAAACCATTTGTAAACTGTATGCGGAGCGGCATGCAACTAAGCGGCTGCAGTCTCAGTAGAGACTACTACTACACTACCACTAGAGTAGTGTAGTATAGCGGCGCTTCGAGGCTCCGTCACTGGTCACAATGTCATGCTACAGCTGTATTAGTAGTCATGGTAGTACATACATGACATAAGTGTGCACAGGTTGTTTCATCAAAAATGTCAGAGCCACACAAAAGGCCCAACGGAAGTGACCTCTGCCACCAACACTCACTACTGTCACCAGTGGCAGTGCCAGTAGTGGTCACTGCACTAGCAACGCCAACGGAGCGAGAGTAAAAAATCTAAAAACGGAACTCCGGAACAGTGCAATGCTCAGATGCGGGAAAACTTCAACTGTGAGCGAGCTTGAACCGCGTTCGCTGGATAGGGTATCGTACGCCGTAGATCTACGTGGTGTACGGTGTAGTACCGGTTGCCTGTTGCTGGGATCGTCCTTCGCTTGCCTTCGATTGCAACATACCAACACAAGCGCTCTCTGTGTGACTGTAGTTTGATTTCGTCTGTGCATTTGTGGGTGTTGTGTGTTGATTCTTCGTCGCTTTACTTTTCCTACCACCCTCGAAATGGCAGCTCTCCTTTCAAGTGGGCGATGGATAGCCCGTTCAATTTCCACTCAAGGTGTTCGAACCTGTGAGTATTTCCAAGTTTGGGCTTGTATCTCACTCGATCTATTCTTCATTTCGGAACCTGATCTCCTTCACCGAATGTGCCTTTATTTTATATCCTAATAGTGGCTGCTGGAGCCCGCGTCAAGGTAGACAACCCTGTTGTTGACTTGGATGGAGACGAAATGACACGTATCATTTGGCAAGACATCAAGGACAAGGTTTGTAGAGCATTGTGAAATATCGTTCTATACCTAATCGCGCGCAGTAATTGATAGCAGATAGTGCCAAAGCACAAGGCACTCTAAGCTGTCTAAACAGCGCCCACGATTTACGCGTACATGTATTTGCTTCCCTTTACTTCGCACAGAAGTTCTTCCTTGGAGTGTTTGAACGTTTATTTTCGAAACAGGAAGACACATTTTAATAGTGCGCGTTGTACGGTAAAATTGTACTTTGGCATACGACTGTGCATGTGTTGAACTACTTGTGTCATAAAGCTGTACATTGTACATGTAGCTGTACATTGTACATGTACATGTACATGTAGCGTAGCACGAACACTACTACGGGCTGTGCTAAGTACATGTACAGTACAATCATGTTATGTACCATGAAATACCGTTGATCCCCCCCCTCGTTGTGTGGCTTCCCAGCTGGTTTTGCACAACAATACGAATTGTTCGCACTTTCATCATCAGACATAGCCGTGTATTGTGCACAGCAGTGCATGCATCGGTTTTCCGGCAACACTATATTTTGACGCATCCACTCATCACCGGTGGATGAACCGTACTATACACTACATTTATAAAGTGCAGACCTTTGTGGTGGCCTGCGGAAGCGAAGGCTATAGCTTGTGTGTTTCTGAACATACAAGTGATGCTAACGCGGATCCCGCGAATATTATTATTATTATTATTAGACCTTTGTGTCTTTGCTACAGATTTGGTTTAAAGAGTAAAAAAAAATTTAAACGCCAGAACACTGCCTCCTGTCAAGTGTCCAAGATTATGTGCATGAAACCCGGTACCCGGAGTGTGCAGCTCTGATGGGTTGCTATTACGGCAAAATTCCGTGATTGCATCATTTTGTGACCTAGTGCGTACAAGCAGAATTCAAGCAGGTCTTTTTCTGCACAACTGCAGCTCAGTTGTACGCACTACGCCATTTCCCACCTCGGATCTGCACTAAATATGATGTAATCACGGAATACCGCCGTGACAGACACCCATAGTAGAAAAAGCCCCGAGCTGCACACTCTAGGTTTCACCAAGAGTACATAACCCCCCCCCCAGAGTGTGCAACTCCACTATGGGTGCTATCCCGACAGAATTTCAAGTTGACGTAATTTTGATGATGCAATGCGCACTGCACACGGATTATCAGACGAATCCGGAACCTGTGGTGAACCAAAGCCTATCTGATCCTGTACAAATTATTGCAAAGAAAAACGTGTGATGCGTTGACACCCGTACACATGTTGTAAATCACTGGTGCAAGGAGCATTGCGTCATAAATAATGACGTCAACTTGAAATTCTGTCGGGACAGCAGGGTATGTGGGAGTTGCACACTCTGGGGGGGTTATGTACTCTTGGTTTCACGCACTATATCACAAAATGATGCCCGCGCTGCGCTGTCTTGCAACTTGGCCGCTTGACCGCATGGACATGGGTTTGCCTACTTTTGGCCCCTTTGGGAGCGTCCTTACATATGGAGTTCATACATGTCACATAGTTGCTAGCATTTGGCCAATCAGAGCAGCACCGTACACATGCCCATTAGGAGTGACCCCAGGCGTAGTACGCACGCTGGTGCGCTGCCAATTATGTACCAGACCATGCCTTTAGGGCGGGTGACCCGTATGGTACTCCAGCACACATAGAACACACGGGACCATTCCTAAACGACTCCATATGCACTTGTACACTCCACACGAAATGGAAATACTTACGTGCACTGTCCAAAACAATAATATTTTACTAGCAATGTCGATACAGGAGAAGTAATTTGGTTATAAACCCTTATGTACAGTGTGTACGTGAATCGATCACATAATGATCGATTCACGTACACACCGTACATAAGGATCACATATGATAGATTCATGATCGATCCGTAGAACCTTCGTAACTCCATCATTTCTTTTTCAAGTTCTACAGTCGAAGGGTCTATGTGGTACCGGAAACTCCAAGCTTTCCAGTGCAACAATCGCCGAAGAGCTACGATGTCCGAATCTAGAGATATCGCGCGTCGTATTCTCATCTCGCCAAATTCAAATTTTTGATCGATCTCTTCGCCATTTTAGGGTAAATCCTTTTTTGTGTGCTCATTGACCAACTGAGCACATGATAATGTGTAGTTGGCTGAAGTTTAAATCGCCTCGAAATAATTTGAGCGTTTGCGATAGAGGAAAGTGGAATGGCGTTGATGCGGGCATTGGCTCGCATATCGGGCTTGGAGACGCCTTTGCTGTGTTCCCACGCCTGATTTCTGCCAGCTAGTTGATGGAGCCTGGTATCCTGGTGTTGCTCTCGCCAAGAGCTTTCCAAAGAGCCCAAGATGTGGAAATGGAGTGAAGGAGGCCAAAGTTATAGCCTGTTGAAGGTGAAAATTAAAATCTACTTCATTCTGTGCTGGAAATCAGTACATAAAGGGTTAACAATGGGACAAGAGAATGACATGCAGCATGTTTATTTCAATGTATTGCTGAATTTGAGATGAACAATTCGACCTGTGAACATGCATCACAAAGTATTTGAAATAGATCAGAGGTGTATCTCTAACTCCTGCAAGATTTACAGTTACATGCACTTCAAATGTACCTAAACTGATAGCAAGAGGCTTCAATGGGAACATTAAAATATCAGCTGCACGTGTAAAGCGTCATTGTTCCGTGCCGCTCTTTCCGTACGGACTAGCCAAACGTATGTCGTGCCCAATGCAACTTACGTCTTACGCGCTATAAAACCCGTCGTGCAATCCAGTGTGCCAATTTTTCGTGAACTGCAAAAGTATGTGCTACACAATACAGTAGTATGCAAGCAGTTTTTGACCGTACTTACTTCCAGAGCATGAGAGGTTTCAACCCACAATGTACACAGATTGACGTCCGACCGAACAAGCCCCCGTCCTATAATGATCACCGGCTTTATCAGACCCTAAACTGAACTATGTAGCGGCTTTGTTGTACGTTTGCAGCTGTCTTACCTTTTGGGTCTCTTTTGTACGTGTGCCTACTGTAGCTTATCTTCCCATTCGTTGACGTGGAAACCAAGTATTATGACCTGGGTCTGCCGTACCGTGATGAGACAGATGACCAAGTCACGGTCGATGCGGCCGAGGCCATTCGCAAGTACAACGTCGGTATCAAGTGTGCCACAATTACACCCGACGAGGAGCGAGTTGTTGGTCAGTCTTACTGTGTGTGTGTGTGTGTGTGTGTCTCTCTCTCTCTCCCTCCCTCCCTTTCTCCTGCGATGGTATTTTGCTATAAATTATTGCTGTCACTCCTGAGGGTTTGAGTATGGCACACTGATTGCACCATGTCCAGTGCTGTGTTGATATTAGTCTTATTTGACTTGTGTTGTCTGGGGTCAGGCCAATGATGAAGAACTTTCAAGTATACTAGTATTACAGAAAGCGCTTGTTCGCATGGCCGTCCGTTTTCTCAGTATATCTTCCGTGCTAGAGTATTATGTGATCGCCACTGGGCAGTGCACTACAGCTATTAACGTAGTTGTTTCCTGGTCTCTCCTTTGATGTATCTTTCTCCTAGAATTCAAGCTGAAGAAGATGTGGAGGAGTCCGAACGGAACCATCCGAAACATCCTCGGTGGCACCGTGTTCCGCGAGCCTATCATGTGCAAGAACGTGCCCCGTCTTGTGCCCGGCTGGCAGAAGCCTATCACTATTGGCCGCCATGCTTTCGGTGACCAGGTAAGCATAGTTGCTTGGCTGGTGTTGCATTTCTGCCTGTGTTTTAGCTTACTTGTAACTATTGTCTTTATATGCAGAGCTTTTAAGCAGCAGTCTGTTCTATCCTTCACATAATTATAGTCATGCTCAGGTGTCGTTTTCGTAATCTGGTTTCTATTTGTTTGTTCCATTTTTTTCATTATACGTATAGTCATTAGATTTCAGCAAGCAATGTCACTGTGGAAGTAAACATGGATGAAATGTAGATAAATGCATCTGTGCTCCTTGTGAGAAAGTTGAAGGCTTTTTGCTTACCGGCCGCTTAATTTTCCTTTCTGCCTGCCCGTGTGTGTTTTCCTCCCAAGTACCGTGCAACCGACTTGGTCATCACCAAGCCAGGCAAGTTTGAAATGAGCTTCACCCCGGCTGACGGATCCCCACCGGAGACGCACGAGATCTTCAACTTCCCCGGTGGCGGCGTTGGTATGTCCATGTATAACACTGATGAGGTAAGTTTGTTGCAACTGGTGCTGATCGTGAACTACAGCTCACCCGCTATGGGATTTGTTTCCCAAAGAAACGTAGACTATTAAAGATACTATGTCCAGGCAATGCGACAACGCATGCCAGCCGAGCTAAATGCCCCCGCTCGAGTAAGGTGTCATTGACTCCGCTATCGCATCATTGCGTCTGCATAGCAAGGATTTCTTCACAGCAGAAAGGCTGGAGTTTTATAGCCGGAGCTTGTGTCACGACTCAAAAGCCCGCTCACACTCTCAAGCCGCACCTTCTTGATGATCTCTCGGGACGGTGTACACGTAGTGGTATGTCATATGCATTGCAGTGCGAAATGAGTTTGTTTTGGAATTTGGTAGAGGGGGCAATGGACTTCGGTGATGTACAAATGCAGCTTTTCTGACTCGTGTGACTAAGGGAAGTACTACCACTGCAAGTTTTGGTGTTCGCTTTTTTTTCTCTTCTCTTTCCAGTCCATCACTGGCTTTGCACACAGCTGCTTCCAGTATGCCCTGGGCAAGAATTGGCCTCTGTATATGAGCACCAAGAACACCATCATGAAGAAGTATGACGGCCGATTCAAGGACATCTTCCAGGATATCTACGAGAAGTGAGTGTGGTGTTCTGTTGTGTGCTTGTCACAATGTGTTTCGTGCAAATTCACAATGCCAGAGTGTTTCTTGCTGAGGTGTTGGTGATACATGTAGAGAATTGTCCCGTTGTGGTTTTTGTTTGTTTGTGTCAGGATTACAAGTCACAGTGGGGTGTTTCTTGCTTAGGTGTTCCATCATACATGTAGGAACTGGTCTTTTGTGGCTTGTTGTCTGTTTATGTAGGGATTACAAGTCCCAATTCGAAGCAGCCGGTGTCTGGTATGAGCACCGCTTGATTGATGATATGGTATGTAAATTTGATTCCTGATCATGGATTTTCTGTCCAATTCCGCACTTCGTCCGTATTCTGATTTACTCCCGATCCGCGACCACTTATTCGAACAAGCAGACTATCGTAGAAAGTCACCTCTTATTGGTTTGACTCTGGAGTGTCTATTCCTCGGACTTTATTTCATTTCTGAGTATATCTTTTACTGGCCATATCTAGGTTTGCTGCTGGCAATGAGGTCTGTTTTTCCCGAATCTTATCAGTGGGACGGAATCTAATAGGCTGCACTCCCTCCTGGGTCAAAGTTAGGTTTCGTTCTGACCCAAGATGAAGTGACTGAGTGTAATTATGCCAGTAATTTATCTCTGTGATGTGCTGTAGTGCAACTGTGTTGTCGGTTTGATGCTGGTTTTGATGTTCGATAGGTTGCCCAGTGCCTGAAGTCCGCTGGTGGCTTTGTCTGGGCTTGCAAGAACTACGACGGCGATGTACAGTCGGATGTGTTGGCCCAGGGTTTCGGGTCTCTTGGCCTTATGACTAGCGTCCTGGTGTGCCCTGATGGCAAGACTGTGGAGGCAGAGGCTGCCCACGGCACTGTCACCCGCCACTACCGCTTCCACCAACAGGTGAGTCACTGAGATACGGTCGACCTTTGCCGCTCACCCCACACCCTTTAGTTGTGTCTGTGTGCTCGTGTGTTTGGGGTGCTTTTCTACTAAGTGTGTTATCTTTTGTGTCGTGTTGATCATGTTTCTTCAGTGGCTGATTCGTCGATTGAGGTTGTGGTGTTCTTTAAACTTCTTTGTGTTGTCTCAAACATTTGCAATGTGCAGGGCAAGGAGACGAGCACCAACTCGATTGCCAGCATCTTTGCATGGACCCGTGGTCTTGCTCACCGTGCCAAGCTTGATAACAACGCTGATTTGGCTCGGTCAGTCTTCCTCTTCGAATAGCATTGTGTCTTGTTCTTATAGTGAAGGCGTATCGGGCGAGCGCAACCCCTCCTCCCCCTGCATTGCAGCGTTTCAGGGCTTGTCCGGTCATTTCATGATGAATAGCATTACTGGCGGGAAGCATTGCAAGAGTATGACCTCTTCAGTGATCTGTGACTTGTATGAGAAGAACAGACCAATGTTCCTACACAAGCCCCGACCGCCAGATGCAGTAGCAAGGGGTGAACTGGCCCCTCTTGGAGTTATTCCTGGGTTTAGCTTGCAGGATTTCCCGTACTTTCTTGGTCCTGTTCCTTCCTATTCCTTCCTGCGCCTGCTGTGTCTTCACTGCACATACATGCCACTCTCCGATGTTTGGGTAGCAAACGGACGAGGCAGTTCAGCATTAATTCGGCGACTCTGGTGCTCACCGTTTGTATTGCTGCATTTTGCGTTTGACAAATAATAACTGTTAGTGTTCATCTGTATGCCTCTGCTCTTTGTACAGGTTCTGTGTAGCCATGGAGAAGGCTACCATCGACACTGTTGAATCTGGTATCATGACGAAAGACTTGGCACTGTGCATCCAAGGCACCGTGGATAAGTAAGAACGGAAACTGTTTTTTTTTGTATATTATTTTCTGAAACCAATTCATTCTGTCCATCTAGTGCATAGAACTTTTAAAAATGAGGGAAAGCTAGAAACTATCCGGTGAGATGTACTTGGTTGCATTTCGTAGACCAGTGAAATTCCATTGCCCGCAGATTGCGTATAAAAAAAACCCTGTGCATCTATGCATGCCCGGTTTTTACAATACCATTTTTTGCGATGCTACATCCTACACCTGCAATGAGCTGCGACCGCAACACACGATTCAAAATATTTGAGCCGTCAGATGAGAAAACAGACCTTATCACAAAAAAGTCATATTTTTGTTTGTGGTGCTATCTGATTGCCAGGAGCACCAGGAATCGTATGCAGAAAACCAGAGTTGATTTGGACCAGGGAAAGTAAAGTTATAGCCTTGGCAGTAGGAGACCATTACAAATTGCACCTCAATTTTGGGTGCAATACCAACAATTGTTTCACCTACTTTGGATAATATTTTCTGTTTCCTTTGACCGATTTCCACAAACTTGGGCTTTCTGGAAAGCTCTGGCTACAAGCAACCCGTTGGGCCCTAATCCGATAGCAAATAAAGCACAGCTCCAGCGCAACAAGCTACAGACATCGCTTCAGCGCTAGACTTGCGCCGTCACACGAAAATCGCTCGCCATTTCCATCTCCATTATCCCAGGACGCCCAATTTTTTTCGTGAAGATGCAGTGAGAGCTTCCAAGACGTCTGAGCCTGTTGCCGAGATCGTAGATTGCTTGAAAAGGGGGAAATCCCTGGTCTGGAGCGTTTGACTCGCGTGTAGAAATGCAAAGTGCCGTGACGTATCTTGCAGGCTTCGCATCTCGGGAACGCGTCATCGTGCCACGATCGCGCTTGCTGCATTGGATTCCCTGGAGTGTTCTCTTCGATTTACATACTTGGATTGTCCCAAAAGACCGATATTTGACTGAAATACGACGGTTTGTAGCTTGGTTGTCCAGACGCACCAGTGGGTAAACTCGCCAACTTTCAAGTGCACTTTTCTGCACTGTACAGTTTTTCGATAAGGTCTGTTTTCTCATCTGACGGCTCATTTTGGTTTCTGCGATATTTCTAAATTTAGTGGATGCACATTCACTGCACATGTATACAGCCTAGTAAACGTTTCTTCATTGATGTGAGTTGCAACTTGCAAAAATTCAACTTCGCGACAGTGGCCTTACGGCTGCTTGTGACAGTACGTAACTTACATTGTCATTGTTGCAAGTGTCGCTTGTCGCATCGCAAAAATGGGATCTTGTGGATCGTGCTTCAGGGATTCTAGAAAAGTGCAATTTGTGAGTTTTCTGAGGTTGAGAAAGGCCTTACGGTGATATACTCTTTATGATAGCTTGTTCTGTTTTGGTGTGTGCTTGTGCATTTTGTGCAGGGTCAAGCGCGAGCACTATGTCAACACTCTAGATTTCCTGTCGGCCGTACGGGCCACGTTTGAGAAGTCCTGGAACTAAAGCAACTGCTAGCTTTCTTATCATTTCGTCATCTGCGAGCTCGTTGCTCTGTTGTCATCCCCTCGGCCGTTTCGCTGTAGTAGGGAGGAATTTTTAGGTTTTATGTACCTTTTCTGTACTGTCAATATTCTACTCTTATTCACTTGTAAGCGCTCTTTTATCTATTCATCTATCTATCTACATCAAGTATCTATCTGCTTTCTTACCTTTATGAGTAAGTCTAGGTTATCGCAATTGATACTCCACTTTCCCATCACAGACAGTGCTGCTTGCTGGCAGCTGATATCAGCAGTCTGTACCGATAGCGCGTGCTTTTTTACCTTTCCTGGTTTGAGTTTGACTTTCTCAGCGAGTACTAGTACCAGTAGCTGTCTCTCGGTGTGTTGTATCATACTGCAGTGTATGATGTATCGTGTGCTGCAGCATAACATGCATGGGAACGATGTCAGTACAAGTGGGTAGCCTGCATTGAAGGCGGACCAGGGATATTAGGCTGCCTGCTTTCATGCCAGGACACGCTGTTACTATGGGACAGTGGACGCCATTCTATTGAGCACTTACTTTTCCATGCACATGTACTGTGTTAAAATCTTGCTTGTGTTTGGTTAGTGGATGTGCTAGTTGCGAGCTGATACTACAGGGCACAGTTGGAAAGCAAAGTTCAGTGTGGCCCACTGCTCTGATATCCAAGCTCGTGTACTCCATCCCGTATAAGCATCGTAAATCACGCGAGGAGCATTGCACTGCATCATACAAACTACGTCGACTTTAGACTAGAGATCGACAAGAAAATATTCTTCAGTCAGGTCTGGACTACACTATTACAGTACTTGCTATTCTGAGATGAAGCAGTACATGTACATGACTGTATGGTACTATAATATAATATTTATACGTTTGACCGAGATCGAGGGCGTGATGAGGTTTGACACTGACAGTACAGAACTGCAGTCTGAAGAGCACGAAACACACTACCGGTACATGTACATCTGTGTGTGTGCGTTGTGCCACACACACCGGTATCAGCAAGAGTTCTTAACCCCCATGAACTCTTGGTATCAGCCAATTGCGAGCTACTGCGTGCAGAACCCGCACTGAGAGTGATAGATCAACGGAGCTCAAAGTGTCTGTAGCCGCACGTGCGTCTTTCACCTTCGTGTGCAGCACGCAACGATACGCAACAGAAAATGCCCAGGCCATACGGCAACGGCAACTTACATGGTCATGTTACATGAGCATGTAAACTGGTGTGAGATGTCGCTGAAGCGAGTCACTACGACCAAACCAATCTGGAAAACTTAGCCGTGGGATCTCATTCGTCCGGAGTCTAACCACCTGGTTTACAAACTCGTGGTTGTGCATTCGGAGGTGATTTGAAGTCAAGCAAAGTACGCTCGCACATATGTATCACAGCAGTCATGGATTGGTGTGCACAGCACACAATGTTTTAGAGGGGGAGAATGTACAGATGTTTCAAATTGAATCAATGTCCAAATTGATCATAAAAACGGCAGGAAGATCACGTCCATGCTAGTGTGTGTGTGTGTGTGTGTGTCTGTCTGTGTGTGTTTTGTGAAACAGTCCAAGCAAGAAACGAGATATATCGGGCTGGGAAAGAATATTTTGAAATTGATTTAATGTGAGTAACACAATATATACTTCTAACAGAGGTCTAGTTTTCAAGTGCTGAGATGTAGTTTGTGAGGGTGAGTAATCGTTTTTTGTTCTCCATCCACAATGACACAGCCTCGGAGCACACCTTTCTTGGCTGCACAAAGTCGTTCTCAAGAGTCCAGCCCAGCTCATTGCAAGCAGCAGTTGCATCATCCACTCCCAGCATGCCTGCAAGCATGCTGGCTGATATTCTACTGTATGAGTGGCTGACCAGCGTCACTACTTCTCGGCGCACAGAGTCTAGCAGCGCTTTCATAATCGGCTGGACGTGCTGTGGCCAGTTGGGACGAACCCTAAGCTTCACATGCACGCTCCTGAAATCCTTCTTCCACAGCGCCTGTCCAATCTCCCAAAGTTGACTCATATCTTTCATGCCCTGGTAGGATGCCGGCATACGCTTCCACAGAAACTTGGCACTGACCAGATCTCGCTTCAACAAGTACACCGCCAAAAGGGCTGAGCAAATTTCTGGCGATGTTGTTTTGCCTGATGAGGCAGCCATTAGTTCAGCCTGCTCGCATCGAGCAGCCAAGCCATCCCAATCGCCAGCATTCAGACAAGCTTCTAGCGGGTCCATTTCGGAGCACTTCTCAAAAGCAGATTTGAAAACGTGAACACAACTTTCAAATCTTGATTGTTTTTACATACCTATCAGGCTGTCACCCGTAGGTAGGGAAGAGAACGAGCGGATATATGACTCAGGACAGCAAGCAAAGTAATGCCTGCACAAGAAAAGACAATGTTGGGAACTGAGGTGAGGAGATAGAAGGAGATGATGAGGATACTCAAGTACTGGCAGATAGATGTAGTAAATGTACAAACAAAAAATAATTGAAAAAGTGAGCTAGGCCGGCCTGCATGTGCATGACGTTAGTGCTAGCTGCGTGATTTACGCGTGCATCGTTGCTATGTCGACGGTGAAACTCACTGTCCCATTTTTTGCATGCAACACAAATAATGCAATGTCTTTTCAAAAATACAACAACACAATATTATTATTATTTCTTTTCAATCAATGCTGTAGACATCGCAATCATTTTCACGCTGTAGATTCTGTGAAGCAGCTTAGTTCTGGGACATACCCGCGGCGTGGATGTTCAGTAATTAAAATGAATTCTCGGAGCAAATTGTCTGAGGATTCTCTTGGCTTCTTTCGCCGAGTATCCAGTGAGTTGGACAATGATGAGTCAGAAGTTGTGGATGACGAATTCTATGCCAATGTTTTCGACTACACATTCAAAAACAATCAATTGAAATTGTCTCGGGACAAGGTGGTATGCTGCATCCTGGAAAAAGCTCTCCGACTTGCTCCCGCTGCACATGTCCAGGAGTTTCTCTCGAACACTGTTGAGTATTTGGAGAGGTATGTTTCGGACAAGTATGCAAGCCACGTGGTGCAGACTAGCCTGAATCAGTGCCTGCGTATGACTCGAAGTCAAATGGCTGCTGTCAATGTCAATGAAGAGAGCGACTCACCGGATTCTCTGGTTGACATAGTTGTGAAAATTGGCAGTGGAATTGTCGGCAAGCTGAATGACTTTGTGTTTGACACGTATGGTAGTCATGTAGTGTGCTCGCTCATCCAGGTTATCTCTGGTGTGCGAGTTGGAGATGACATTGTCCGCAGTCGTGTTTCACAGAAGGTAGCCCAGAAAAAAACCGGAGCCGCAAAAGACAAGTCAGGAGCCGTGTCTGGCGCCGAAACAGTTTGGGGTGAGCTGCCCGAAGAGCTCAACAACGAGCTCGACTCCTTCTGCGATGCGTTTGTGAGCATGCGGGATTTCTCGCACTGCCTGACGGATCGTTCGGCCAGCAAAGTGCTTCAGGCTCTGCTGTACTGCACGCAGAGGCGCGACGAGAATCGCTGCAAGCACCTGTGTCGCCAGGTGCTGACGGCCTGCAAAGTGCTCAGCGCACAGGCAGATGATGGCACGCCGGCAGCAGCGGCAGCAGCAGCGGCGGCGTGCAACACAGGCGGCGCCAGTGCCATTACGCGCCTTGCCGAGGACTCGGTGGCCAGCCACGGCCTGGAGTGCATTCTGAAGGTGGCTTCGCCAAAGCTGGTGCAGCGCCTGTGTCAGCAGTGCTTCTCCGGTCAGCTGCTTACCATGTCACTGCATCATTCTGCTAACTATGTGGTGCAGAAGCTGTGTGATGCTCTTAGCACAGAAAACCAGGTACGTGTGTGCTGATTGCCTAGCATCTATAAATAACAGAGAGTTGAAGTGTACTGCAACGCTAGGAGGCTCCGAGCATTCCGAAAATGGGGGCATTGGAGCGGTGCATTGCTGGAATGTTGAAACAGACGAGTGTTCGGGACGCATGTTGCGTGCATATGTGTGTGTGTACGTGTGTGCGCGTGAATGCATATGCGTGTGCGTTTGTGTTAATGCGTGCATGTGTGCATGTGTGTGTGTGCGTGCGTGCGTGCGTGTGTGTGTGTGTGTGTGTGTGTGTGTGCCAGATAGTGTTGGGCCTGTTGCCAACGGGCTCGGCTGCTTGAAGGTGTATTGTTGTACCTACCACCTTTGTTGGTTTCAGGGTTCATATATTTTCTACTTTAAGTATACATACCTGTTAACCATGGACTGCTTCTGGTAGCCAGTGCAGGCTGTCGTAATAAAACGACTCATCCGTGTTCCATTCCCGTGCATGGTACATGCATGGTGCGACGGCACAATGACAGCTGTCGAAAATCACACGGAGTATTACAGGTGTTTGTTGGTGATTCCTGGTTAGTCGCTAGCCTTTCCCTACTCGAAGATGTTGCCGCCGCGAAGTCTGGGGTTTTGTGTTCGTCCTGGCGAAAACCGTGTTTTGATCCGTACAGGGAGACGAGAGATACAGTGCGAAGACGTATGATCTGTCCGAGAATCAGCGAAGAAGAAAGCTTCGCAGACGACCCGTCGTGGAAGGGAACAGAATGGAACATATACCAGTCGATGCCTGTCATGGTAGGGATGACTGCTACGAAGTTTTAGCTCCATGCTCCCCAGCGCTTTTTAGCGCCCGACGATAATTACCAAATTTCATCGATTTTCCATATGGATCAAAGCATAGTCTCCTGAATCTTCTCCAGTGGAGCTGAGTCGGGACGCTACAATGTCGAGACACGAAAACAGAACATGCAGCAACACACTGGAGCATCACATGCAGCTGCATTCTGCCTCGACGAAGAGAACAACACCAGCACCACGCATTTGGAAGACATTTCGAAGAAGATGAGGAACTACACACTGCGTTCAAAAACGCCTCTGTACTGTGCAGTATGCATGCGTGCATGCGCGAAGCACGGGGTCCGCAGATCAACTTCGTTCAAAAATCATTGTGCCACACGGGTTGTATCATTTGTGTGCGATCATGGCCTTTCTTCTTGACAAACAAAACTGAAGTTTTTCGATCTTCAAATCGCCATAGCGTCCTTGTCATGACTCCAAATCAGCTGAAACTTTGCAGGAGGAATGAAAATGCCATGCTGAATCGATTGGTACAATTTTCGAAGGGTTTCCTTGAAAATTAAATTTAGCCTGCACTGGCTACTTCTGGCTAGATTAACTCTTGTGTAATCAATGGTGCTAGTGAAGCTTATATCAGATCCACTCTGATTTAGCCACCCACACTAGTACCAAGTATTACCTTCACTGGGGGCAGGGGTACCTGCAGTTGGATCCCGGGACGGATACCCTGATGCCGTCAATCCTTTTTCTGCACCTTGTCCTCACCCACTTACTGAGGTGTGGTGAGCCCATAAGTGGGATCATTTCAAGTCCACCCTATTTTGGGGATTTCAGGGGGCGTCGGCCGTTGGGTGGTTCAATGGCCAATTGAGTCACCTTTCCAAGATTCCTTTTGAGTCTCTCTCCCCTCTCCCGGGGAGACCCACGGGACCAGTCTTGGCAGTGAGCAACTACAAGTACAAGTGTGTGTGTGTGTGTGTGTGTGTGTGTGTGTCTGTGTCTGTGTGTGTGTTTGGCTGTGTGTTTGGCTGTCGTGTTGGCTGCACATGAGCAGATGCTGCTGGTAGCTGGCGAGCTGCTGCCGTATCTGGAAGACGTGCTGGCCATGTGCCATTTCGGTGTCTGCATTGCATTGGTCAAGGCAGCCTCTCGCGTCGCATGCCAGCAAGCCGAGGTTGTCGAGGCTCTTCTGACCGCTTTCCACGCCACCGCTCAGCCAGAACGTTGTTGCCATGCCTTCCTTGCTCTGTCTGCACTGGACGCAGTGGATGCACCAGAAGAAGGTAACAAAGAAGAGGGTTCCGCAAACGATTCTAGTGCCACTGCTTCTACTGATGACAAGGTAAGATGTGCGGCGGACGTCTTTTAAAAGCATTCCAGATTGCTGTGGTTTGTTTGGGAATCAGTCTGAACAAAGGTTCTTCCCTGTCATGCCATGTATCGGAAGCGGGCATAACCGCGCACTGTGTCGTTATTAACATATCATGTAACATGTATATTGACATACACTGCATGCTCAGTAGCAGTGGTGAGGCTTCCTGCAGGTTCACTGCATGCTTGTCAAGCCAATTGCCAGTTTACCTGATATCTTCACTATAGCAGTATTTTCCGAGGTAAAAGGCCACCCCGGTTTGTAAACTGCCCCCCCCCCCCCCCACCCCACCCTCCCTAGAGGCAAAATGTCACAGCCTCCAACCCCCTTGCATGCAAAACGTCGCAGTCCAGTTTGTACTTGTAGGGATATTGAGCGCTCAGGAGAGTGCACGGCAAATTTCCCCTCACCAGACAGACATAGACACTTTTCACTTTTCTAGTGTTGCTTGTACAATAATTTCTAAGCACATCAAGCTTTGGAGGTTTGGCAATGTTTCGTTAAGTGTATCTCTGCCATCCGTTTCCGCTATTCTCTTTGTTTCCTTTTTGGATCACTAGGCATCCTCGCTGACAATATGCCCCCAAGGCTGCCAACTTGTCACTGGCTTATTGAGTATGGCCGACCCAGCTGCCGTGCTGGACAGCATTGTAGCACTCAGCAGCGACGATCTGGTGCGCCTCGCAACGGAGCAGGCTGGCAGCCGCGTATTTGATGCCTTCTACGAGTGCGCGGACGCTGGCAGCAAGCGGAAGCGTAAAATCGTGAAGAAGCTGAAGGTTAGTAGTAGTAGTAGTACGGTATAGTAGTGAGTACCCGCATTTGCCGTGTGCAAGCCTGGTCTTTACGGCTTTAAACTGGTGATGAGAAACACGGCTGGGTAGTCCAGCGTAGACCCTTTGGCTCTTATCGAATGTTGTTGTCACTTTGTCTGTGCCAATACAGTACTAGCAGCCCTCTGACCCTCAGATTCCAGTCCAATCACTACTGTAGACCATCTAATGTGTGCGACACTAAATTATCGCAATTCAGAAAAGTGGAGCAGTTCGCGACGTGTATCCCCCCCCCCCCCCCCGCAATTCTACTGATCCAGACAACATAATATGCAGGTACTAGAATTGCGTGATGCAGAAGCCAATAAAATGGGGAATTCACGTTGTCTAATTTTCGCAATCTAATGGCCTTCTCGAAAAATTTGAACTCGGATGGTGAGCCAATATAGTTATGATGAAGATAGGAGAAGGACAAAATGTTATGAGTTATGACAAACTGTCCACCAACGTAACCAGATCTTATACAGTCAGCGAGTGCGACAAAATGGCACAAAACTGACAAGGAGTACTGAGACATTCGGCGACCTGACACCTAGCTCCAACACTTCTCCAAGGCGCAAACCAACAACCTTCCAACTTAGAAGGCTCAGATTCAGGTTCTTGGACCTTTCCGAACCTGAGCCTTCCAAGTTGGAAGGTTGTTGGTTTGCGCCTTGGAGAAGTGTTGGAGCTAGGTGTCAGGTCGCCGAATGTCTCAGTACTCCTTGTCAGTTTTGTGCCATTTAGTCGCACTCGCTGACTGTATAAGATCTGGTTACGTTGGTGGACGGTTTGTCATAACTCGTAACATTTTGTCCTTTTCCTTTCTTCTCGAAAAACACGAACATTTCTACGTCTCGAATATCAGGCGGTTGACAGCACCGGCCGGTACTGGTATGGCACCTGGGTGTGAAGGAAACTACGTCAAAGGTTCATTCAAGCAGAGCACTTGCATCATCATGGCTTCTGCCTGGCGCAGCGCTTTCAAGCCCTATTGGTGCAACTCTGCAAAGGATCTTCAGCAGGGAGTAGTCAAATACCGGCATTTTTGCTACTCCCTGATTTTTCAGTTAACTGAAATTCTGGAATGTAGTCTGTCTTGTGTCTGTGGTGATATTCTATTGTTTTTGTGTTGGTTTTCAGGGTCATTTTGTGCAGCTGGCATGCCACAAGGTTGGCAGCTACGTGGTTGACGCATGCTACCGCAACAGCAAGTCTAAATCTCGTCAGGAAATGGCCGAGGAGCTTCTGGCCGAGGAACACAAGCTCAGGGAGAGCTTCTTCGGTAAACACGTCATCCGCAACTGTGAGCTCAGCGATCTAAAGATGAACTCTTTCGCAACGCCAGCCAAACATACGAATAAGAAAAGAGTGTATTCCGACACTGTGGATGGTGACGCGGAGCTGACTTCCCCTCCAGCCAAGAAGAAGGCAAAGAAGGAGAAAGGTGGCTGAGTTACAGTAAGATCCTGTGAAGGCTGTTACATGTATGCCATCATGCGTTGTCAGTCCTGCACGCTGGTGCTTGTTTCTCTTGAGAATTAGTATTGGGTGCCACCTCCCAATGGCTAGTGTAGGGTTAGGTCACTAAGCCATGTCTGCCCGTCCAACGAAGATCCAGCAGTGCGGCGGGTCGTTTCCTACGTTTTGTACTCTGTAGTTTATCCATTTAGTGCGCGTGCCGGCGTTGAAATGAACCGGCGGAACTTTCGGTCCACGGCTTCGATTGTGCGAAGTGTTTTTATTGGGTGGAGTGGGGGTGGCATTGTGCTGTTATAGAGTGATAAAGGCCACTCTAACACTAGAAACTCGTCTCACAGCTGGCCTGTGACGGCTTGATTCCATGGTTCTCCTAGTTGTTCTACGGGTGTATCAAGTGTGTACACACATGTTCCCCACGATATGTCGTGTAGACCATGGACTTTTTCTTGAATTCCTTGATCTAATGTTTTCCTTTTCGGGAGGAAGCTCACCGTCTTGTTTGTGAATCCTGATTTTTCAGAGGCCAGGTCCTCCCTGAACTATCATGGCTATTGTTTTGCAATTGGGGAATTCCCTTCTTCCCAGTTGTGAAGAGATCGGCCAACTGGAGCTCGGTCTCTCTAAGTTCTAGTATTTTCTTACCCCTATACACAGTAGCCACGTTTTTGTTGGGTCTAGTCATCTACTGTATTTGGTGTTGCTTTGTTGTGGTGTTTCCGTGAGTATGGCAGTGACTGAGAGTCTTAGTTGTGATCAGTCAGCTGGATAGAACCTCGTGTGGTGTTGTAGTGAGCAGTACAGGCCGGACAGTGCAGGGTGCTGGCTGCTGGGGGTGTTTGGTGTGACTCTGTGAGCACGTTTGTAACGACTAGCTTGTCTCTCGGCTGCCTCTTGTTGATTGTGGCCTCCGTGTCGAGTGTGTGTGTGTGTGTGTGTGTGTGTGTGTGTGTGTGTGTGTGTGTGTGTGTGTGTGTGTGTGTGTGTGTGTGTGTGTGTGTGTGTGTGTGTGTGTGTGTGTGTATGATAAGTGTGTTGGGGATGAGGTAGATGTCAGGTGTCTAAGTATTAGCCCTGTAATTGAGGATCAGCCTATCTAACATGGCTGTGTGCTGCAATTCCCAGGGATAACGTGATTGGAGTGAAGCGTTGTGGATATGCGGCTGTGATGCATGCTGGTGGATCCTTTTGTCAACAAGGCCTCTCATTCTTGTTATATCTTTGCCATGGAGTGTTTGCTCAGCCCAATTGAAATCAGCATACCGTGGTATCTTGTCTAACAGTGTCCTCTGTTCCTAGTCGTGACAGCATTTTCTCCTCGAGGAGTGATTACTGCAGCCGATACTTGGGCCATCATTGGGTGGCCTGCTGGCGAGGCAAACCACAAGTTTTCTAATTGAACTGGATGGCATCCATTCATTGTTTTCTCATGCTCACCAGGAAAGGGGCCAAATTGCTTTATTTCACCTTCATTTGTGTACTACAGGCCTTCACTTGACCAATGTCAGTATGTTGATATGTGCTATTGAGTTCTTTTGTAGTTATGATATTAATTTGTGGTCACGCCTTGATTGACGTGCATATTTAGTGACCTTTGAGGCACACTGCTTGCTGCATATGCCGACAAACTGAGTAGAGGGAGGTCTTGGCACTTTGCGGCGACTAAGGAGAGCTTGTCGGGGGGCAGTCTGATCAACTTGTACAGGTGCATGTAGTAGGGTGGCGCCAGGTCAGCTGTGTGGCCATCTGGGAATTTTTGAGCCACTTGTACTTGGCGCCTGACAGTGCATGCTGCTGTGGCTGTTGTGTATCATCATTTTGTGTCTAATCTTCTTGGCTTGCTGGACATAGAGTTACTTGTTGTGTGACTTTGTATGGAATCTGCTGACTCAACTCATCCGATGCATGTATGAAGTTATGCTTTGCTAGAGTCTAGTCTGATCACATTCATCACCCGGTGCTGCTGATTGGGCTTATCTTGCTATTGGGATATTGTCTAGTGCTCCCGTGGTGCCTGCAGCTGGTTTTAGTGTTGGCTTTGATCTGCTTTGCAAATGAAGGGAGGAAACACTCCATCTCTCTCTTTCTTTCTTTCTATCTCTCTATCTCTCTCTTTCTTTCTCTTTCTCTTTCTCTCTCTCTCTCTCTCTCTCTCTCTCTCTCTCTCTCTCTCTCTCTCTCTCTCTCTCTCTCTCTCTCTCTCTCTCTCTCTCTCTCTCTCTCTCTCTCTCTCTCTCTCTCTCTCTCTCTCTCCCTCCCCCACACAATGCAATCCTTCCAGCTGCACACACTAGTAGTCTTGGTGCGGTTTGTATACTCAAGGGTGCCATCCTTTGCCAGTCAAAGTGTCATTATAGTGGGCATTTGGCAATAAAATTCGATTGGACAATTCTCTGGGGCTCCGTGAATTTGGAGTAGGTCTGGACAGTAGGGTGGTGGGAATGGGCATTAGGAATAGGAATGCACAAGATAATAGAATTTAGTTCATCATTCAGTGCTGTGTTCAACAAGGATTGGCTTAGCTCGGCCTGGTGTCTCAACTGAATTAAATAGAAATCATTTTGGAGGAGCAGTCGCAGCTGCTTCTAGTCCTACTGCTTCTCTCTTCTCAAGTCAATATTAATCTTCAATAATATAGTGTGGACAGGCTAGTCATTGTACTGGGAGCCCCATCGGTTTCTTTTGTCAAGTGTTTGTTCGTCGTTGACACGCACAGCATGGTATGATCTGCACTGCTGGTACGGAGTTCTTGCTCGTGTCTGCTAGCCCTGGTGACACTCACGTGCACGCTGTGTGTGCATACACGTTGAGTATTATCCAGCTTGCTGCCGTGGTACACGCAAGCATGCACGCACGCCATGCTGCCTGCTGCCACGCACGCCATGCTGCCTGCTAGCCGCAGTAGTAGGACTTGTACACGTAAATGCAGTAGCGTCGGCAGCGCGAGCCGACCTTGCCGCTGCCGATGGTGATGCCCCATTTGCAGCAGCGCCTCCGCCGGTACTTCCTGTCCAGCGGCTCCCGTCCGCAGCACAGCTTGTTGCACTCGCGCTCGTGGCCCACGGTCTTGGAGCAGACTTCGCCGCGGGTACCCGGTATGCCCCGCACCGGGTCTGGCGTGCAGAAGTCTGGCGACTCGTTTGTGTAGTGCAGCTGGTACAGCGAGATGTTGAGGCCGACGTGCTGCCTGGCGGGACGGGCGTGCTGTTTGACGGCACGCGCCAGCTGCAGCAGTGGCCGTCGGTCCGGCGAGCCGCGGGCCACGATCACCTTCTTGGCTTGCCGGTACTTCTTGGCCAGCGTCTGTGCGGTTGTGGACAGGTCCGGTGTGACCATGATGCAGGTGCGCATGATGCATGACGACGACACGCCGTGGCATCTACAGCTGATCCGCTGCACCGATTCCAGAGCCTGTTTTGGCAAACACACGAGAGCATGCACGCACACACGCAAACACGCAAATAACAGTGTCAGTGTCGTGAAGAAAGCTGTCTTTCGATCGTTGTACGCGTACCAGTAAAGTGTGCTTCGTTTGTTAACCACATGGTGTACATGTATCCTGTACCAGTAACCTCTAGTACATATACATGCCGATGCACCTGCTACAAATACATTGACCAGATGCAAGCACTTGGGAGTGTTCTGTGGCTGCGGTATCGAAATTTCTTGACAAAGCTTATTTGGGTTGGATTAGCGGTGGCTATAAGTATTTGTTTGCTGGATAATTGACCAGTGTAGTTGTTTTAGATGAGTTCCAGGTTTCTTTCTGTTCACAGATCGTGTGTTCGTTTCACTTTTATCTCGTACGGGCGTGAGCTGTTCGGTAGTCATTTTAATCGACTATAGTATCAAGTAATAAGGACTTGTGAGTTTCTCGTGACGGCTGGCTCTGTGAACAGTGGTCAGGGTGATGGACTACTGGCTTGTGTGTGTTTCTCGCCGATGGCTGCCTTGTCCAACACCACGCAGAAGGTGGTCACACGGAGACAACCGTGAACCGTGTACTGGCTTGTGTGTGTGTGTTTCTCGCCGATGGCTGCCTTGTCAAACACCACACAGGAGATGGTCACACGGAGACAACCATGAACCGTGTTACAGCTGTCCTCCGGGTGAATGTTCCTAAACTAAACTAAACGTTGTCTGTTTGTGCCTCGGGGGTCGAGTGCTCTCACACCTGTGTGTACAACTGTCTTGTCGTGTTTTGGCGTAGGGCAAGGATTGGTTGTTAGCCTGCGTTTGCTAGTCCAGGTCTGCTGTCTGTCAGCTGAGTGGGCAAAGAAGCGAAGCAAGCATCTACAACTCCCTAGAATGATATGCTGTAACTACAGAGCCTGCAGCCGTTAGCAGTGTGATTGTCCCGGGTAGCGGGTAGAAAGTGGGTAGAAAGTGCACCCGTGGAATGCACCTGTTCGTGTTACTCTAACTGTTCACTGTTCCTCTATTACCTTAGGTGATTGGCACTGCTATTGTGTAGCACTGTATATAGTACAATTATAGCACCGTCACTTCTCCAACCTAAAAGGCATCGTGCTACCTGTGTCTTGTGATCGTTTTGGAACGAATGCCTGCCATGACATAGGCTTCTACAAGTCATTCCATGTCTTTCTGCTAACAGTGACTTCTTGTGTGTGGGGAGGGTGTGGCAATATCAGGCTGATAGTTGTGTGGGCATTTGTGTAATGCTCTGCAGCATGTTGCTGCCCAACACCGTTCCTCTGCTAGGCCAGGGGTGGATGTACTGCTCATACTTGTCCACTGTGCACGGTGTATATGGCTGTGCCTGAGGTGCTCAGGGGATGGATGTACTGGTCACACTTGTATACTGTGCACGGTGTATATGGCTGTGACTGAGGTGCTCAGGGGATGGATGTACTGGTCACACTTGTATACTGTGTTTGTATGGCTGTGGCTGAAGTGCCCAGGGGACGTGCTGGTCACACACTTGTGTATACTGTATTCTGTGTATGACTGTGACCGAAGTACCCAGGGTTACCATTGACTACCTGGATAATCTGCCCTCCTCTACTTGCCAATGTGGCTTGTAAACAAAAAGTTTTGCCCGTTTGCCTTACAACTGGCGATACAATTGTGCTGAGAAACACCACCAGCTCAGGAAGTTTGGCTTGTTCCAGGCCACTCTGCACTACTACAAGTATGATCCAGTGCGGGTTTTGTTTTGTACCCGTGTTGAACTCCCTGTGGGATGATGACCTGCTCTACTGAATACGTCTCCTGGCCTATGTTTTAACTAATCCTGCAGTCCCTGAGTTGATCTTCATTGTCCCTGCAGCACAATCATGTACTGTGGGGCATTGTACTAAGCTTGGCGAGATTCAGAGCTGCCACAGAGTAGGAGCATGGCTCGCCCGTTCTACCACTCAGTGTGTAGTCCTGCAGGGGATGCACAGCCCTGTTGAATGATGTAGGATGCTGCAAATAGTTGCTGATTATCCCACTTCTGGACTGGGTGCCCCTGCTGTTACAGATGCATCTCTCTGGGTGGCAGCCAGTGCAATGACTGTAGTTCTAGTTTAGCCCGCTGGGACTACTGCCGGAAGGGTCGGTCCCCGGGAGTCCTGGTGCTCTTCGGGCCTCCTGCCTGCAACTGTGTTTTTCATGTTGTGTCTAGACACGTCGGGTTGTGACTGGAGTGTGAGTAGTGCTTAGGCTTCTTTCTGCTCCTCACATAGCTATGTTACTCTACCCTGACCTACACTCCCACTTGCACTGCCTATCCCAGTCCCACCAGTACACTGCTAACATCCCTGACCTTACAATCACTTGAAAACTTTGCCTTGGGGCAGGACACTCACTTATCCTACAGACCCCTCTCCAAAGAACACGTTTGCTGGAATTCCCACTGCTTCCTCTTGCAGCATGCCAGGAATTCTGGCTCAGGGCGACAGTTTATGGTGCTGCAGTTGTGTTGTGTGATTGGTGTCTCCCTCATCGGCCTCTGTTTGACCATTCTTCTGAATTGACAAGTGTGAGGCTAATCCTTGGTGTATCGAATTTCCGGTGGTTTCTAATTCTGCCAGTTTCTAAGTTGAGCATGTACGTCAGCAGTATCCTGTGAAGCAACCCAAGGTCCTAGTGTGCTTGTTCTCCGGGGAATTAGTTATGCTGTCAGTGTGTTGTTGAATAGCTGATCTCTGTATGCTGGGAATGAGCATAACTTCACCCTGTTCTCCATACATGGTTACTTCACTAGAATGGTTGTGGTTATCCGAACAGAGCTTGGTGCGTGGGGTGGTGGTGCAGCAGCTGAGGCTGTGTGCGTGTAGGGTTTTTTTTTAGTGGAGTTTCGGCAGGCCTCAACTTGCTTTCTCGTGCGAATGCCGCCTGGTGAGCGGATGTGTGTGTGTGTGTGTGTTTGGGGGGAGGGGTGGGGGGGGGGGGGGGGGGGGGGGCAGAGCTGCGGGCCAGGAGGTGTTGGCTAACCTAAGGGTCATAGATTGCTTTGCTTAGACAGGGATATCAAGAGTAGGCAAAGTGGCAAGCAGCCAACCGCATTCTATTCACTGCCAATGTTTACTAGACACACGTTTGTGCCTTGTGGAAATCAATTGCTGTCTTCTGCCTGTGTCTCTCTTTCTCTCCAGAGTGCCTGTGTGTTGGCCGGAAGTCTTATTGCTCATATCAACAATCTTGCCGTGGCGCCTGCAGGAGCAATTAGCAGTGTCTTGCAACTATTGTCTATTGCTGAATACCTGGCAATGAGCAGGCAAGACCCTCTGGACTCTCGCGCTTATCTACCAGTAAAAGTCCACGCAAAGTTTCCCGGTGCTCCTTGACAATGCCATGCATGGTCCATGCTGCAAGATGAGCCTGCTGCTCCTACGGCTAGAGTACGACCTGCACTTACCAACTCTCCGGCGGCGTTGTTGAGAACTTGCATCAGCGGCCGAGGCCGTAGCTGGTTCTGGCGCCGTGCGTTGGGCGGATTGGCCAGGCGCCGCACCAGGTTCCGACCGTAGACCATGTTGACGGAGCAGTTTCCCCATTCCCAGTTCTGCGCCTGGCCGTTGTGGAACGATGCGCCGGCATCTTGGCCGCACGGACAGCGGTCTGCCAGGTAGCCCTTGCCGCACGACCGCGCGATGCTCTGAATTAGAGAAGCCGTCATCAGAGCGTGCAGGAATGCCCCTTCCCGTGTCGTCCCTGATACACATCGTTTAACACAGAAGGGAAACAATAAGACAAGGTCAATTCACCGCGTGCACGCGCACGCCCACACACACGCACAAACACACATGCACGAACTCTGAATGCTTCCCTCTGTCCATCATTGGCCATGCTCAATATTCTACATTGCCAGACATGGAGTTAATGACCCATTTCTGAGAAAATGTCCAACAATTGTGCTGCTTTGTGCAAAGTACCTTCATTGCACACATATGTGGGTTGTGTTCCCTTGGGGTCTTGTCGACTCCCACGCATGCGCACGCACATCCATCCGTTTTCAGTTGGACAATCTCAGTGACTTTACACCTGCGGTGTAGGGGTCTGACTGGGTTGCCACTGCACACTCACTGTGCTTACTGAACTAGACTATAGGCGTCAAGAGTGGTTAGAATCCCGAGTGGTGGCCTAGGATCTGAAATATGCCAAGATTGTCAACCTTCTGTTTTGCTGCACCAGGTTTTGATTGCTGGTTGCTCAGTTCAGTGATGACTTTGTGTGCCAGTGCGCAATCACTGGCAGAGGAAGGGGGATTGTACTCTATAGCCTGATGTGGCTGTGGGGCGTCAATTTTGATATTGCATACCTCCCCAATGATTCCAGGATCAGCGCCATTGTCTGTAGCTGTTGATGCACTCCAAATGCTAAATTGATCTTGGCCAGTTTTTCCTGCCCCATTACTGGATGCATTCCACGTAATTACAGCTCAGTATCAAGTAGTTTTGCAGGCAGGCGCTAGGCGGGCAGGTCAGCAGGCGGGGCGGGTAGGTCACTTCCACTTGAGTAATGTTTATGGGTTTTGACAACACAGCTCAGTCACAGTGTCAATCTGCAGGAATGGTAATCAGTGGGGAGGAGGGCTAAGTGGCTGCACGGGCCTGTAGGTTCACAACTAGCAGTGCTAGTACACTAACAGTACTAGTACATTCTTATCATTATGCGTTTTCTGTCTTTCCCTGTGCTGTGTGGAGGTTCTTTATGGTGGAACCCCTTTTTAGAAGAGCCTGGTAAGGGCGTGTGTGTGTGTGTGTGTGTGTGTGTGTGTGTGTGTGTGTGTGTGTGTGTGTGTGTGTGTGTTGCATGTCACGACCTCAATACTAGCAGGCAATACCAATAATTGAGTTTGCAATGCACCTCCTTGACCTGGCTCAGGACTGAGTGTCTACTGTGCAGTTTTGCTTGCCTGCCTGTGGTCTTTGTGCTATATCTGTCCCATTCCACCAGGGCTTTTGTTCCTTCCCCAACTATAGTGGGTCCATTGTTATAAGCCTGATGCCTGTTTTGACTCACTATAAATATAATACCGGTTCAAGTAATGGCCTTATGCAACAACAACCAGCCCATGGAGTCTAGACTAAACATCACTGGTTTCTCTTCTGAAGGTAGAGTTGATCTAATCTGGATTCTTCCTTTCCCCCATCATCATTCCTCTGTGTCACTACAAGCAGCATTATGTGCTCTGCAACCATTGGTCAGTTTTCACTTGGCAAGACTGTAGTGCATGACACTCACACATCCGGGCAGATCATCTCGGCGGGCCGATTCTGCGCAGTGCATGCTTGAGTAATGCCATGTATGACTTATGAGGCTCAGAGCTGTGCAGTGTTGCTAAACGTGAAAAGGCTCTGAGTAGCAGAAGAAACCATTTTGGTCTCAGTTCTTTTGTCTGGGCATCGTGACAACAAGCTGCGTGATTCCGGAGTTGCACAGTGAGCCACACCACTGTACTACTGTACTAGTAATCATTGACAGGGCACCCATCCATTACAGTCAGATGCATGCATCATGGCAAGGCAGTAATGTCTGCTGACGATATACATGTAGCACAGTGAGTAAACATGAACAAGCCCATAGTCCTATACGAGTACACGCCACTTTGAGGAGAATCTTGTGCTGGTACTGGGTCTCATACTGATGGAGCACAGCATCTACGGTTATGGCGTGCTTCTAAGTTTCTAAGGACTAAGGTAATTTATTCTAACACTGCACTTCAAACGTTTGTCAGTTTTGTTGAATTGGAAATGTCCGCTGACACCATGGTCGAATGCCGGTGCTAATGGTCTAATTATTCAGCTATGTCTGAAGATCTCCAAGACCCAGCTATCATTAGCAGCAAAGGTGCCCGGCACATTCCTGACACGGCACATCACGTGAAGTGCACATGTGCTGGCATTGAGTTGTGTTTTTACAACTGAATGGCCCCAGTTGCAGTATCATCCAGCCTTCGTTGGTACCCAACTGTTGCCCTTCCTGCGACCACATCACACCCAAGGTCTCATTCCCGTCTGACTCCCCTCCAGCCCTGGATTTTTCAAAGAATAGGATGAAGTCCTCCTGGTGGGATACTATCATGAGGTCAAACGTGCAGAGAAGGATGCATTCTCCCTTTCCCCTTTATGTGGCTACAGACAGCCGCTCAAAATAGAAGCCACGTGATTGCAAGAGCGCATACATGTACGTGTAACTCCTGGCGTTATGTACTGGGGAAGCTGGTAGAAGTAACCTTCATTGGGAATTCCTGCTTTGCCCCTCCTTACCGTTGCTTCCAGTCCCCCCACCCCCAACACACACACAGTGTCACATAGTGTCACATAGTCACATAGTCCATGCTCCCAGTCACTTGCTTGAGCTAACCATCCTTTCATGTCTAGCAGTGCCACTGTTGTAGGGCTGGGCTCGTGATTGTTGCTGTTCTGGAAGACAAAGCTGACTAACAGTTAGCTGCTATAGGGAGTGCAGGGAATAGCTCTTGCACCGCTAAGCCCGGGTCTGTACAAGAGCAGCAGCAGCAGTACTTGACCTGTCTGCTGTGGAGGAGCGACTGGACTGCTGATAGAATACATTATGGGCTATATCATGCAATATCCCTGGGGCCTGGTGAGGCTGAGACGCCAGGTCATTCAACTCATAGCTCACTAGTAGCCCCAGACCTAGTGAAGTCAGCCATCACACAATGCATTGTTACTCCTCCAGTCTAGATGCGGCTAGTAGCCATGCAGCTCAGTAGACAGGGTGACTTGCCAGTTCTGTGAACTCTCCCCAGCCCATAGCACTGAGCAGGGGGTGTCATGGCCATGAGGCATTAATTTCTTGCAGCCTCTAGTGTGCTCTGGCTTCCACTAGGTTGGAGGAGGAGAAGGTGAGTAGAGGATTTCGGACACCCTGCACTCTCTTCCCTGGTCACTTCATTGCCCTCTCAGGCAAACAATGGCTCCACTCAGCGCGGCACTCCAGGATTCTATAAACTGATGCAATGTGATATGCTGCCATGGCGGTATTTTGGAGCAACTCCGGGTCAAGAAGATACCCCACCGTATCACTGTAAATCAGAGATCACCACTAGGAGGGGTAGTGACTATCAGTTATCTATGGACTGATGCCTTGGCCTGGGTGAGATATCATCAAACACATGCACCGTGACACATCACTCCATCAACTAACTGCACTGCCATGGCGGCACTGCATGCTGGATGACTGCTTGAATCACCAATGATTCCGAAATGCCACAAACTGCCCATTCTTCTTCCAATGGACTGATGGGAAAGTTTCTTGTCAGGGCGTTATCATATCAATTACCTCACTATTTGATTCCACTAATCATACCCTGCACACCCTCTAGTCCGCATTAATAAACTGATTAATGACCCAGATCATAATCATTAGCACTATGATTTACAGCAACAGGGGCATGGCCGTGGAGAGTATGAAACAACTGTGCACGTTCAGAGTGTTACTAAGGTATGCCAACTACAAATACAATACACAAAAAAAACAATGTAGTTCTACAATCAGTCATGTAGGTCTCCATCTACACTACAGTATTATACAGTGCAGGCAACTGAAATCCGACCCCCTGAGCGGTGGGTTCACATTCTTTGCGATGTGAGCGCATCGCCTCCTTTCTGCAAAACACCCCCGGTTTTGTTCAGACCCAGTGGCCCAAGAACATGCAGGTTTCCACCATTACCACTGATTTCCAACAGAGGATTATGCTGGGTGCTCGGTTCTATTTGGGCTACAGCGAATAGTCCTATGAACACACAAACCGAGAATTGCGGCTTACCGGCGAGCACGGCGTCTCCGAACAATTTGCTGCTGTTCTGCTCAACTGCACAGCTCCACGTGTTGTCCTTCATGACCTTCTTGCACTGAGCTATGCCCTCGGTACGACCTCGCTGAATCGTCGTCCACAGCGGTTCGTCGCGTCGCAAGCATTGCGAGTGCGATTCAAGAGGAGCGCCCTCCCGGACCTTGCAGCGAAACGGAAAGTGCGAAAAGCGGGTCGGATACGCGTCTGAAGTGCCGTTCGCGACGACAAACGTTGGCGAAAGAGCCATCCTGGATCGTACAACAATGTCAGTACACAGAACAGAATAGGAATACTTTGAAGGACACTAGAGAAGGAACATTCACAATCGCTACTCACTTTCAAGGAACAATAATTGAGCTTGTTCGTCGCCTTTGACAAACAACACTCGACACGACGGTATTGTCAGCATGGCGCTTAGCACACCTAAGCACAAGTGAGTGAGAGTGCGAAAAGGAACTCTCCATTACGCCCCTCTGCGTCAATCCAATTAGGCAGACACCACACGTACAACGCGGACACAGGGCCAAGAAGCACTGCCTTTTTCTTGTCGCTACTTCACGCTGCGGTCGAAATCATTGATCAGAAAATGAACAATGGTGGAAGGTCACCATCGTCGCTCCGGCGGCGTCTTTGGTGAACATATTTGCACAGGTAAGTCGAGCGGATGACTGTACGAGTTTGTGATGCTGGTTTTTAAAATAATTATTATATTTTTGTCTTCACTTCTCATTCTCAATTCTCTCAGTCTTCACGCCTTTCTTGCTTGCTGTCACGCTTGGCTGAAAGTTTTGTCCGTCTTCAGACTCTTCTATTTTGAGCAAAGGTTCTGCATGGCTGACTGAATGACAAACCATCAAAACGTCTATTCCTAGTGTTTAGATGGTATCACCTCAATTCTCTCCTAGCGTTCTGCATGATTGTGATCATGTGCGCTTTTATGTTCCGTCGACCTCTATTATGATGGCGCATCCAACGTCTTTTAGTGCTCTGTTTCAATGGAGCCGTTTTCGACGTCCGGCCATATTGCACAGCAGATGGAGTAGAAAGATTGCCTTCCTTTCTGAAATGAACTGCGGTGGGGACCTTCAGGATAATTATCTTCCAGGTGTCGGCCGGGGCATCGTTTTTAGGAAATAGCGATTGAATCCTTCTGTTCTTTGCATGCAAGTCGATATGTAGCTAGACCAGAAAGGAAGAAAGAAAGAAAGAGAGAGAGAGAAAGAGTCCTCTGATACTCCGCTTTAACGTTTTCCCGTCGTATTTCCGACCTTGACTGACCAATTACTTACCACCAGACATCCGCAGCATGTGGTGCGTGTTGGGTCGGTGGTACCGCCGTAGACCTCGTCTGATTTCCCGCAACTGTTGCGTTTGAAGCCACCGTCGCGTTTCCCGTTCCGTTTCCCAGACAGCACACCCACACGGAACATTTGAAGACCAATGCAGCCGAGCAGACTCGTGGTACAGACGACATCCTTGCTCCGTATGCGACGCAGCCGGTAAGGATAGCGTCTCCAAGGATATAATCTGCTTGCGCTTTTCAGAGCAATAACGGTCTCTCTGAAAGAACCGGCAGGATTAGTGATCTCCCGGACTTGATCTCTCGTCTACTACCAACTCAACGCTTTCTTTTCCAGCCTTCAAACAATCTCTTATATTCAGACAGCTTGCGTAGCATAACTCACTCGCTGCTGGCAGGGAGGTGTTGAGATAAATACGTCGCAATGGCGTGCACGGTGTGATCTATGCGAGCAAGGCGACACTTGCGGAATGACTTCAAAACCTGTCGACGTGCCCACTTTGAGCTCCTCCTCCTCAGCACTGCCCAGTGATCAGATGGTGACCAGCTTGTGCGGTGGCTGTACCACTGCCAGCTGCTGCTGACACTCAGTCAGTATCCAATGACGTGTAGGGCGATGGTTACAGCCGGTCTCGGGAACACGCACATCAACTGCTCTGCAGAAATATGCAGGGCTGAGGAATACCACCGTTCCTTTTTCAGCGTCTTACTTTGTCGCCAGCTGATATCATCGCAGAATGTTGGTCGTTGGTAATCTCGCTGCTCAGAGGTGCTAGGTGCCAGCAGCGTTGTTGAAAGTGGTGACGGGAATCAGCACTCTTTTCCTCTGACACTTGTCAGCCGATCAAGCAGGACAGGACTACACTGGACAGGTCAGGTAGTATTTCCGACCCCGACCCTGAGTGCCTGTCAGACGGTATCATTCCGCATAAGACTCGCCGCACTAAGTCGCCAGCACTGTTGTACACGCTCTGTGAGTGTGAGTGGCACACATGTTCAGAGAGGTGGTGCGAACGTTGAAATACTTGTGTGGTTTCAACCGTTTGCCATCACACTGTCCATTTGCGATACATTTCTGTGACGCTCGGGCAAAAACGCCACCGTCGCTGTACGTGCAGTACGTGCAAGTATCGGGTTGGTTTCGGTGTGGCAGCGATGACATGATCTAGCCAACGCTTTCTCAACCCCCGTACTACGCCAGCAGCGACAGTTCCGCAGTCAGCCACTACATCTACTACTAGTAGGCTATCGCAGTACCAGTAGCATGACAATAGAAAGCGGGCCAGTTATGCTATGGTTTGCGTACGACGGCGGGGCTACGCTGGTCTGCTGGAGCCTCGGGGCTGCCCAGCCAAGTTGGCTTTCATCAAAAGGATTTTGAAGAGGTCGATTGGCTGCTGAACTGCGAGCCCATTTAGCCTTTTGTTTTGCTTGGTGCTTGTGGGAGAGCTGAGCCAGCAGCGGGCCCCCGAGCTCAACTTGGTGTTGATGCAAGCATGGGATGGCACGGACTGAAAGGCAATGGCAATGGCAATGGCATTGGCAGGGGTTAGACACTCGGCTTGCAGGTCACGAATGTGAGACAGTGAGGTGGTGACCTAACGGTTGGTACTGCTTAGTCTGGGCCTCTTCACACTCAGTGATACGTCCCTATAAACAGTGTGTTTAGCAGTGCCGTATGACCGTATTGCCTGAGTCGCTTTTTAAATCTTACTTGTACTCACCAATTAAGACCACACTATCACTGTGGGAGCCTGCTCGCGTGGCACGGACATAATTCAGTCAGTCCCTCTCATCACTACTCATGTTCCTCTGAAAATCTTAGTCATCATTTTTGCTATGAAACGGTTGAAAGTGTGTCAGTGCAAAGTGGAAACATCGAAACATCGGTGCATGTATGTGCGCGTGTGTACGTGCGACAAGAATTTGTGCGTGCGCGCATTATGTGTGTGAGTGCGTGTTTATGAGCACAATTGCGTCCCAAAAGCAGCATTGGCAACACCATCATCTAATCTATGTCAGTATGCGAATATCATGCACTGTAGCCGTTGCTATTGAGCACCACGTTAGCATTCAGGCGAACTATCAAACCACGGTGTTACAGTGTTTCTGTGCAGGTATTGTACTACTCCCCGTTTCTGTGCGGCATGGCACATCGGTATTACCATGATTACTGTCTGATCCCACACTGTAAGTAACATGGCGTTCAGTCGACATACTTGTACTTGTAACGTACATGTAGTTGAGCAGATATCACACAAATGTTTCCCATGCCAACAGGATAACGCTTTTTCCGTCCTCTTATTGTTTGTACCCACAGGACACATGGAGTATACCATAGAGCAGGAGCCATGGCACAAAGAAAATCATGAGCAACGATTGGTTGGAAGACGACAGGACAATCCGACATTGCACATTCATGGCAGAATTCCAGGCCTGTGTGAGAAAGGACAGGACTGCAGTGCTCTGGTGTGAGATTTGCGGCAAGTGGTCTTTCGACTCGATGGAACGTGATTTCTCCGTCACTTGTCCAGCACGGTGCGTTTAATAGATCTGTGCTTGGCCGGACTGATCTGCAATCACACTCCAATCAAGCCGTTGGGACGCACTGTTCGCACAGGACGAAGTGGGAGAGCAGAGTGGAAGTGTCGTGGTTGTGGACGAGGCGGGCTAGACAGCTACATGTGTATTATGCAGTGGCTGTCTTTCCGTAATAGTCCTCTGGTGAGGTGCTTAGAGTTAGACGCCAGGACGTGCCGCCGCTACGTACCGTCCGTGTGCCAGATTTGCATCCTTGATGATCTGGTCGGTGTCTGCGTGAGTGAATCTGTGGCGTGCCTGTGTGTGCGTGTATGTGTGTGTGTGTGTGTGTGTGTGTGTCCGATGTGTGACGGCGTGTACGATCGATCGAATTACTGTCTATATGCCCGCACATACATGTACCTAGGCCGTGTACATACAGACACCCATTATCCCCCTCCCCTGCATGTATGCATGCACGGTTAGTCGGGTTAGATATTAATTTAGAGACTGTGCGTTGATCACTATCCGGGCACGAGGGTAGGAATCCTATTCCAGTGAATCAGTTCCCTTTGGATGCATGAACATTATAATTGTGATGGCCTGTTCAGCAATGCTTACTTGAATCCGCTACTACTAGTTCCACATGACATTGTACTTGCTAGTGGTTGTCGTCAGCTTGTCTCGATGAATATACATTGCAGAGTATACGTGCTATATACTGCTATTACAACAATTCATCAGCACCCTTCTAACACTACACTAGCATGTACGGTGCCACTGTCTGAAGTACATCGTGATGCGGAAATTGCCCGAGTGTCCGCCTACACGCTAAATTGCCGTGTATGCGCGTGTACGCACAGTACTCGTCAGTATAGGCGACACGTCCACCAAGTGCTTTACAATGATCCGTGGCACGGCGCTCCGAGTCCTAATAGTAGATCCACGTGGGGTTCGGGCGCAGTGGGGGAGCACCATCTGCGTTTCGTGTCAGGCAAGCCCCATAGCGGCCATACGGCCATAGTAGCATGGCGGCGACGCGTCGGCGGCACCCTTCTCATCAGGCACACTGCGTGCAAACCTTGTGGTGGCATTCTAAATTATTCCTTTCCGGCGCTTCCATTCTGGATGACTGATTGCATGACACGGTGCCACAGTGGCGTCCATTGATCGCAGAGCTTCATTCAAAACCTACTCTAGCTACCAGTGTATAATTATATAATAGTGTTACCTCACACGGCACGTTTTGCTTGTCACCTGATACACTTATAGAACTTATTGTTGTTACAAGAATATGTGCAATCATGTAGATTATTCTACACGGAGGAACACAGTGGAGGTCACAGCAGAGTACCGCGCAGGGAAGTCAATTTTATGATCGGACATCGCTGACCACAAGAGGACAAAGACAAAGTAGTTGCAGCGGCTAGAACCGTCGACGATGGGGACTTCGAAGGGCAAATGTTTGCCACACCACCGTCTTGTCTTATTGTCTGTACATGTACATGATTGTACACTATTGTACCCATCCACATGACGGCACCCACATCAACACATCCCAACTGTTGACCAGCCTACATGGTATTGCAGGTAATCGTACAGTGTCCATCGCGTTTGTACCAGCTAGGCTTCTGGAAGAGTACGATCATCCACCTACAGGAACATGTATGTACATGTACAGCCTTCGCGCTCCTCAATTGCATCGGAAAGTGGTACCAGATGTCAAGATTACTAGTATTACTATTAATTCTGTGTCGGCTCCAGTACAGAGAACATTCCCTGCATCATGGAATGCAACCATCGATAAAGATCTCCATCTTCCGTTGACTTGCAGCGCAGTGGTTTGGCAGTGGGTCGATCGACCGCACTCACAGGTATTCGAAACTCAGTTTCAGAACTCGCAGCTACATGTATCTATGAGATCTCTAACATCCATTGAACATACAGTGTACAAGTACTTAAAAACATCTCCCTGCTAAAAATGGAAATGTGCCTTACTCGATGTCCTGGTGGCGGGGAAAGCGTCACAACATTGTGCGTGTGCGTGGTGAATCCTCCTCGCCTTACCTTTCACACCGCTACAGCACTAGTATAGTGCATGGACATGTAGAATTCTGAACATTCTAATGATTTGATTAAATGCAGTGTTTTCACTCAGTGATTACTGTACTACTGGAGGGGTTAGACGTAAATACGGGCGATAAAAATAGCATTTTATGACTGTCAGGGTGTGGAAAGAGGCTAGGCAGTGAGGAATTCATGGAGGCTAATAAGTCACTCGATCGTCACCCCTGCTTTTTTCACAGAGCGCAGCGTGTGGTCGAATGCAGAATATGCCCTTCAACACGCCTTTTGCCCCCCTCAATGCAAAGCGTTTTACATGAAAATCATGTTCCTGACAACGTGATTGTCTAATACTTCGAGCCGAATATTGCATACTATGCAACATGCAACATGCAACTGTACAAAATGATTATCCAACTTAGCAGTATTCGCATGCGCTGCGTGGCGTACATTAGCACCGTCCCTGCACCCCCCCACTGTGAACCTCCGTGACAGTGTATACAAATAATTATTATTAGTGGTGTCACCAGACTCAACACTCCCTGCCTTCCAGTCACACTGAGCGGCCATGACACCTACCACGCACTTCACAGACATACAGCATAGGGTGCAAAGTACATGTACATGTACATGTACGTGGAGTGAGCAGCTGTGCACTTCGAATGAGGTACATGTACTGAGGTAACACTCATGACGCTAAATCATGTAACAATTTACATTGTAGTTTTTACCAGCCTCTGATGGCACAATCCAGTGAAAAGCGATCTGAATATACCCTCCCTACATTCACTACCCCTATACTCTTCCGCAGATGTTAGAACAACTATCTTGCAGTTATGCTGCGACCTTTGCCACCAGCTGCACTGGTTGAGGAAAGGTCGGGAAACCGCCTACGAAGTCGGCTGGGTGGATCTGTTCTTCGGACAGCTCCTGCAAACGGGCGTTTCAAGAATGAAGTCACCCGGTATACAGCAGGATAGTTTAGCAGCACGTTCATCGTTCGAAGTCACTTGTGTGGGATTGAGTGATGACAAACAGATTGATGTACAGTCATGTGCACGTACAACTACAATGTCATGTTTTTCCAGTCTAGTCTGATGGGTACCCGGGTGTAGTGTCTCTGACAGGCGTCTTTGCCGACTTTGGTGGGTGTCGATGCGTAGGCGCTAGGCTGTGGTGGAGTACACATCATTTTTACAGTCAGACCCAGGGTGTAGTGTACGCTTTTACCTCGCTTTACAATATATTTTAAATTTATGGACATCATCATATCATGCACTACATGTATGTAAGTCGTGGGGTAGATCTACATGTAAGCAGTCTTCTAAGGACGCCTCTCGTCTCAGGAGCACAATGCCATGCACATGCGCCGGTACATGCACTGAAATCAGAATGTCCTCACCACCTGCTGCCAATGATTGTCTTTAAATTCGTGTTCCTCTGAGTGTTCAGCGTAACATGTACGTGTGATAAGCCGGAACTTATGGACACTGTGTCCAGTAATCGAGTAACGACTATTTAACATGACGTGGTGAATACTACTAC